AAAAATATGAATGCAGCTTTCCCCCAATCTTTTGCCCGGGGGGGGGGGTACAACTTTAGTGGCCTGAATGTGGGTTGGAGGTTATACCGCCTCCCTATGCACATCTTAACATGGATTAAACAAAATGTAATTAATGATACGGGCTCAAAGACGGGGGGGGGGGTTAATTAATCTTTGTTGTGACCCCTCAGTCTAATTTGAAATCTTTGATCTCCCCAAATCCCGTATGATCGATCTGTACCTCAATCGTATGCAAACACTTACAAACTAAATCGACTGTTGCACTTTTTATTTAATACAACCGTCAATAATCATATCAACTTGTCTAACTTATTTTTTACATGTGTTTTGAATTGTTTGTTTGTCTGAAAGAAATATGAAATAGCTGTGATCACACAAACTATAGGAAAACGTTGCCTATGAGGACAAGGATGATGCAAGTAATACATTCCGTGAAAGCTGACCCCCCTTCCTTTCCAACGTCGGGATAACGTTCGCTGTCTTATGAACAAATATATATTGTAAATCATAATATATACATTTTATATAGTGTACTAAATTTAGTTGTAGTTCAGTTGAATCTTCATCTTTTATTTAATAAAGCATCGGTCTACTATCATTATTACAATAAATAAATAAATAACTAAAAAAAAAAATTTCTTTTAAATAAAGAAAAAATCCGTTCTATTGACTAGATCACGGGTATTCTCTCTCAATTTGTGATGCATGGTTCTAATACTCACATAAACTTGACCCGATATTGTGTCTTTGTTATTACCATGTCTAACCCCCCCCCCCCCCCCCCCCATGTCTACAACCAAACCCTGAATCATTTTTAAGAACATTTTCTTAGGTTAAATTTTTGTGGCTCCATCTTAGCTCAGAAGGTGATGATTTTAAGAAAATTGGATCCAGGCTAAATCAAAACTTGCGTATGCCAATTTCTGTGTGGCTTCTTCTACAAATCTCCCCAAGTCAAGGGTCCCTGATCTGCTCCGCTTCTCCTAAACAACCCTGGACTTGGAAAGATGTTTATACCCTTTATTATAAGTGCAACTACCCCCTAATATAAAGTTTTAAATTTGGTCTTTCTGGGAACAGAGGTTCTTGAGAAAGATGTTTAAATGAAACCCACCTCTTACAATTGAGAAAAACAGGCCGTAATGCCCTTTATGTTACGACCCCCAGTCCAATAGCCAGAATATACTATACTTTAGATTAGTTTGTCTGTATAATGAATATATACATGCGCTATACATTGGAAAACAAAGGTAATTTTTGGTTGTGCCCCCCTCAAATATCTGACTTTTTTGTTGCTTGTCGAGAATTTCTGTAAAGTTGTGCCCCCCCCCCCCCCCACACACACACACACACATATAAGGTCCTGAGAGACATGACCCTTTATTTCAATTAACTTTCTTGATACTGCCTTTTACAGGGTGTTTGAAATTTGCCCAATGGTTGTAAGCAAAAAGTTGAAATGTGACAAATTAATAACATAAAAAAATAACAAATGGACAAGGTACAAACTTCATCAAAAATGTTAACTTTAGCCTTCAGCTCATGACCCCAAATTTTCTGCTACTGTTTTTTTTTTTTTTTTTTTTTTTTTTTTTACCCCGCTTTCGCAAAAGAGAGGGGACATTAAATCTCATTTGTCTGTATGTCTGTCAGTCTGTCACAAAAACTTTAACCTTGGTCATAACTTTTGAATGAGAAGAGATAGGACTTTCATATTTGACATGTACATTCCTGTGACAGGACCTTTCTAAATATACTTTGATTTTTTACCCCTTTCACCTTTGACCTTGAAGTTTGACCTACTTTTCAAAATTTTTAACATAACTTTAAATTGGTCATAACTTTTGAATGAGAAAGGACTGGGCTTTCATATTACATATGTATATTACCTGTGACAAGACCTTTCTAAAAAATACTATGACTTTTGACCCTTTGACCTTTACCTCGAAGTTTGACATACTTTTCAAAAACTTTAATCTTTGCTTATAACTTTTCATTAAGAAGAGATAGGGCTTTCATATTTGACATATACATTACCTGTGACAAGACTTTTCTAAATATACTTTGATTTTTGACCTCTTTTACTTCTGACCTTGAAGTTTGACCTACTTTTCAAAAATTTTAACATAACTTTAGATTGGTCATAACTTTTGAATGAGAAAGGATTGGGCTTTCATATTACATATGTACATTACCTGTAACAAGACCTTTCTAAATATACTATGACTTTTGACCTTGACCTTGAAATTTGACCTACTTTTCAAAAATTTAATCTTTTCTAATACTTTAAGAAGAGATGGCACTTTCATATTTGACATGTATATTACCTGTGGCAAGACCTTTCCAAATATACATTGATTTTTTACCCTTTTACATTTGACCTTGAAGTTTGACCAAGACAGTTACTATATGTAATAAATAATGGAATCGCATCCACGAAGATACCGAAAGCGGGGGACCACAAATCTTTGAATTTGCTTGTTTTTTTTTAATATCATCTAAATTTTGTTCCCCGCTTTCGCGAAAGCGAGAGGACATTAAATCTCATTCGTCTGTCTGTCAGTCTGTCTGTCTGTCAGTCACAAAAACTTTAACCTTGGTCATAACTTTTGAATGAAAAGACATAGGGCTTTCATGTTTCAAATGTACATTACCTGTGACAAAACCTTTCCAAATATACAATGATTTTTGACCCCGTGACCTTGAAGTTTGACCTACTTTTCAAAAATTTTAACATTACTTGGTCAAAACTTTTGAATGAGAAAAGATAGGGCTTTCATATTACATATGGATATTACCTGTGGCAAGACCTTTCCAAACATACTATGACTTTTGACCCCGTGACTTTGACCTTGAAATTTGCCTACTTTTTAAATATTGTATCTTTGCTTATAACTTTTGTTTGAGAAGAGATAGGGCTTTCATATTTGACATGTGCATTACCTGTGGCAAGACCTTTCCAAATATACTATGCTTTTTGACCCACCCAACCCCTTGACCCTGTGACCTTGACCTTAAAGTTCGACATATTTTTCGAAATTTTTATCTTTGCTTATAACGTTTGATTGAGAAAAGATAGGGCTTTCATACTTGACATGTGCATTACCAGTGAGAAAGTGCTATGGTTTTTGACTCCTTCGCCTTGACTTTCATGTTTGACCTAATTTTCAAAATTTTTAACTTTTTTGATTACTTTTGAATGATATATGATAGGGCTTTCATATTTGACAAGTGTATTACCTATGTCGAAATGTTTCCGAATATGCTATGATATTTGACCACGTGACTTTGACCTTAAAGTCTGACCTATTTTTCAAACATTTAATCAGTGTTGTTAACTTTTGAAAGAGCGAAGATAGGGCAATCATATTTGACACGTGCATTACCTGTGACAAGCATTTCAAAATGTATTTTTTTTTCTCAAAATATTTTAAGATTGCAAATAACTTTTGATTGAGAGAAGATATGGCATTTACATTTGACATGTGCATTACCTGTTTCAAGACCTTTCCGATTGTATACTCTGGATTTTCATATTTTTCTCACATGTAGATTACTTGTTACAAGACCTTTTGGATTTTATTATTATATTTGACCTCATGATCTTGAAGTTTGATATAGTTTTGAGAAGCTATAGTCGTTGCCATAACTGTTATTAATTCAATAATTTATATCTTTATTGTATAATGCACAGATAAGACAGGACACACAAATGAGACAGTTACAATAAGTCATAAATAATGGCATCCCATCCACTAAAACACCGAAAGCGGGGGACCACAATTAAAACTTTAAATATTAATGCTTCTTTTAAAACAGCACTAATTTTGATTCAAACCATACGTTGAGGCCAAAAGAGGGTGACACAGTAGGATATTTTATCATATTTCCTCAATTTTGATGGAATTTCATCAAATTAGAGGTACTTTTCACTTCGGGAAACACAGTACAAAAATTGATCATCTCAGTTTTTCATACACAAGATGCGTCTAATGCTAGTGCATGAAATATATATAAATTTTGTGGATATGCAAATATGTGTTTTCTAAAGCAAAATGTGCTTTAAAATTCATGAAAATTTGAATAAAAATGAGAAATTTCAGAAATTGACAGATTTTGTGACCTTCCTGTGAACTCTGTGTATCCTAGAATCAATACTCACTTTATAACAGGGATAATAACAGGTTTTTGATGATGAACTATTGCATCATTCTGTTTGTTTGTTGTTTAAAATTCCTCTCGAGAATTTTTCACTCATGTGGAGATGCCACCACTTGTCGGTGGAGGGCTGCAAATTTAGACCTATATACTCAGCACTCTGGGCCATTGAGCAGTGAGTGATCTTTTCATGCCAGCACCTACCGCGACACTGGGCCTCAGTTTATACGGTCTCATCCGAAGGACCGTTCTCCACATCTCACAGTGGGACTTGAACATGTTGAACCCACGACATAAGGATCAACTCCTTACACAGCAACTCTAAAGCAAACGCTCTAACCACTGCTCCACAGGGGCGACTGCATTGTTCTGAGAGACACCCTAAACCGAGGGGCCTAAAAGGGGTCTTTGCCTATTGTGTCCTTTACATGAATTAGACAAAAACATCAACATTTTGAACATCCGATTTTTGACCAGGGAAAATGTGCACTTCTAATATTTTCAAAGGGAGCCTAGACCCCCTCCCTAAAACCAGACACCATTGTTAAAAACTGTGGTGTGTTGAAACTTTTCATTCAGAGTTTATAATTATACATGTACTTCCTTATAATTTGGTATACATTGTAATTCATACAAATAATTTGATCTCATGAAATCTCCATACCCATACCTTGTGCATCACTGTGCAACAGTTTACTACAGTGTGTTGTCATGTCTTCTCCGGTGAATACAAATGTTTTCACTCAATTTGGTGATGGAGTTAGTCATGTAACAGTTCAACTTAAAAGCTGCTCTTCTCTTTTAACACAAAACAGAACAAATAAACACATCAATTTTATTTCTGAATTTTCTGGGGGTAATGAATGTACATGAACATCAATATATTTACCAAAGATATATACATGTACCCTCCGGTTTTCATTTTATTTTTGTTTGCAATACTTTGGATTGGTGTAATGTTATCTTCTTTTCATTCTACATATCTTAGGGTAAACCTACCTGAATATTCTTTTCAACGATGTTATTAAAACTGTTGCAGTTCTTTGAAAAAAAAAAGAAGCTTAAAACTTTTTCAGATATTAGTATAAAACATGCCACTTGAAATGCCACAAAAGCCACCATTAAAAGCACTGGCTTTTATAAGTTCTTGTTAGTTAAGTTTGCTGCTTGATCTGGACTTTTTCAGTGAAGCTGTTTTTGTAACAGTTGACTCTTCCATCTGAAATACAAATATGAAATTTACCTATATAAAATGTTCCATATGAAAGATAAAATATATGCATACCAGGTACTAATAATGTTTTTGGATGAAATTCAGACAAAAATTGTCTCCTTTTCATCATAATAATGTTTAATTTAAACATTCATTATACATAGCATCTCTAATTAATACATGTACTAATAAGTTGTTGTAGAAAGCAACCCTACCTAAATTATTCATGCAGGTTTGGTCAAAATAGGGACTGCATATACTAGGGAATACTGTATAAAGGGTTATTTTCACCCTTTCACACTTGCAAATAATTTTGCCCAATTTTAAAATCGCCCAGTCACAGTTCTTTTTAAGAAATTATACTGTCTTCTTTGAAATTGCCTCGCCTTAAATTTGCCCATGTTTGTAGGGTGAAAGGGGTGAAAATGAAACAGAGGCAAAAAATTTCCCTGTATACAGTAAACCTGCTCCAAAAATTAAGTGCTTATTCATACAGAAAACCATTGTTGGATATCCACAGGTGATCTAGTCTTGATGTATAAAAGACGAGATCACCTGTGGGAATCTCGCTCCGGGGCCATAAAATTTAGACAAGCTAATTTTCGATCTCAGTCTCACTTTTACCAAAGAAATTTAAAGTGAAAAAGTAAGACTGAGCTCAAAAGTGAGCTATCTATCCCTGCAAGGTTGATATGGGCAAGTCTTGCAGTTACTAGTAAATAGGTCTGCTGGCCACTCCTCAGGAAAATATAGGTCAGTAGGCATCCATAAACTGAAGGTGCTTCAGCCCTGCATGTCTGGTTCCAGACTGGGGTTTTAATGACTTGGCACAAGCCCATCTAAACTTCATTGAAGTGAGTCAAAAACATATACAATACTGATGTTGTCTACCAATTGCAACTTCTTAGGCCTTTCTGACAAGCAGAAAAACAACCTTAAATGTGTTAAATAGGAATCCAATACAACCCTTTTCATAAACATTGAAATAAATGTAGGGAGACCTATTATCTGTAGAGTATGAAAGTACAGATTTTACCTAAAATAAACTTCAGAAGGGACAATCAACTCTCTAACGCTTTAACAAATAGGAAGGGACTCCATTTTGTTTAAAATTTTAACATCCTGGTGAAATGAATACATTTGAGGTGTTTTTCTGAGCTTGCCGGAAAGGCCCGAGAAGATGGGATTGGTTGTCTACTTGTATAAGCTGTACTGAAATCAGACCAAACCTGTAAGAGGAGAAGTGTCTACAAACAGATGGATACATTATCATCCCATAAGCTCAATCAATAGAGCAAAAATCCACAATCGCTCCCTAATACCCATCCTTTCCCCCTACAATAAAGAACAAAAACCAACAAAATAAAATATCCTTTGAATGCACTTCAAAGATTTACCTGCTGAGTACTGCTTTTTTCAGGGTCCACAGAATCCTTAACTGTCTTTGTGGAGGACCTCAAAGACCTCTCTGAAGCTACTGAAGTTCTCGAGGTTGCTGAACTTGGCCTACTACCTAACTCAAGGTTCTGCTTCCTCTGTGTGGAGCCACCCTTTTGGACAGAGGCAGACATTGCAGGCCTTTTCTTTGAAGCTGTTGAACAGGAAAGTGTAGATGGTGTTGAATAAGTGACTTGTGTTTGGGTGCCCCTCTTGGTGGTATAGTAAGAGGAGGCGACTAGAACACTGGCCTCATTGATCCCAGATTCTGTGGGAGGGGTACCAGATGTATTAGAGTCTTTATTAATTTTGTCACCACTGTCTTCTTCTGGCTGTTCCTTCTCCCCTGTTTTGGACTGAGAGCGTGTGGATCTTTTTTTCACACTTGTGTCTGCTGTTTGGGAAAATTCATGAGCTATACGGGTAGCTAGTGGTATTCCTGAATGAGACTCTGCCAGCAGTGAACCATCAAACTTGCTATAGCCTTGAGTGGGTTTAGCTTCCTCATCAGAAGACATCTTTGTCTTTTTCATTTCGTCTGCTGGTTTTGGCTTCTTAATGATTCTCTTCCTTATGTTTGGGATTTCCAGCTTGACGTCCCTTTCTTCTCCCACCAAGGAGTTGTACACCACCTCATCATTGGGCCTATAGTTTCGGGTTGTGGATGTGATAACATTCACTGCTTCCTCAGGTCCATTTAACGAGTTATAAATTCTCTGACTGCGCCTAGGAGTTGGAACCTCACTTCCATCCTTCATCTTCAGTTTTCTAATCAAACTTGCTGTGGAAGCTGACTTTTGTAAAGGTTTATCAGGTGTTGAACATCTCACGGATTCTGCATCAGTTAAGCTTGTGTTACATCTGTTTTTAGGGAGTGTCTTCTTAACATCCATTTTCTCACCACCCTTTGAATTCACACTGAACTGAGACAAAAACTTTGGCAGTTTTTTAACACCTTTTCCATCTTTACGGTATACTGATGAAACTACACTTGAAGCACGAGATGTTGTAGGATTACACATTTTTAAACTTTCTTCACGCACTGGTGTCCTTCTGCTCATATCTGTCTTAACAGATAGTGACCTTCTGCCAGTCTTTAGTTGACTTTTTTTGGTTTTCAAAGCAGCTACCTGCTTTGGTCTTCTTCCACTCTGCACCAATGAAGTGTCTGCAGGAAGTGTACTTTTTTTGTAAAGTGGAAGTGGTGCCACAACTTTCACCGCATAGTCAGGCCCCACTAAAGAATTATATACCCTCTGACTTCTTCTAACCACTTGTTCTACAACAGGAGCAATACCTTCATCAACTAAACCTTCTCCAGAGTTTTCATTCACTTTATCTTCTTCACTTGATGGTGTCTTATCTCCTTTCTCTTCTTCAATAGATGCTGTTGCAGAATCATCACCGGATGCTGAATTCACCTGTGCATCATTCACTTTAAGTTGGACTTCCTTAGCAAGCTCAGACATGACATCTGTCTCCTCTAATAAATCAAACTCCATGTTAAGTGGGCGAGCAAAAGCACACACAGGATGCACGACTAGGACCTCCTCCACTTTCTCTCCTTGGGACGTGACGGGCAAGAGAGTTTCAGCTGGTTTCTCAATGCAGAAAGTCATTCTGTCCTCAGTGTCCACCTTCTTTGCTATTTCGTTTATAAGACCATCATCTACAGGATCTGTTGACACTTCCAAGTTAGGATCCACTATTTCTGAAATTGTGTTTACCACATCTGGAACATTTTCTTCCTTGCCAGTGTCACTTGTCACAAGTGACGAGGTCTCACATTGGATGGTGTTTGCAGAAACATCATCACTGACTCTCTGCATTGGGGACTCAGCTTCCATATTCTTATCCAACAGTCCATTTTCATTTTGGATCATCACATCCGAGTTCCCTGCTTCTTGTTGGGATTTTGGTGAATCTGGAACAGTCTGGTCTGAAAATATCATTAAAATTCAATGACTAACTTCCTTCATTACTTAGACTTTATGGATGCATTTAGAATTGCATATACTGAAAACTTATATACCTCTTTTATAATTTATCCACAAAATAAATACATTGAAAAAAAATCTTATTAAAGCTAAAATCAGACTGCTTACTGGGAAAAACAAAGTAACTACAAAGCACCAGAACCCATTACTGCTTGTCCAAAAAAAAAAATTAGACTAGTTGCATGACATAGTCTGTATTAATTTAATCAGAGAACTGATTTCTTGAGTTGTTTACAAGATACAGGTACCTATTAGGGAACTAAAGCAAACTATAATTAAAAAATTGCAATTATAATAACATTTTACAGATACCAAGAAAAAAAATTAACAGAGGTTAAAGAAGGATGAAGGATATTGATTTATTGATTGAAAATAATTCATTTTCTGATTGGAGCTGCTCATTACCTGAGGTAACACAGTCCTGTTGTTCTATTTCCATCTTACTCTAGACAGTCGGTGGGAACTTGATCTTTGCCCTATAAATGAAAGGACACACCTAAAAATTATTATGGCCTCTAGAGCTTTAAATGTACAAATATGCAAAATCTTCAAAATGATATACTACAGTGAAAAATTGTTCAACTTTTTATTCAAATATTTTGGGAGAAACATATGAAATGATATCTTACATCCTCTACCTACTTTGAAATTCTTCTTTGAAATTAATTATGACACAATAGCTAAAACATTAGCTTTATTTATGTCATAGGTTTTTATTTTAATATAATTATTAAGGTTTGTTTTTGTCTGTCTTTATGATTCTTGTGAAGAATTTTTATGATCATATTTTTCAATCATAAATCAAAGAGCTGTTGTAAAGCTAGGGATGGGTATTGCAAAAAATTTTGTATCGCGATATATCACAATTTTTCTCAAAAATGTTATGATGATACATGTATCATGATATTTTTACACATAATTTTAACTGATTTTTTAATGAATTTTCATATAGTGTGAAAACATAACTTCACTTTTTTTTTCATTTTTATTTACTGGGTATATATTAATAAAGCATGATGCATTTATTTTGCTGATTTACAATATCTTTTACAATTCCTATAATTGTTCTTCAAGAGTTTGAACAAAAAATTTTTATAATCATTCCTGGAAGTAATAATTACATACTGAATACTAGTCCTGGGTATCAGTTGGAAATTTTGTATTGTGATATATTGTGATATTTTTAACTGTATTGCGATATGTATTGCAGTATTTTCAATGACAGTTAAAATGCTCTTTTTCTTATTTTATTAACCTCCATCTATAAGCAATTTGTGTAAAATTAGTATAAATACATTGTTGCAAATTTTTGATGTTGATTTCAGTAAAGTTTTAGAACGAAATGCAACCCTACAACAGCAACTTTGCCGTTTGATACTGTTTGGCACGATTGAAAACGTGACTGACATATTAAGGACCCTCTCTACACTGCACCCTATTTTCAGGGTAATTTTGTGTAATTAGACTGACCTACCATTTGACATACAAGTAGAATAAATTGTAATCTGAACTAAATCACATATTTTGAAATAAATCCAAGTATTCTAAACATTATATTAGACCAAGATAGAGTACCGGGTATTTGAAAACTTTATTTGCATGTATTTTATCCATTTGAGTAAGTGAAAGTAATTTTTCCAAGTTCTATTAATCCACATTGTCTTTGAAGATTTTTCCTGAATACAGAAGGCATGCTCCCTATGTTAAAAATGAGTTAGTTAATTTCAAAATATCCTCCTTTAAGCTAAATAATTTTCTCAAAGTCCCAAAATCATTTTTCATCAGTGTATAGAGGGTCCTTAAATTTCATATTTTACTGAAGAATTCTAAAGCCCAAGCAGTTTGACGGTATACCGGTATTGGAAAAACGTATCACAATACGACATTCTTGGTTAATGAATCGCAATATACAGAATATCGATATTATTGTGTTGCCCTACTGAATACCAGTATTTTAGTCTCCATATCACGATACATATCATGCAATAAAAAAATCATGATATACTGGTTTACTAATAAAATCGCACATTCCTATGCAAAGCAATGGTTCTACTGTGACGCTCAGACTAAGACTATCTACGAGCAGAAAATCAAGCAAATTTCTTGGATTGTCATTAATTCCTTACTGCATTTTAAGTTTGCTGTGACAAATTTCCACAGAAAACTTGTGACAAATTTCCACAGAAAACTTGTGACCGCCTTATGCTCTATATAGGCTAGCATAAATTAATCCTATGTGGAAAAAAGGTACTTCTACAGTAAATCAAAATAAAAGTGATGTAAAGTGTATAAATGAAGTTTTACCTTGTTTAAAAAATTGAGCATGGATATTATTTGCATCCTCATTAGCTATAAATTACAATTACAACTTGTGTGTTGTGAATTACATGCCATCCATCAACAAATTTACAAAAAGCGAGTTTATTGGTCTGTAGAGAGGACAAGAAAGGGTTAGGAGATGAATAAAATATACAGATTGGTTATAGAATATGTCTAAAGTTAGGGAATGAAAGGTAGTTGATTGCATACTGGTCGATGCTGGAAAGTGGCGAAATACATTTCCAAATAGCGCTGAAAAACTTGCGCCGTAAATTGCACCATATTCACTGATATTTGCATTATGGGATCTGTAGCGTTATGGTCAAAGACTAAAATATAAGGTATCCAGTCAACTCGTACCCATTCCGACTCGTACCCAAACCGAGTCGTACCCAAAGAGTCAACTCGTACCCAAAACTGAAGTCATAAAATAAATAATAAAAATACTTGAATTTTTGATATATTTTCATAAAGATATCTGATTTATTATTCTAATTTAGTTACACTACTTATATTTTATAAAATAATGACAATTAAATTAAATTTGTTTGAAAAATTCAACTTTGCATAATATAGATATAGATAGTGCCTAGATAGATTCTTTATTTCCAAATCAGGGCCCTTTCAGGCATCACAAACAACAAGCATGATTTATGCAATTACAAACAGCACAGACAAATTATGAGTATACTAAATAATCTATAGCATATGTTTTTCATAATATAGTATAACACTGTATATGTAATACAGTAACAGTTTAGGGTACGAGTTGACTCCTTGGGTACGACTCGGTTTGGGTACGAGTCGCTTTGGGTACGAGTTGACTGTAAATCAAATATAAAACCATAGCGCTACAGTTCTGCAGCAAGATATTAATTGTACTGGGCCTGTATATAATTTTGGTGAAATATGATGTAAGAGGAATTATTTATAATAAACTTCATTTAATTATCAACCAACTAAAACTTCGACAAATCATGCCGATTTGCCCCCCAAAAGAGCGGTACCGGCTACCGCAGTTATGGACGTTTTCTGCAGGAACACTGCAATACAGATCTTTTCCTTTGTAAATAATAAATTGAAAAAATGGCTCCTATAAAATTTATTAAAATGAACATGATCAAAATTCAATTTGTTTGGAAATTTGGGAAGACATAAAGACGGTAAATACTGACCTGAACTTACCCTCTGTCTTACAGGTGAGACCACGACATTTTACCACTGTCAAGATCTGGAACTGGCTGGTCCACGCTACAATGCTGCGTCAGTGGACAGTTACAGGTTCAGCTTCAGACGCTTTCTGAATATATTACCTCTATTCAACACTGCTTAAGATAAATTTCTTGTGTGTTAAAGCACCACAAGATGAATAAAAAACTTTTACGTACACATTTCAATCGACAATGGACAAAACTCATCCAAAACCGGAAGTACAATTATTACGTAGATTTACGTCACAGCTTTACTTTCGGTTTTCACTAACGCGGAAACTGCGAAATGGCCAAATGGAATTAAATTAGAAAAGAATAAAAAAAAAATCTATTTATCCAAAGTAATGATAACAAATCGAGGCGAAAAAAATAACAATATGTAGACAAATTTAACAGAATTAGGGAGGAAATTAGATAGAATGTTCTATTGTTATGATGTCCCGAGATAAGTTAGATTATTCTATAATGCGAGGTGTAAAGGAGAGTTTGGAGAGGAAGAAATAGGGAAGGTCGGAGTCAGATACAGTAACTTTGAGGAAATGTGTCGAGCCCAAGGTCTGATCAAACCAGCCAGCTTGGGTGACCGAAAAAAGCACCCTGATAAGAAACGAAGAAGTAGCCTGAGTTCAAAAATAATTCATTCAGGATCAGCATTTTGGAAAAAAAATGTTAACGAACAGCTGGACAGACGACAACAGATAACGTTACAAAACTTTAGCATAACTATAAGCTCTTTGACCCAGTTGAGTTACCGGTAATGCGGTCACAGTGACCTACTTTTAGGTCTCTACAACACTTTACCCACTAGATGTATCAACTGACTAGGTGTACAATTGAATGTTATATTTTCCCCGGCTAGACATATGATATAGAAATGTTTGATAATATTTTATAATCTTGTAAATAAAATTATAGAAATTATGTACAGAACCTGGTGAGGTATATGCAGAGGATCTCTGACCAAAAGAGCTTAAAAAAACTGACTAGCTTTAAATCTGGATTGGGTATGACAGTCCAGTAGCCCAGTGGAAGAACATTCACACATATATACAATTAGCAGGAAGCTCCCAGATTCGAGTCCCAGTCTTGAGAATATTGTTATAAAGATTTGATGGTCCAATGCCTAGCAGTGTCCAAGTTAGATCTGGATGCAATTCCACTATGCGTAGCCATACATTTTCAAAATCAGGTCATTGTAACCTACTTTTTGGCTGTGACACCTCTCCCCCAAGCAAAGCTCAATGGTCCTAGGCTTCACAATGTGCAAGATAACAGATGGAAGCTCACAGAATGAAGCTAACAGATGGATAGGAAATAGATGGATAGCAACATGCTACTTGGCTGTCCTAAAAAGCCATATTCTGGTACTCAGACAACTATTTAGGCTAATAGACCTTCATTTCAAATAAAGATTTTATTTTGTTTTTATGTCTTTTATTTTTTGAAAAAGGACAACAAATATCAATTTCAAATGGCATCAATTTGTCTTCATTTTAAATTTTGCCCAGCAAAGAAAATAAATCCATAGTGCAAATCCTCCTTAACATCAACAATTGCAGCATTTCAAGTTTACAAATATATACATCCTATGAATAAGTAAACAATGATTTTTACTTTTCTGTAATTTTCTAAGATTGTGTACATAACCAATTAAACTCTGCATTCATTCCAAACAACTATGCACATTCTGAACTTACAAAAATTCTGCTTAATAAAAAGATATAATAAATGCAGTCATTTCTTCAAGAGAAAACACTGATTTAAGTACTAACAAATAAAGATATCTGTCAATTCTTTATATCTCTTGATCATTTCCCCATGCACAATTATCAAATTCTGTAAGCCTTCTTCCTCCCTCGACGAGTGTTGCGTTGTGTAGTATTGGGCTCCTCAGAGAAGCCCCGTCTGGACCTCAAACTTCGAGTCTGTACTGGCTCCTCCTCCTCCTCAGGTATTTCGGGAATCAGACTGACATCATCCACAGGGGATTCCTCTCTCCTAGCAAAACGAAAGCAAGTCTGATGTAAATCTTATAAACTTTATATGGTGTAGCTGAATATTTTTTTTAGTTGAACTTGTCTCTCTAAAGACTTGAACAACTTTGCAGTTTGAGAAAATTTTTAGCCAAGCCTCAATATTTTTGATGAGCTTGGCATGACTGAAAAAGACTTTCGACTTCACAGTTTGAGAAAGCCAAGGTCAATATTCAAACTAAGATAAATATACTACAAACAAAATTTATTTTAATGTAATCCTGGATTTGACATATCATATTGGTGATATCATAGCTCAACTGTGTGTTTACAATAAACATCCTGCATCAAATTTTCAAATTTTAATTAAAGCCTCAATACTTATTATGAGATGTGTGTATGAGCAACATTGTCCTTACTTTTTTCTCCCCCTTCTCCTAACTTTGTTAACTGGAGGATTGTCTGGAGGTTCAGAGGCCCCTCGTCTAGGCACAGCGAGTTTATCCTGAGCTTCAGGAGTCACACTTCTTGAACCTCGTAAAGACATTCTCCTTGGTATGGATATTTTTTCATGAATAGAAGGCCTGGGTGTTACCAGATCTGAAGGTAATAGTATTGGAGGAACTGTTTCAGGTGCCTGTTGACTTAATCTGATCTGTGAAGGCCTGCTTCTGGAATCTGGCTCTAAACTAAGACGACTGGATATACTGGTGCGACCATCTGGTTCTACACTAAGACGTTTGCTCAAACCCCTTGTCAGTGGTGGGGAGAAGATAAAAGAATTGGCAGCCTCAAAACTAGCTTCCAGCTCTTTCTTGGAATCTGAATGAAACAATAACCTTATACCTGTATATTTTGTTACTCAGTAAATGAACAAATACATAAAAATAGTAAGTGGAGATTTCAACCTTTCATTACTAACTAATTGTCTTACCTTCATCAATCTCTACACCCACTGGCATTGCAAACTCAAAGGACAGAGAAGCTGCATTTTCATCTGAAAAATACAATGCATATTTACTTGTATAAATATCCAATATCCATTAAAGTGTATACTCAGAGACCACAGTGCAATGATACAGTATACTGTAAACAGAGCTGCAGAACTGTAGCTCTCTGCTTGAGAAAATTCGGACAGATAAAGCAGAGAGCTACAGATCCAAGTATTGTAAAAACCTTCAATTTACGCCGCCGCTTTTTTGTCGCTCGCTTCGGCTATTATTCCTTGTATTTTATGCTTTCCTCCACTTTAAGAATTGTATCAGATAAATTGCAATATATGTTACTGTTATATTTTAGATATTTTCATGGGGTAAAATTTTGCATTTTTTTTCCCTTAAGAATTTACAAAACGTTTTGGCATGTTTACTACTGCCCCCTTTTAAAAAGCATACAAGTGGTGAGAAATTTCGCAAAACATTACTCATCGCTGAAGTTTCCCACTCTCAAACATTTCTGCATTTACAGTATATTGATAGCTTCATGCAATGAACATTCTGAGAAACTTACTTTTATTCTCATCTTCAGACATCTTGTCCTCATCAGTTTCTGTTAGATAAAAATAAATTTAATGTTTTCACTGCAATTGATCTAAGTTTATAAACTACATAAATCTTAATATGAAGATTATAATCTAAAGCACATGAACAGTGTTACTATGTCTTTCTTACAAAAGATTAAGGAAACGTTAATTTAATAGAATTTTCTGATTCAACATTACTTGTGGAGAAAAAAATTGAGAAATGAAACATATCGCTGAAGTAAAAGTAAACAAAATAAACCTTCATTATTGCTGATCCTTTCTTCACCCTCTATTCCCTGACTCTCTGGCTCTGATAATGTTTTCTCCTCTTCCTCCTTCAAACTGCCCTCCTTCTTAGTCTCTTCTGCCTCCTCCCCATCCAGCTCTTTTAAGGCCTGTTTTTTCCTTCCTCTCCTACTGGGAGTGATCTGGGTTTGAGTAAGAACTAGTACCTCTGTCACTTGTCTCTCTACAATGATTCTTGTACCATGTCTGCTTGGAGTGACAACTACATCAATCTCTGACTCCTGAACACTTATATCTGTGTCCGTCTGTTTTCTCCTGCCACGTCTGCTTGGACTAGTTGAGATTTTTGCACTCTCCACTTCAGATTCCTTATCCTCTAAGTTTGTGTCTGTCTGTTTCCTCCTGCCATGTCTGCTTGGACTAGTTGAGATTTTTGCACTATCCACTTCAGATTCCTTATCATCTAAGTCTGTGTTCGTCTGTTTCCTCCTGCCACGTCTGCTTGGAGTAGTTGAGATTTTTGCACTCTCCACTTCAGATTCCTTATCCTCTGTATCTGCTTCTGTTTGTTTCTTTCTACCATGCCTGCTTGGAGTCACAGGAGGTTCTTTAATTTCAGTTTCTGACTCCTTTTCTTGTTCGTCTGCTTCTATATGCTTTTTCCTTCCCTGTCTGCTAGGAGTGGTCACTATTCTTGTTCCTGTTGCATCTATCTCTGTTTCAGTAGTTTTGTTGACTTCATCCTGCTGCACTTGATCTTTTTTCTTAGTTCTTCTAGATGGGGTTTTTGTCTGGTGAACCTCTACCTCAGATGACTCACTGTTCAGCTGTTTCCTTCTTCCTCTCCTTGGAGTGGGGCTTACCTCCTTCTTCACCTTTTTTTCCTAAAAAAAGATGCAATAAATTTAATAGTCAATATTCACTAGATTACTGGGTTTATTATTAAATAAAAATTAGGGGAAATTATCATGTGTGAATTAATATTCTCTGTCAAAGTACTTGTGACAACACCAAAAAATTAATTTGTAGTGAAAATAACTTACATAAACATGTAAATAACAAGAGGCCCAGGGGCCACATAGCTCACCTGAGCATCCGGCTAGGAAAAAGCAGAAATCAGTCTTGAAAAGTTTTGATATAAAAGTGGTTCAAGGGAGGGGGGGGGGGGTGATTTGAACTAACTTGAATCTATACTTCATAGGGATGCTTTTGAATTATGACAAATAATGGCTTTGCTGTTCTTAAGAAGACAATTTTTATTGATAAATCATTTGTATTCCTTTTTATAACTATGATCCCCTGTTATGGCCCCTCTATATCCTGGGGGGTCATGATTTGAACAAAATTTGAATCTACATTACCCGAGGATGCTTCCATTTAAATATGACTAATTATGGCTTTGCTGTTCTTGTGAAGAAGATTTTTAAAGATTTTTCCTATATATTCCTATGTAAAACTTTTATCACCGATTGTGGCCCCATCCTACCCCCAGGGCTCATGATTTGAACAAACTTGAATCTACACTACCTTAGGATGCTTCCATATAAGTTTCATATTTTCAAGCACAGTAGTTCTTGAGATTTTTAAATGATGCCATTAATTTTTCACAAATTCATAATTATCTCCCCTTGGAAGAAGGCGTGGCCCTTCATTTGAACAAACTTAAATCCCGTTTACCCAAGGATACTTTGTGGCAAGTTTGATTGAAATTGGCACAGTGGTTCTTGAGAAGAAGATGAAAATGTGACAAGTTAATGACGACGACAGACAACGGACAAATTTCGATCAGAAAAGCTCACTTGAGCCTTCGGCTCAGGTAAGCTAATAAGAAGAATATGGCTGTAAAACCACAAATTCAAATTGGAGCAAAAAAGCTCTTTGTTAGAAACACTGAAAATAAATATGATTCATATTAACTGTACACATGCATAGTAAAGTTTTTAATTGCAACATTACTTATCTTGTGTTTGAAATTCATGTTTTACCTCTTTTGATTTTGGAGATGTACTTCTTTCTCTGGAGGAGGAATTTGCTGCTTTTCCCCTGGTCCTTCTTGATCTGACAGAGGTCTCTAGTATACTGTCTTGTGAGGGTGAGAGTGATTTTTTACCTCTGAGTCTGGAGGAATGTCTGGTGGGTGTGACGGGCACTTCTGCAACAGGAGATTTCGACTTTGAGCCTCCTCTTCTAGCTGATTGTCTGACTGATTTTTCAACAACAACACTAGAAGATGTATCTTGTGAAAAAGATTCTGATGTTTTCCTGGTGGAATGTCTTGAAGGAGTGACCTTGCTCTTGTTGACAACCTTTTCTTGTGATTTTGACCTGGATCTAGAGCGACTTTTGGCAGTTTTCTGTGAGGGCGATACACTTGAAGATTCAGATTTAGATCCTTTCCTATATTTTGTAGAGGGCGATCTACTTGATGACTTGTGTTCTTTTGTCTGAGCTGTTGACACATTTTGTTTCCTTGACCTTCCTCTTCTTGACTTGTGTTCTTTATCCTCACTCTCTGATTCTTCATTTTCAGGCTGTGTACCAGAGTCTGGAATATCTTCTGAAACCTCACTCTCCATTTCTTCCTGTTCTGTAGAAAATTCCTTCTCTGAATCTGACTTTTTTGCAGTTTTCCTGGAAGGGGTTCTACGTGTTCTTTTTGATACAGACATAGACACATCTTTTTTATTGTCTTTTTCACCAGGAGATTTTTTTGTCCTACCATCTGTTGATTCATTCAGAAAAGATCCATCTGCTTTTTTGGAAAATTTGGAGGGCTTCCTTCCAAGAAGTTTTTGTTCAGAGGGTGGAGATTTTAAACTAAATTTAAACTTCTGAGATCTTAGATTTCCTCTACGCGCCTTAGATTCCTTTTTCATGTTAACTTCATCATCTGGGGAAACGTCTAATTTTCCATTCATTGAAGAAAACACTTCATTATTATCAGTTCTCACTTCCGATGTACTATCTGCTTCAGCTGTCTTGCTGAAATCAAAGCTAGTACCTCCATTTTTATATCCAGGTGAATCCACCTGTACAGGTGGTGAAAAAGTAAACTGATGCTTTGATCGTAAACGTTGGAAAGCCCTTTTCTCTACTAATGGCACATCATCTGTACTTGCTGGTGGAGCGAAAGCATACGTTGGTATGTTGTCTACAGAACTGTCAGCTGCAGACACAAGAGTTCTGTCTTTAACTTGTTCCATTGTCATACTAACTTCTTCACCAGATTGATCAGGAACATTATCTTCTTCCCCATCCTCATCCATAGTAAGGTCAATCTCGATGGGTTCCTTCACTTCTGTGGTAGTGCTAACTTCCTCTTCTGAAGTCTTTACAGTTTCTATATCACTGAACAATGCCGTCCTTTCCTGTGACAGTTTGACAGTGGGAGACCTGCAGACTGAACCGATGTTCAGTTTCTTTGGACTGGCTTTATGTGGGGAGTTTTTCAGCTGAGTGAACCTCCCTTTGGGGAAGTTTGTCATTATAATGGTAGGTGACACCTCCCCAATCTTTGAGGCAGCTGGTTCCACATCCTTCGGTGATGATCTAATGGCACTGATCTCACTGGGATATGGCACAGCTGGAGAGTGGAAAGATCCATCTTCTTCCATTTCTGTAATGTAAAATACTTACATGTATGTTTGGTCATTGTATTAACTTTATTATATGAATATCATTTTCTAGACATTTCATTTCCATATCTACTGATCTATGAAATTACTGCTCAATACTTAAATAAAGTGTACCTATGTCTTCTCCTTGGACTTTGTTTTTTGTGGTTTCCTCATCTGATATACTTGTTCTCGGAGTGCGGTTCACCTTGTCCAGTTTTGAGCGGTTCTTAGGGGACATAGAAATGCTGCAAAGTTAACAAAAATAAAAATAATGTTCTGCACTTTAAATCCTTACATAATGAATTTCAAACAATGATAAAATAAACCCATACTTTTCCGGAGTTGGACTACGGTCTTTCACAGGTCGGACGGGGGATCTAGCCAGGGCTGACTTGACTTTAATTGGTGATCTTGGGGTACTAATTGATTCCCTAGCACCACCATCTGAGAAGCGTAGTTTTTTGGGAGATGGAACAGGAGAAACTCTCCTAAGAATTGGAGGTTCCAGTTCAGCAGACCCTTCATCATCTTCCATGGCAAATCTCAATTTTTTTGGTGTTCCATGAACTGAATCGGAATTCACCAGTAGCGAAACTTTTGGAGAAGTAGGCTTGCTTGGTTTAGGAGAAACAGTCATGGACTCTCCACTGAAGCCCAATTTTTGGGATGGAGGTGCCGTGGACAGATCTTGAATCAAAACATAAAACTTATTTTGGAGAACTTTCAGTAATATAATCAAGACTTTTTCTATGATGAATACCTTCTATAAACAAAAAAATAAATGCTTCATGACATACCTTTGTTGCTTGTATCTGGTGACAGTAATTGGGAGGAGCTGTTTATAAGGTTGCGGACTTTCAAGATAGACTGAGGAGTTGGGACAGATGACAATGATCGAACAGATTTTCTTGGAGTTTTTCGTTCCACTTTTGGGGTTTGCAAGAGTTTTAATGCAGAAGCTCCTTGAACCCTCATTTTAGATCTATAAAATAATATGACATTTAATGTTTTCCTTCAAAATAAAGACAATCAATTGCAACTCTATATGGTTAATCAAAGAGGTTTACATGTTCTTCATACCTGATGGGGGTAAGACCACTTGCATTTAAGCTGAGACTGGTATTCTGCCAGGCTGTTGTATTAATTTCTGGGTAAACCACAGCAGTAGTTTTTCTGAAACAAGAAATTTGATCTTCATTAAAAGAAAAACAGGTAAACTGCAATATTTTGCAAGCAGCAAAATTATTGTAAAATGATACCCCAGTGTCCAGATATCTGAGTTGAGACCCATTGTTCAAAGTTTCATAGGCAAAACAATGACAAAACAAAAACAAAACATTGGCAAAACAAAGATAAAACAATTTGCTTTAATTGTCAAACACAGCATACTTCCCACTGTCAGAGATTAACAATCACTTACAACGTCTCATTCACTCTTGGTGTAAGAGGAGTTCCAAAGACAGCATTTCTAGATATTCTTTCAGGGGTTCTACAAAACAGATGAAATTTAGTCATACGGTATTACTACTTATATTAATAATTTCAACCTGCTGCAAGTTTGGACATCATAATCTGACTCTATCTGTGCTAAACCTACCTGTCAGAGGTGTCCATTTTTTCATCAGTCTCCATTTCTTCCACATGGTTCATTACATCTGCATACAGAGAGGACCGCGACTGCATATTATAGTTTCTCTTTGTGACTTTAGTAGACAAAGGCTGGGGTCTCTTGACTTAAAAAAAGTAAGGATATTTTGAATTTAATATTTTTGATAAAGAAGGTTTTAAACAAGTTCAGATCCCAACAAAACTGCAGTTTTCATACCCTCTCTCCTTGATGATGGTGGCTTCCTTTGGCAATGATAACTCTCCCAAACGAGTTTCCTCTGCACACTCGTTAAAACCGACATGAAACCATCAACAATAGCATTTCTGGCTGTGGCTCTTTCTCTGGCTTTTGCACTTGCATCAATCTTAAAAAAAGAATTATCATAAACTAGAGGCACTGTGAGCACTGAGCTCACAAAATGATACCCTACGCTCTTATGTAATAGCAGAGTCTATGTTTTGCTATGGGAAACCCCAAATATCTTAACAATTGAAATGTAAAATAGGAGATGCACTATGTAATAAAGATTCTGTGGTCTGATATTCAGTGGTATAGGAGGAGTTGCAGATAAGAGATTACTCCCAATATTATCAAAAGAATGGCAGAGTCCATGTTTTGTTATGGGAAACCGAAAAAATGTGATCGAAACATAAAAAAGGAGATGCACAATGCTACTCTGTAATATAGATTTCCTGAAATTTCATTAAATTGCATTCTTTGCAATAAATGATGGCTACACCCAAGTGTAATGGACAGGCAGACATATGGACAGACACCCCTATCACTATATCCATATGCATATATAAATATGTAAAACAAACGTGTCTTACATGCACCTTCCATCACATAGGAAACAGAGGTCTGAATTATTTTTTGTTGTCAATCTTAATGATACTGTTCTAGAATTCTCAGGGATCGACATTAACGGTTGTCCGATTGCCCGGGACAAGTAAATTCTTAGTTCGGGCAAGTGAAATTGTCGACATACTTGTCCGATCGGGCAAGTGAATTTTTCTCATACAAATGTACATATTTAGTTTACATTAATTTATAAATAAAACAATAGATTGAACACTTGATTCCCCCCCCCACACCTGACTGACAATGTTCTCAATCGAAATTTCTTGGTAGCGTTTCTGGATTATACCGTTCATTTAAAAAATCGAGTTCGTTATTTTCTTTCGTAGTAAATACGCTCTACGTCTAACAAATTTTGTGAACTTCTTATTTATTTATTTATTTATTTATTTATTCACGCACAGAATATAAGTACGTTGTAACACGATGTATCCTGATCACGATAAGAGGTACTAAGTATGTTTCGTAGCAACTATCTTCCTTCAGCGTTGCTTCACAGTTATCTCTGAGAATCACGAATCGCAAAATGATCCTACCGCAAATAATTTTCAAAAATATGAATTTTATTAAAAGGAAACGGAGGGTTATTGCTGTATGGCAGTGTGTGTTAACAGGTTATATTTACAGCGATATACGTTTTTGTACAATTTTTTTCAGGTATCTCAAAATGCCAAATTGACAGTAGTGTATTTCGTCACATTTTTTTTTTCTTTCCATAACATTTACAGTAATTAATAATTTTTTTCTTAACTTCTATCCTAATTTTGGGCAACCAAGTTTTCCATTCGGACAAGTCAAAGTTTGAGATCACTTGCCCGAAGGGCAAGTGAATCTGAAAGTTAATGTCTATCCCTGATTCTATAAGGTTTCTTACAATTACATCCTATATCGGTCTCAAGCACAAAAACAAAGAGCTATAATAACATATTTTTGAGTTAGCTCACAAAATTATACCTCTGGATTTTTTTTTTTAAAATTTTAAAAAAAAATTTTTTTTTTAAGGGCTGTATCTAATTTTTCTTGCTTACAAAGCTATGAACCATACTAGAATTATACATTTTTTTCTGCCAGTGACCTTGAACTTGCCTACATGACTTTGGATCAAGGTCATGACAAACCCTCAGGTCATCAGTAATCTTTGTGTGAAGTATAAATTTCCAATTATTCAATAGTTTTACATTAGAAATGAACAGACCAAACATGTATTTTACTTTTACAAGTGTTTTTACTACCAGTGACCTTAAACTTGTCTAAATAACCTTGAGTTGAGGTCATGACACAACCTCAAGTCATAAGCAATCTCTGGGTAAAGATCTGTCTTTCTGCATTACAAAGTTATGGTCTGGACACAATTGCAAGGACAGGCAGACAAGGTGTGTCCTATATACCCCCACCAAAACTGGTGTGCAAAGGTATAACAAATGCCTATGGATTTACCATCACAGTTTGTTTAAGTTTCTCGTTGAGTCTGATGGCCTCTACATAACAAGCCCTCTGTAAATAGTGTAGTATGAGGATCTCCTGGCAGTACTGGTCACTGCTGGTGGTCAGAAACTGGACAAGGGTTTCTTCCTCCTGACTGGTCATTGGTAGCTGTAGAAGTTGATCCACCCTCTTAGCTTTAAAACATAAGTAGAATTCACTCAAGGTCAAGGATGAGAAACTTACATTTATCTTAAATACATGTATTTTCACAACTACCATTATCAATTCGAAAAAGTATTTAAAATTAAATTGCTTTTCTCAACACTTCTTACAAAGATTAATGTTGCATTTCCTTTTGGGAAACTGTGAACCACATTTCCTTTTGGGAAACTGTGAACTACCTTTGGCAAATAAATGTTTAACAGGGACATTATCTATTTACTTTTTTGACAGGCCTGGAAAATGTGTTGCAGTAAATCCCAAGCATGTGTTTGATCCTGACATGATCTCTGGTACTCCAGTGCTTCAGCTGTTAACCTGAACAAAGTGAAATGAGTGATATACCAATCTTGATTATTCAATAACATATCATAAAAATAGAATTTCTAGAAACACACTTACCTACTAACAAGAAGTATTGTTAACTTTAGCTACTAGCAAGAAGTACTGTTCACTTAGCTACTTACCTACTAGCCAGAAGTACTGTTAACTTTAGCTACTTACCTACTAGCCAGAAGTACTGTTAACTTAAGCTACTTACCCACTAGCAAGAAGTACTGTTAACTTTAATTTCACTTCTTCTGGAGTAGACAAGGAAGGCTGGACAGTTGCGAGATAACGAGCAGCCATTTTACTTTCTCCTTGGTACAACAGGGACTTTACAATTCGCTGATGCTGCCACCTGCCGAAGTCCATAGTCACCAGAGGGTCCAGAATCAGGGACATGGACTCCTAGTGAAAGAGATGTTTGACACAAGTTTTAATATTTACACATCTGTTTTGCTATTCCTTACATTAAGTCAGCTTGTTAGCATTATAATAGAAAACTAGTAGACTAATTGTTCACAGAACAATTAGAGGTCTTTCCACCTTCTTTAAATTTCATATATTCTTCATATTTAACTCTCTACTGTTTATTTTTATACAAGAGAAACCAGAAATGGCTTGAAAAATGGAAAAAATGAAAAATTTAAAAATTTTGAAATGACCTTGACCTTTGACCTTGAATAAATATTAAAGGTCAAAGGTCAAGGGTTACATTGCACTTGACCCCATGCTTCTACGACTTTTAGTTTTAAAGTTATAAGGTTTAATAGTAAGCACGAAGACGTTAAAGGGCAATAACTCATATAAGGGGTCATCGGATCCTTTGGCATTGAATAGATTGCAGTTGTGTCTAAAGACCCTGACGACTTTAGTGTAGATTTCGTGTCTCTGCGGTTTACGGTTTTGGAGAAGTAGCGATAACAAGGTTTTTCGCACAAGGGGCAATAACTTTCAAAGGGGTTAAGCTTAGGGGACAAGAATGAAATCTTTGAAATAGATTTAAGAGTACATATTAATGATGCAAAGACAGATAGTATATGTTGAAAGACAAACGAGTTGTAGAAAGAGCTTATTTTCTCATTTTTGGAATGACCTTGACCTTTGACCTTTACTTATATTTTAAGGTCAAAGGTCAATGAAACATATACAGTTGGTCCCATGTCTCTACAACTTATCGTTTTGAAAATTTTTAATTATTCGTAAACATCAAAAACTTTCAGGGGCAATAACTCATAAAAGGGGTCAACGAATACTTTCGCAATGAAAAGATTGAAGAGTCCTCTCAATTATTCCAAGACATTGGTAAAGGTTTCGTACCTCTACAGTTTACGGTTTCGAAGGAGTAGCGATAACAAGGTTTTTCGTACAAGGGGCAAGAACTCCGAAAGGGGTCATAGGTCATACTCGTTGGGTAGTTTTTCGAAATAACTTTTGATGTCGAGTATCATGAACTATAAAGTTTTTCGTTAAGTCTTTCGATTCAAAAGGCCGTAGCGGAAAAATAATAATAATAATAATAACTAGGAGACTAATTGTTCTCGAACAATTAGAGGTCTTTCCACCTTCTTTAAATTTCATATATTCTTCACATTTAACTCTCTACTGTTTATTTTTATACAAGAGAAACCAGAAATGGCTTGAGAGATGGAAAAAATTAAAATTTTAAAAATTTGGAAATGACCTTGACCTTTGACCTTGAACAAATATTCAAGGTCAAAGGTCAAGGGTCACATTGCACTTTACCCCATCCTTCTACGACTTTTAGTTTTAAAATTATAAGGTTTAATAGTAAGCGCAAAGACGTTAAAGGGCAATAACTCATATAAGGGGTCAGCAGATCCTTTTGCACTAATAGACTGAAGTTGTGTCTAAAGACCCTGAAGACATTAGTGAAGGTTGGATGTCTCTACCATCTACGGATTCGGAGGAGTAGCGATAACAAGGTTTTTCGCACAAGGGGCAATAACTTTCAAAGGCGTTAAGCTTAGGGGACAAGAATGAAATCTTTGGGATAGATTTAAGAGTACATATTAATGATGCAAAGACCAATAGTATATATTGAAAGACAAAAGAGCTGTAAAAAGAGCTTAATTTCTCATTTTTGGAATGACCTTGACCTTTGACCTTTACATATATTTTTAGGTCAAAGGTCAATGAATCTTATGCAGTTGGTCCCATGTCTCTACGACTTATCGTTTTGAAAATTTTTCATTATTCATAAATATCAAAGACTTTCAGGGGCAATAACTCATAAAAGGGGTGCACGAATACTTTCGCAATGAAAAGATTGAAGAGTCCCCTCAATTAGTCGAAGACATTGGTGAAGGTTCCATACCTCTACGGTTTACGGTTTCGAAGGAGTAGCAATAACAAGGTTTTATTGCGAAAGGGGTTGTAACTCCTTAAGAGGTCAAAGTTCATACACGCAGGGTCAACTACAAAAATCTTTCAAAGAGTACATTCTTATGGACTATAAATCTTTTTGATATATCTTGAAACATAGAATCACATCAGGGGGTGGAAAAATAATAATAATAATAATAATAATAACTAGTAGACTAATTGTTCTCGAACAATTAGAGGTCTTTCCACCTTCTTTAAATTTCATATATTTTTCATATTTTACTCTCTGAAGTTAATTTTTATAGAAAAAGAATCCATAAATGGCTTGAAAGATAGAAAAAATGAAAATTTAAAAATTTTGAAATGACCTTGACCTTTGACCTTGAACAAATATTCAAGGTCAAAGGTCAAGGGTCACATTGCACTTGACCCCATGCTTCTATAACTTTTAGTTTTAAAGTTATAAGGTTTAATAGTAAGCGCAGAGACATTTAAGGGGGATAACTCATATAAGGGGTCATCGGATACTTTCGCACTGATAGATTGAAGTTGTGCCTAAAGACCCTGAAGACATTGGTGAAGGTTTTGTGTCTCTACGGTTTACGGTTTCGGAGGAGTAGTGATAACAAGGTTTTCAGTGAAAGGGGCAATAACTTTTAAAAGGGTAAATCTTAGGGGACAAGTATGAAATCTTTGAAATAGTTTTAAGAGGACATATTAAAGATGCAAAGAGATTTAGTATATAATGAAAGATAAAAGAGATATAAAAAGAGCTTAATTTCTCAAATTTTGAATGACCTTGACCTTTGACCTTGAAAAAAATTTCAAGATCTGAGGTCAAAGAATCTAATGCAGTTGGTTCCATGTCTGTACGACTTATCGTTTTTAAAATTTTTCATTATTTGTAAACTTCATAAACTTTCAGGGGCAATAACTCATTGAAGGGGTCGACAAATCATTTCGCAATGAATAGATTGAAAAGTCCTCTCAAGTAGTCAAAGACATTGGTGAAGGTTCTGTATCTCTACGATTTACGGTTTTGAAGGAGTAGCGATAACAAGCTATTCTTGCGAAAGGGGCAATAACTTTGTAAGAGGTCATAGGTCAAACATGTTGGGTCGTTTTTCGGAATAACTTTTAATATCCAGTATCATGAACTATAAAGTTTTTTGATAAGTCTTGCGGTTTCAAAAGTCCGGGAAGAAAAAGAATAATAATAATAATAATAATAATAAACATAAGCATTTCAAGAGGTCTTTCCACAGAAAGGTGGAAAGACCTAATAATAATAAACAGAAGAATATCAATAGGTCTTTCCACAGAAAGGTGGAAAGACCTAACTAGAAACTCATTGCGAGCAATGAGAGGTCTTCCGTCCGATTTTGAAAATAAAAACGAAAATTCAAGCTGAAAAAGAGATAAAAGAAATTCAGACACTCTGGAGATTTAACTCTAGTCGTCAGCGTGAAAATCCAACGTGCTAACCATTTACCATTCACTTTTTTACATCACTTCCGGTCACGACCGGAAATACCGAAAGTAACGGCGATACAAGATTTTCTCACGATTCAAATAAACTGATGACTGACCATCAGTCCAGAAAGTTTTAGACCTTAGTCGTTTACTGTCGTTGCCGAGCAATATTGTGAGATCAAATTCTAATTTTGAGGACAGGTAAACACGAGACCGGAAGTGAATTTTAAAAAAAATCTCTGACTTTTCTCTAGACATTTGCAGTATATACAACATACATAAAGTCATTTCAAGTACTTTATCGATGAGCAATATTTATGAGAAAGTTAAATATCAAAATAAAGTAGTTTATCTCCTAGAACCGGAAGTTGACGTTTTTATTTCCGGTGGAATCTAACATATTTCAAAACAGCGAAAGAGATGCAATAAAGTGATGCAAGCATTAATTTAAAAAAGAAAAGTTAGTTTTTTTTAGATTTCTTTGATCACTTACTGTGACAAGCGGAAGTGACGACTGACGCGTTTAACCCAAATGGTTTTGCCTACACCTCAAGGTCTATTACTCATAAAAGATTGGTGTTTTATTCTTTTACCTGGTTTTGAGATCTCGCTCAGACAACTTCACATTTTGAGGACAGGAAGACATGCGACCGGAAGTGAATTTTTGAAAGATATTTAAGGTTACTCTAGACATTTGCAGTCTGAATAACATATTTAAAATTCATTTCAAATACTTTATCTAGAAAAAATATTGATGGGAAAGTAAAATACTCAAATTATGTAGTTTTTCTCTTATAACCAGAAGTTGTCATTTTTGTTTCCGGTGGGACCAACATCTTTCGAATCTGTGAAAAAGATGCAATGAAGTGATGCAATTTTTACTTAAAAAAAGAAAAATTGAAATTTTCGATTTCTTGGATCACTTCCTGTGACGACCGGAAGTGACGGCCGACGCTCTGAACCCAATTGGTTTTGCCTACATCTTAAGGTCTGATGCTCATATAAGTTTGGTGTCCTAATCTCTCACCGTTTCCGAGATCTTGCTCAGACAACTTCTCATTTTGAGGACAGGAAAACACGCGACCGGAAGTGAATTTTACAAATATAATTAATGTTACTCTAGATATTTGCAGTCTAAATAACATATGTAAAATTCATTTCAAATACCTTATCTACAAAGGATATTAATGGGAAAGAAAAATACTCAAATTATGTAGTTTTTCTCTTATAACCGGAAGTTGACGTTTTTGTTTCCGGTGGGACCAACATATTTCGAAGCTACGAAAGAGATGCAATAATGTTGTGTAGGATTTGATTTGAAAATGCAAAGTTGAAATTTTACGATTTCTTTGATCACTTCCGTAAGCGACCGGAAGTGCCGACGACGAACGAAAAGGTGATTCTGTTCACCTATAAGTCATGCCCTATACTCTCTTACAAGTCTCCAGTTCATATCTTTTACCATTTTTGCAAAAAAGGGGCGACAAAATTTCATTTTAAAATCAGGAAATTGTCCATAACTTGGCACCGGAAGCGAATTTTCAAAATTCCTCCAAGATGTATCAAGTTCCTATAAATGCGCATAATTCCTGAAAATTTCATAGAAAACCACTGAATAGTTGCTGAGAAATCGCGTGCACAAAATTTAGGAAAAAAAATAAGAATAATAATAATAATCATAATAATAAAAAGAAACAGTAGAATCACTATAAGGTCTTCCGTGAAGACGGAAGACCTTAATAAACAGAAGCATTTCAAGAGGTCTTTCCACAGAAAGGTGGAAAGACCTAAATACAGTATTTAGGAGCATCTCTTATGGCAATTTTTTTTTTCATAAAACGAGGCTTATATTGAAAAATAACTTTTATCTTTTTACTCACCTGGAAGTCCTTGTGATCCAGGAGCCAAAATCCTTGGACCTGCTTCACAACAGTATATGGAATCCCAAATTTCCTAGAGAATTTTTGGACTTGTGATGCCAACTACAAAATTAGAGAATTTCAAATTGAAATATGTGTCTGTTCATGCAGAAAGGGTATTCAAAAACTGTGTATTATTTGCTTCAGAAGAGACACTAGTGAGCTACCTTATCATGGGTGGCAGGATCTGCTAGAGACACCATGTCCAAAAGAGAGTACAGAACCATGGAATGTTTGTCCATCAGAGAAATGTCATCCAGAAGGTAGATACTCAACAAAGCCTATTAAAAATGTGTGTCTTCTTAATAGATCATACAATGATTATTCATTGCTCATGGTTATTACAGTAAATATTCATCTGTTAACAGCCTTTAAAATGGCTGGTCACTCACAAGTTTCAGGAATTTAGCAACTTACATGCAGAGTATTGGGAGGATACATCCCAGTTCCTCCCTCGCTGTACCAGAGGTTCCGCACCTTCTCTCCCATCTGCTCTCCCATCCCATCAATCATCAAAACATCTGTCAATCCTATAGAGCTGTCAAATGGAAACACAAGTCACTTATTTTGGCAAAGGCGAGGAAGAAAGGAGCAAAAAAACAACTGTGATTCAGGACTAAATTTTCCCTGGAAATTTGATCTGCTTTAGACAAACCTGTCCAGTTTTTGGATTTCCTGCCTTTTCTGTGTGTAGGACTGGATGAGAAATCCAGCTGGGTACTTGTACTGCTGATCATTCTCCTCCTCCTCTATAATATAAATTATCAACAGTTATATATAGGGACATGTACTTACTGAGTTTTTAGAATATAATAATTCCCTTATATATGTATTTCAGGTGATTTTATAGCATTTATCCCCAAGACATAATTGTGTGTTGGGTACAGAAGTAGGCATATCTTTTATACTGATGAGAAGAAGAAGTAAAGTTCTCATAGAATAGCAATAAAATACTCTATATGGTGCTAATATTAACACTTTAACTATAAATGTAAGATCATCATAATTGAACATACAACAATGCTATGAATAGAATATACAATCATTTTCTAACCATCTTTATTTGGAAGGAGTCCCATGTTGTAAAACCAAATAACCATCTGCAAATGCTGCTGTATAAACGTAACAACAGACAACTTATCCTGCAAGTCACCAATACCTGCGAAAATAATATACAGTTTTACTAATGTATGAGGTGTGACTAAAACTGTATATACATTTGTAATTACTTTAAGAACATTAGAAGACAGTAATTTTGTCAAAAGCTAACCCTCTTCAGTGCTGGGTGCTGACTGGGTGATAAGAGCCTTGATAATGGCTTCAATACTACCCAATCTCTGATTGGATTGGTACAGAGTCTGTACGGCTCGCCTGTCTAGTGGAATTCCAGAAAAGTCGTACAAAGTCACACCTGAAAAGATTGTTCAAGATATCTCAAATTTTGAATTCATTTAAGATTGATGGAATATGTGTAAGTTGAACAAAAATTAAAAAGAAAAAAACTTTATAGTCATTACAAAACCTGTATAATATGGAGAGGAAATAAACTACTTACAAGAGTTATCAATGTTGTTCTTGATCTCAGCAACTCGATTCCAAACCCAATCCAAGAGGAACTTCAGAGTACAGCCAACATGCACAAACTCTGTAGAAAATGTATTTGGTACATATACACATACAGGTACTTCAACAACTATTAAACAAATACTTCAACAACTATTAAACAAATCTTGGAAAATAGATGAATCAATGTTACAAATGTACCTCCTGGGGCCCATTCCTGGACACACTTGATAATGAAAGACAGCATGTGGTAGTTAAGAGCCATAGTCAGTAAGGATTCCTTCATTTGCACCTACAAAGCATAAGGAAACTTTACATGGTTTCCACTTCACACTACACATTAACATCATATAAAAGCAACACTTCCTTTAACCACAGACTGTCACTACAAAATAACTTTCCACTTCAATGTCCAATCTATAAACTTCCTTAAACAAAATCAGTATCTTTGTTTTGATATTTATTTTCTTTTAGACATTTTCTTTTCTAGCAAAACTTACAGGGGTGGGATTGCTGGCAGTGGAGTCCAGAGGCCTGGGCAACAGTCCCACAACTATACACAAGTTGTACAGTTCCTTAGGATTTAAAAGTATTGAGGGTCCCACTTTTTGCATTGTAGCCATTACCTTAAAAAATTAAACTATGAGAGTGACAATATTAATTCATAACAAACTTACTACAATTATCTAAAGCATATATCTATTTCCCATTTAAATTCTGCATCAATCCTATCCACATACAATAAGTAAAGCATGTTTAAATAAACTAACAAATCTTGAATAGAAAAATCATACATGAATTTTCATACATAATGAAAAGACAGAAATCCAAGTTTTGTCTGGAATTCTTTGATCCTATTTACCTGCCGTTGGGTCCCAAGATAGTGTGCTTTCACTACCCCTTCATCCACAACACACAATGCATCTAAAATAAACAATCAATGCTATTAGTGCCAGTATATACTCAACTATTTTCTCTAAGTTGTAAATAGTTACGATTTTCCTCCAAAGAATAAAGTTGAGGCAAAATTTTACAGTCTCATTAGCCTTACTAAATGCAAGTGCAGAAGGATAAAAGTGTTGTTCTGGTGGCATGAGGGAGGTGTTGGTAAATCGACTCAGCTTATCCACTGATAGGTACACAGCCTACAAAAATCATACAAGTCCTGCACAAAAGTAATAATCAACTTAGGAAAAAAGTAACATCAAGGATGTGACAAGTTTTGTATGTACACCACCATTGTTTACCACTGCCAAAATGTAAGATCCTCTCCCATTCTGGCCATGGTTGAATGAGGAGAAGCAAATACTTCATAGATCATAAAAATACTGACCAATGCATGTAAAGCATAGTTGGAAAATGTCCTTTGATGCAACCTTTTTATAGCCAATGGCAGTTTATGTAACATTTATGTAACATTAACTGTGTATTGTTGGTTGAAATTACAAAATAAACAAATTATTTCCATGGGTTTAACATGACGTCACAAAACAGAGGTGTGATTATTTAACATTACAATACTTTATGTGAGCAAGCAGTCTCCAGTAGAAGAGAGCTACACCGTATATACGGACTCCCCTCTGTGGCTTGAGATGATGATGTATGCATCCCAATACTTTAAGGTTCAAAAGTTTACATACCAGAACAGATCCTTGCTCAGACTGCTCCGCAATCTCATCCAGACTTAGAAAGGAAAAGTAAGAACAAGTGTCCATAGGCCCTGATGCTGCTCTGTAAAATAATGTAATTAACTAACGTTACACACATCTGAAATTTTAACTTGAAGTACATTTGTACAGCCATATGGAGAGTGAAAAGCTAAACCTTCACAACAGAGACAGTTCAGGCTCCATACTGTAGGAACTTTACCTGACAGTATAGGGCATCTGAGCATGGTACCAGCGATTCATGTCAAATATTGCCATGTGTGATGTCTGTTTGGATCCATCAGAACACTCCCACACAAAAACACTCAAACTTAGATCTGGACCATGTAAACCTGTCAAAATACAGAACTTAACATTAAAGAGAACAGATAGTATATGCCCTCGACATCTTGAAAACTATTTAACTTATAAAAAGTATACTAGGAAGAATTTTTCTACATGGGACCAAAAAAATTGTTTTCATAAGATCAAGAACTTTCAGACATTTCGACATGACAATGGAAAAAAATTGGAATCAGGCCATGCTTTCAGATTTAGAAAAAAGTGTCATATGTATTTGTTCTTTTAAAATACACAGCTTAAAATATCAATTCAGTCTTACTTTCTTCAAATGATTCCTCTTCATTCAGTTTTGAGGGTGGCTTGTAACATGGATCTTGTAATGTATAGCATGTGATGATCCGACTTGACACACAGGGTTTAAGGCTAGGATTCAAAGGAGATGCCACCAGTTCAAGGTCAAACCTCAGACTAACTGAGGTCAGGTCCTGTAAATTGAGAATACTGTTAAAGCTCTTTCTCAAGAAAAATTCATCTGTGTCATTTTCTTGCAAAATAACCTGTAGGAAAACCAATTAATGTTTCAATATCTTGATTTTGATTTAATCTAAATGCAGGGCTTGTTACTAACTTTTTATGTCACCAGTCCAGCTGCACTGATAGGGAATATTTTTGTCCGCCGCAATTTTTTTAAAAGAAATTACTAACCACCTTTTCTATTATTCATACATGTACTAATAGAAAATTCAACATGCTTTTTCTACAACATAAATTTTTTAAATCTCCCCTTACTCAATTAGGGCATGTTTTCCAGTTTTGTGAGAGATATTGGTGTGTAAATCGACATGTTACTTAGGCATATTTCACAAAGCATGCTAGCGCTTCATGAAAAATATAACTACATGCAAGTCTGTGTGCTTCACACACCAATAATTCACACAAAACTAAAAAACATTCCTTATATTTGCATTTTACATGTTTAAAAGCAGCAAAAATACATGTACACTCAATGTTTGAATTTTTCTCTGCCCTACATGTTATATTTTTATTAACATCTCTGTAGTCTCTTTGTGATGTCAATTTAGCGTGAGTTTCTCTGTGTATATTTCTAGGCATGAGTACACACAAAAATGACATTCAAATCAACATTTAGTTGGTATAGTAGAAAAACATAGCAAATGTAAATATTGGAATTTAAATTCAATCAGCCTGCAGAAGAGTGTAAAATGTAGAATTCCAAATATAAAGGTTTTTTTTTCAAATCAAAGTTTAAAAAAATTAACCAGTCCAGTCAGACTGGTTGAGGCAAATATCAGTCAGTCTGCCAAATTTTATTCAGATACAGACTGACAGGCATGCATAATTTTAAGCCCTGTAAATGAATGTTCATTTTAAGGTCTTAAATATCAAATACTGAAATCAAACTCAATTTCTACAGAGTTTTTGATCTCACCTCGTAGAAAGCTCCATAGTTGCTGTACAAAGTCTTTCTGTTGTATGCCAATTGGTATAAAGAAATTCCTGCCAAACTATCATCTCTACAATGCATAAGATCAAATAGTTCTTAGCAAATACAAATTGAAGAATATTAACTACTGAACTTAAATCATTTGAAATATTATAGATGTACAGCTTTGAAAAATAAATGCAATTCTATGTTTATGGGTAAAAAAAGCATAAATTTGTGGTCATAATGCATATTATGTAATAGGTACACATTCACATACTGATGATCGCCAGTACTTCTTGTGACCCAGATGTAGCTAAAATTCTTGGGATCATTCTCTGGTTCCTGGTAAGCTACATGTGTGATGGGGACCATCTCTCCATCTAATCTGCTGCTGTACCTATAGAAGGATTAAAACCCCCCATAGAATGTCATATACTAGAATGCATACATTTACAAATTAAGACTTTGTCCATTAATATACCCAGAGAATGAGATTTCAAAAAATCAGACTTACTCAAGTACCGGGACATGAAGTTTCCAGATTTGATAACAACCAAAGCTAAAACCCACAAATAGACTGCCAATTTGTTGGATATACTGCAAGCAGCTGACATGTATAGCATCTAAGTCAAGATAAAAACAAGGTGAATGAATACATTATTTGGTAGGAACAATTCAATATTCTATTGAATATTACTACTACAAATATTTATTAAGAGTAAATACTGTACTTATAAGAACTCTTTGACATATTATACGAAGCAATTTCACATAAACAGCAATAAACGTAGCGCTCTCAAAATTTAGTGTTATTTTCCTCATTAACTCTTTGGTATAATCATGAATAAGCACATTTGAAGCCAAGCTTCTGTATGTATTTGTTTTAATCATATATTACCGTGTACTTGAATAAGCAGCACAAAATGTGCTAAAATATCATAACTGCTAAAATAACTATGTTTACAGTAATAGTTGTAATATTGAACCTGTGTTAAACGTCTTCATTACAGTTCCATCACATTTTCTGTATTTGTATCCATGTCCTTGTGCTTCTTCTGGGAAAAAAGAAAAATCAAGCCCCACTTTAATTCGGGGTATTCATTGATGCACATACTTGATTTTCCCCTTATTCCTCCATAAACAGTCGAGGAACCAATCTCGCACATACATGGGACCTTCTGAAGATTTATTAGTAAGTTATGAACAGTACTCTCACTATCATTCAACTAAATAGGCTATCTTATTTCGAAGGTCTACAGTGACAGCGTCTTTTGCTATTGCCAGTAGCTGTTTGTCCGTATGTTTTGTTCTACCCGGGGACCCGATCAAAAAGTTTCCGCTTAGAAAACTCCCATTTCACTTGTATACTAAAGATCTAGTGATATTTTTATATATTTTTTCTTCTGTAGTCATTTAAAGTTCTTAGGTCGTCATTACTATATCTAAATCAAACTGAACTGCTCTCCGGTGTGCTGTAACGTCACCAAACGTCGCCATTTTTCTTGTGTTGCGTTCACTACTTTCCCATTTCAAATGCTCGGGAAACTGCCAAATATTTAGCAAATGTCTCGATATTTTACAAAAGACAAAATAATAGATAGTGGATTAAAAATAGGATAATTTTTAACCCAACCTTATCTATTTAATACTTTTATTTCAAAATAATACTCGTCTATTTGCCAAGAATCCCTGGTTTTTTGATCGTGCGCCGTAGGACAGTACCCTGTGCACATTCAAGCACAATAAAATCTTTATTTTTGTCTATATTTTATCAAAAAAATTAAGATGCACTTAAATATGATGAATAAACATTTGCTGAAAATTTCAGCTTAGTGCGCCCATTATTTTTCAAGAAAAACGCTTTGTCCACGATTTTACTGGACAACCCTCGTACATGTTTACCAATAAACTGAATATTAAAACTTTCAAGTTGTTGCTTTGTTTTGTTATTTTTCATAAAAGAGCACACAGCACACACTTTGGACAGTGCTGAGAAAACAAATTAAACTCTAACTGACCATCTAGGACCATACAGAGGTTCTGGGACCTTGACATGGCCTGCACTCTCCTCTGTTCTGTGTCACGTGAGCGGGGGGATAACATCTGGAGCTTGTTAGGTTTTATCTCATCAGATTCCATGTCATCATCCAGGCACATGTCTGCAAATGTGTATCTTGTATCATTATAATGATTACATTGCACTTAATTCTTCCTTTTTTCAAAACAATGAAATCTTGTAGAAACAATGCTGAAATTAAGCAAAATAATAAATTTCACAAGTTTACAATATATCTTGTTAATGTTACCTATCAGATACACGATGCCACCATTAGTTCCCACTGCAACGATGCCATAGAAATACCGCAAGTGTGCACTTAGTGCCCAGACAGGGCTTTCATCTCCACCAGTGTTTGTAATTGGATCTAATGATGAAATCTGCAAGAGTAACAATGCTAAAATGAATTTAGATAATTTCCCAATGCCTGTCATACCATATATTACTTTTCCATTTTCTCCTTATACGATAAAATACATATGAGTAATGGTTAACATTTTTTTATAGGGGTGCAACGATACACTAACCTCACAATACAATACGTATCACAGTATTCAGTTCACGATATGATACGTATCACGATACATGACAAGGTTAAAAAGTCTTTCAAGTTTGTCATCATATTTTTTTTTAACTTGACAGGTTTATATAAAATGTTCATATTTTTCAATAATAATTAAAATAAAATTTTGTTAACTTGAATTGGATTGTTAGGTAGATCTTGGAGTTTTGACAATATTCTAAACCAATGATGAACATTTACAGGGAACTACGGGGACCTTTCCTAGTAATCTTCCTTTTAAAGTGGAATGAAAAGGGAAGACAATTACTCTTTTATTCCTTTTATTTACTTAGAAAACCAGTGGTCATATTTCTCGTGTTAACAAGTTTTAGTCAACAAGACAGTGAATTTTGATCGAAATACACGTGATGAAATATCATTTATTACCAAAGAATACGTTTAGATCTAAAGGGTTTATCATTTGTCTTAACATCTATAACTTATAATCACATTAAGTCCTTCTCCGTGTTAAATCTGATGTCTGTAAGATGCTGGAGATGAGTTAATGCGGTATCCGGCAACCTCACGTTTTGCGCGGAAGCCATTTTGAAATTGTAAAAAAAGGAAACAAAATGGACGATTCGGATAATTCTGGACCAATTGAACCGAACCGCGACATCAGTTTAGCGTATCGTGAATTGAACCGTGGAAAAATATACCGCGATATACCATCAAACGGTTTATCGTTGCACCCTGATTTTTTTAATATATATATTCTTCCATCTCTGATCATGTTAAGAAATTAAAAAAGGCATATTTTTGATGTCCCAAGGGATTGATTTAACTTAAAAATGTAATGTTTGCGCTTCGAACAGGAAATTTCAAACCTACCTTTTTGTTTTTTAAAAGGGAAAAATATACATGTATATGGACAATTTAAATACATTGGGGAAATTCTCAAAACTTTTGAGCAGAATATACATGAGGAAAGTCTGTATTTGGCTACAATTTCTAAGAAGATAAATGTTGACCAATAACTTAACATTGTAAATATAAAGAAATATTAATGCTGTTTTTCTTTTGTTTCATTATTATTAGGGCTGCGCAATAATATCGATATTCTGGTATATTGCGATTTGTTAACAAAAAATATGTATTGCGATATGTTTTTCCAGTACCGATATACGAGCAAAATGATTGGGTTTTAGATTTATGAAGTAAGATTTGAAATTTAAGATGTTAGAGACGTTTTCAATCGTACCTAACAGTACAGGTTTCTGTTGTATGGTTGCATTTCATTGCCAAACTGTAGTGAAATTAACTAGAACTTTTTTGTTACAACGTATTTATAAAAGTTTTATACACTCTGTTTATAAATGGAGGTTAATAAAATAAGAAAAGAGCATTTTAACTGTTATTAAAAATATTGCAATACATATCGCAATACAGTTCCAAATATCGCAATACGAAATTTTCAATCGGTACCCAGCCCTAGTTATTACCACAATTTATCACTATTTACCCAGTTATCATGGTTATTATTAATGTTATACTTTTGAAAGGTAAAAATCCCCTTAAACTGATTTTGTTTCAATAACCTTTTGTGGGATCTCTATGGTCCTGGTAATTTTTGAAAGGTGAATATCAAGAACGCACAGAAGACCACATGGTGATGAATAACAAACTCCGACCAACAGTTTACGATTGCTTCCATAATGGTATTCCTTTACACACGTTATGTAGGCTTGAGGGTCGCAGATGATCTCACCAAATTTCCAAGATGACAGACACTGGCTTGTTCTTACATCCATCACCTCAAGAACAGCCTCTCTTACAAGCCAACATATTGATCCATCTGAAATATTTATGGGATTTTAGTCATTTAATACAGAGTGACTCCAAAAAATCCTGAGATCAATAAATTTACTAAATTTTGAGGTTAAATTTTAGAGGCAATTAATATTGAAATGCTCTGTGTCTCAGGACAAGCCCTCACCACAGTTATAATACAGAATATGTCCCATATTGTTGCAATGTAGCAAATTGGAGTGGATCCACTTTGCTCCGAAATGATTTTGAAGAATAAAAAGGAATTGCACTGAAAATAACTACCAAATTAATCACAACAAACCTTTCTGAGCTAGTATATGCCTTTTACCCTGAAAAATAATCCACATAAAGATGAAAATTCAACTCATTTTCTCAACGTTTTTCCTCGCTTTGAGTTTACACGCCATGTTGACATTCGGAACTCTCTGGATTTTCGTAGTAAATGAGTAGGTCAGAGTGATCTGCCCCTGTTAATTTTGCTACATTACTAACACAGGAACAAATTCTATCGTTAAACCAGGTCTTTAGGAAAATATCATTTTAACGATAGAATGTTCTATTCAGGTTTAGTACTACACTGAAAAAATAAATTTAAGGATGAGTATCAAATCACATGGCATGCACTAACTCAAGATTGCAGAAATAATAATTACCCTTTGAAACCCCTGCAAAAGCAACATCACTTTGACCAAATGCTTCTGATGTGGAAGTTCCAGCAAATGGTTTTATTGTGGAAACAGTGTGTGGGGTCGTTCCTGGCCTCATGCCTTCTGTCTTTCAAAATACCGGTACCCAGTTCTTTCAGTTTGTTATGTATGCACAAGCTTTAAAAGCAAACAAAAAATACTTATTATTACTTGTAAAGACAATTTAAAGGCAATATGGGATGACTATATTAGTTGCAAAATTTGAACAGAGAAAATTCGAGATAAATGCCATCTGTTGGTATCAATTTCTTCGTTTGCAAACAACTGTAAATGAAATCAAACAATAATCTTACATGTAAATTAAGTAGTTTTGAAAAGATATAATGATAAAATGTGTGTTAGCATATTGTTAAAGACTTAAAAATTACTGTTGCTCTTTGAAACTTATTCAGTAACCGCCATCTTTAAAAAACACGTGCATTTATAAATAAATACTGCAATTATCAGACCGAACAACCATTTATAAACAATTGATAATTAAAATAACCATATACCATTGTCCAAAGATTCATTTGTTGATTTTTTTAAGATTGGTTATTTGTTCTTTCCATTTTCCTTTGAAAAATCGTCGGTTCAGTACCACCACGAACCCCAATATGTTAAGACAAATTCCATTGGTTGACAAATTTCCCGGGGAAATAATACCTTCAATTTAATTGGTTATTTACATATGAGAGGTACAACTTACTAGTCACGCTATCTCCAGCTGTTTTAGACGAAGGTGTGCAATCGAAGTATGTGACAGTTAAAAGTAAACAGAAGTAGATGAACAGAAGGATGAAATACGATTACAAATACTTTTATTCTGTGAATTTGTAGACTTCAGATGGATAAACTCGAAGGTGAGCGTCATTTTTAAAATTTGACTTAGTGAATGATTTAGACAATGGTGACTACTGGTAAACAACGGCCAGTGATGTAAATATTGCTGTAACATTAGGCCTACTGGTCAGTAAGCACTGGTCATCAAGTAGTCTATATAGCTGAGGAGTGAGTTTGGTGATTTTTTTTTTTTTTGGAATAAAACTTTTTTCTTTAAAAAGTTCTTTAAAAAAAAAGATTGTCAGTTGCAAAAAAGCGTATGTCATATTTCAGATACATGTGGGAGACCTTATTCAGTTCTTTCCCCCTTAAACCAATTTTAATCATTTCTCTTCTGGGCATATGTTTCTTGTTAATCACATTTAAACCAAAAAATGCCAATTAATTAACTTTGTACATATCTTTCAGCAGGTTAAACAAAAGAAAAGAAAAATTTAAATTCGTCAAACTAAGTCAGCACTTTGTGTCATATATTCTGTTATATTTTGTGTGACCTAATTAACAATCTTTTCCACCCCTCCCTAAGGAAACTTTCATTTATCCTTATCCTACAAATTTAATTGATGGCAAGACATTTGCAATTTGCTATTTATTTAAGAGAGGAGCTAGAGAATATTTAATATCTCTTCTTCATTCTTACTTCAGTTTTTTATTTTCTTGTTTTTTTTTTTTGTTTTTTTTAATTTTTTAAATTTTTTTTTTTTTTTTTTTTTTTTTTTTTTAGATTTTTAGTTTCTTAGATAGTCATGAATAAAGATATTAAATTAATTAGATTAATTATATGTTGTTTTTTTTAAAGTAATCCCCAACTACCCCAACCTGAAAAAATTTAGGGAGAGAAAAACGATCATTTATAAATAATGATATAATTTGATGTATACAACAGCCAGTTTGATTGTTATGTACTTTCTCTAAGTATTGTTGATTGATAAAAAAAAAAAAAGTTTTGAAGGATTCAACTTGAGTTCTTAAAACTTATGCAAATACATACACTCTCAGAATCTAATTATAAACATTTCAACATGTCAACAAAAGTAATAATACAATCTTGAACTGATTTCTTTAAATTAGCAAATAGTTTTTGTACACATCCAATAATACTGTTATACAAAATGACGTAATGGTAATGTGTAGAGTCAACAAGCTTTACATAGGTTAGTGTTAAAACAGAGAGAAAAATAGAAAACAAAAATACACTAGGTGACATTTTGGAGCAATAAACCAGTTGAGGAAGGATTATTTTATATTTGTATGACTATATCCTAAGGATGTTTTTACATGTGTGCTAATAATGGTCCAATGACTTGACACATAGGTGTCGAGACTCGAGCCTCTAAAGGTTAGATTTATTGAATGAGCTACCCAGTTTTAAAATGATAGGGTTTGAACTTTTGTGGATTGGGTGTGAGAAGTGAAGCTTAGAAGCTTTCAATTTGAAGGTGGTAATTCTCATTCAGGCCAGGTTGCTGTAAACTTGATTGAATTAGACTCACTTGGACACTTACAGACCAGCAGTTGTAAATCAGAGGTATAGGTCATCTAGTGCTGAAAATATATTACACACCAGTGAGAGAGAGTATTCATCAGCAAAAATTCGGAAAATATACTGTATACTAAGATATTAAGTATTTGTCCCGTAGTCAAACAATACATTTTCTTAAGAAAATATTTGAAGAAGGAGCTGCATTTGAATTACAGAAAGTTTTAATTTTTTTAAAATATAATATCATGATATTTTAGGAAAGGAAACAATTTTTTAAGAACATGGAGTTGTAATGAAATAAACTGTGGTCTGGGTAACATTTCATTTGAATCATATGTGAACATCAGCTGTTGCAAATTGAAAATTGAATTAAATTTCATATCTTATTCAATAATGATATGCAAATTATACAGAAGCTAGGGAAATTTAATGAAATATGTTGTATTTGAGTGTAGAAAATTAAATTTTTTGTCCTTTTTAAACAAGGTTATTAAATTGAAAAAATTCCAAAAAACTATTCCTTTATCGTTTATTGTTTACCTCCATGTTGAAATTTGATTCTTTCATCAGTTGCGGTGAATTCACCTATTATTGAGTATTGGATGCTTGAGCACATTTGTATGATTTCATTTGTCCAGATAGTGGATGTTTAAATCTTCATATTTCAGGATGACTCCACTAGGGTTTTACATTTGAGTCATCCCTCTCTATAGATTAAGTTATCAAATCATCTTCTTCAATTTTCAAGGTCAGAATTAGATTTTGCTTTGGTTAATTTACTGTACTTAAACTGAATAGTTATAAAAATTAATGCATTAACTTTAATTGTAAGTTATGTGTAAATAGACTTTTGTTGAATTTTTTGAAACGAAGATACTTAGAAAATATCTTTTTTTTAAAAAAAAAAAAAAATAGATCTGATAGACCTTTATATTTATAGAATATTTAAACCTTCTCTGTGTACCTGTATATTTTGTTAATGCAACCATGCAACTTTAAAAAAATGTAATTTTCTAGGAAAAATAAATGTAGGCCACATAAAAATATTTATCAACTTTCAGTGTGTAGATTGCACATGTTTGCATATTGTCAGTTAACATTGACAGATATGGGGACATCAGTGATCCTTGTAAAACACCTCCCTCATTTGTAAAACATTTGATTTCTTTGTTCCACAGGCCATGTTGTATCGGTGATTGACTTATGCAATTATTTGTAAATTTCCTATGGGTACACATACTGACGATACTTCAATCAAGTTTTATGAACTATTGCATATCACCTGTCTGTGTTTACCTTTTCAGGTGTTGATGTTTATTATCAATTAAGTTTAGGACATGCTGTGTTTAGAAAATGATAGAAGTCTCCAACATTTGCCCCCATGTAAACAGTTATATAATAGAGACTTGAGGGGCTTATTTACTTTCAATGGATAGATACTTCTTATTCCTTTATCAACCACTTTATTTGAAATCATTTTGGAATGTCAAAGATAACAGGAATTAGTTTGATTGACAACATTGGCTCAATAAGCCCTCTCTGTCCCCTCTCTCTCTCTCTCTCTCTCTCTCTCACTCTGTGGTAAACACAGAATTTACAAACATTAGATCACTGTGGTCCAAGTACACTGGTCAACTATAATAATGGGCCATCAGTTAATGTACATAAATGGTTGTTTCTACAGCAATAATTTGTAACATACACCATCTGCAGTGGCATTATTGGAGATCGATAAAAATAACCAATAATTCTAGACATAAGAGCATTTCACTTGAAAGCTGATATCTTATGTAAAGTCCCTCGTTTTTCCATTTATAATTAATCATATGGATTAGTGTTACTTCATAAAGAATTGTTTACTTTTTCATTTCACACTTTGCTTATATTGAGGTGATGAACATAAATTTTTTTTATGTCATTTCTACAAAAATGTGTAACATACCATTTATCCTGTAGTTCCAGCTGTGCTCAGTTACAGAAATTGTAATATGATGTAAGATTTTTTGAACATAGTAAATAGTAGATGATAGATCTACCCTTGTCTGCCTGTCTGTCTTTCTCTCTCTCTTGACATAGTGTGAGTCCATATTATCCAAAAGCAGACTTTTTTTTTGCTTAAATCAAGTTATTTTTCTTAAATATTTAAATATTTTATAGAATGTCTGTATTTTATCTTATGTATAGATATTATAAAAGCACTTGTTATGGAAGGTTGGCTACTGGTATTTAAAATATCACTAAGCACTTTTTATTTATATTCACATGTCCTAAAGGTCTTTCATACCAAGAGACAACATTTTGTCTGGGCTAATTCTGATACATATTATAGCTTTAAACATTTTACAAATATTTCTTTAAAAGCTCCTACATTACTAGAATGCTTTATAATTAAAGAAAAACATTTGTAAATTCAGCATAAATCCTCCAAACCTATAAGATATCCTTGATTTCTGAATTTTACTGAACCTTCAAAAAGAATCTGTGCAAATGTTCACTCTCTCAGCTCAGCTAGACAGCCTCATTTGAACCCTTGCAAAGTAACAGACCACACTAGAATCAATGACTGTTCCCCAGAAAAGGGATACAATCATAAATCTGAAATCAATTGTGTTTGATATAAAGTTGGTCACTATCTTATCACCCCCAGTGACTTCTGGCAGAAGCTGTGAAAGAGTGGTCACACAGGATAAGGCAGGGCACTATAGATTGGTTGCGGTGGCAGTTTTCTGTGGTTTGTTCATCAGATATCAGAGTATCTCTAACCACACACCTGGGCGTGTAATCTGCGGGCTGTGCAGGTGTCATAAGTGCACTGACTTGTAATTTTGTCTCTGTATTCAGGTGAGATCTACCTGGTTTTTCTTTGTTCAGGTAGATAATAGAATATGGACTTTGTTACCAGTTTATAGCGTGAAGAAAAAAGAATCTCATTGCATACATTATGAATTTGGGTAGTATAAATCTATCTGCCATGTTGATTTAAAGGTGACCCATCCTGAATTTATTGACAACTTTTTTTTTCAATCATTTTAGAATTAAAGATTGAGGATTAAATTTCATTGACCCAATTAGTTGAAATCACTAAAGAAAAATGAACCCTGTAACGTGTATCAATTTCATCTTGAGCAAAATGAAATTTTTTAAAGCACTTTTCCATGTCTATAACAAAAGTGCGATTTTTTTTTTTTTTTTTTTTGGATATTGATACTGACCACTGAAGTTAAATACTTGGGTAGGAACGAGAAGGATGACACATAATTATGGACACCTGATGTGATTATCATTTGTCAGGCAAGAAATAGACCAGACTGATGTCAATATTAACACGAACATGTACTTTATTACAAGATATTGGTTAACAAGGATTGTCTGTACTGTAGCAGTCACAAATATGAGATTGTCTTAACCATTCATTCTTCTCTCATTCTCTCTCCTTCTCTCTCTCTCTCTCTCAATAGCAGATGATTTCTGACTTGCATGTATTTCTATGAACAGAAATTTTGTGCAGCTGCAAAGTCTCATGGAGGAATGTAGTTGACAATATTATCTTCTTTTGCATACACTGTGGTCTATTATCAGCTGTTGGTTCATGTGAGTTTCCCCCTTGGGACCTGGTCCCTCTGTCACAAGAAATGAAACAAAAAGATCCTTTGGGGGAATAAAAATGTGCTGTTTTCTTGACATGTACATATATTTTGAGGAGGGCAGGTGTCCTATGCTGTTAATAAAAAGTAACATTTGTGCAGTGTTGACATTCCTTGTACTTTTGACACTTAAAGAAGAATGTATCCACTGTCAGACCATAAAATACTATTCAATGCATATGTACATGCACCAGAATGAGCTACTTTGCACATTCCATTTTCATGCATGCTTGCATATCATCATGCACAATTATGCAAGTTTTCTTAAATAACTATTAGTTGTGTGGAACACTTAGACCATGAAGGTAACAGTCTCCTAATTAAAGACGTGCACGAAGACGATCCAATTTCAGTCCTTTGGTTCAAAAACCTTGATTCTACTGAAGATATATATTAAGTAATAAGTGAGGTGTGAAATAGTGCTAAGATTGCATCACAAAGTTTATCACCTCGTAATGAGTCAAAAATATCTGGAGAATTTTCCTTATACTGGTACTTCCTATTCAGCTCTTCTTTGCATATACAGAAGTTCTATTTAGAATGCTTACTGTAAACATAGAAGTTTAATATTGAGGAACAACAATTTAAATTACTATTTACCTGTATGGCATATTTTAAAGTTTCTGCATTTAGTCTAACAATCATAGCTAGGGTGTGGTTTCTTAAACTTGATTGATTGATTGATTGTGTATTGTTTTACGTCCCATTCGAGAATTTTTCACTCATATAGAGACGTCACCATATACCGGTGAAGGGCTTCAAATTTTGACCTTTACTCGGCACTCAGGGCCATTGAGCAGTGAGGGATCTTTATCGTGCCAACGCCTGCCGTGACACGGGGCCTCGGTTTTTAAGGTCTCATCCGAAGGACCCGCAACTTTCACTTCAAAGTGCCGAGCGCATGGCGAAGGAACAGTTGCTACCCATTTTATCGACTTGGGTCTGTCGCGGCCGAGATTCGAACTCACGACCTCCCGATCACGGAGCGAGCGCTCTACCAACTGAGCTACCGTGAACGGTTCTTAAACTTGAAGAAGCAAAAGAAAATGTAACAAACACATAAATAAACAAATAGTAAAATAAATTGTGAGATAAATATGGTATACATGAATTAATGCACCTGGGGGGAGGGGGAAAAGTTAAACTTTAGTCTGATAGGAATCCAGAGTTTCATAAAGTACAAAAGATGCGTATATGTACTGGTACTTACATCCAAGTATTTGTGTAAAATACCTACACTGTGTATATTGGCATTGATATGTATTCTGCGTCAAATCATACCCAATATTAAAGCTTAGGCAGAAAAAAATAAATCTCTCTGGCCTTAATTTTTGTTTGTGAAAAAGCAGGTAATTTTCCGACAAATATTTTCCGTTCTTTTTTACCTGAAGAGCAGGATGTTAGACAAAATGATAGATGATCATCTACAACCAGCTATCTCACGAATGTTACAAAAAACACAGTGCACTGCAATAGAATAAGATTTGTTTAAACAGTCTGTGTCAGCATTTCGTTAAATCCTAGCCGCTATTTTCAAGAGCAAAAAAAAAAATGTTGCCCGGGTGGTGTTATTTTGTTCTCTTTGTTTGAAGTTCTTAATTAGGAAAGAGAAAAAAACCCACTAGCAGTAGATCTGGTCAATGAATTTCATTATAAATTGATCAGTATGTAAAGTAATGTATATCACTGTGAAGGTAGCTGATTCTCTCACCTGTCTTCAAAGAGATGGGGATTTAAGTTCACAAGGAGGAAAACCATACACAGAAAAATCAATCTCCCTGACATTTGGAAAAATGACAGATCCTTAAATTCTTTCCTAGAATGCTTGTATAAGAGGATATGCAGTGTGCTGCTTTTATTTAAAATTAAAAAAGTTAGAAAGTCAGTGATGTGGTAAGAAAAGAAAAAAATTAAAGTCATTATCAATTAAGTAGCGCTTTTGCATGTAATTATGAATTGTGAAAACGAAGGAGCCTTGAAAACATTATGTGCTTTCAGTTAGACATGTGGTAGATGATTTTGACGATCTGCTGCATGACTGAAAGGTGAAAACATATTTTATTTATGTGCAATTACAAGCTGATTAATTAAGGTTGCAGCTAAGTATATTCAAGTTCAGTTAGGTGCAGAAATCTAAGGTAATTTTACTAATTCCTGCATGACTTCAAGAGATTGCAAGAAGGGATTTAAAAGTTAAAATGGATTAAGTATTTAAAAACCTTTCCCTTTTTACTTAGAGGGTAATAATGCAATGAAGTCAAAATGACCTGTAGTCTATTTGCATGCACCTTTTTCTTTAATATAAAAGGCAGTATAGAACTTACACTGAAGAATTGGAGATTGGGAAATCTATAAAATCTCTCAAGACATTGCTTTTGTACAAGTACATATGCATTAGTATATTGTATATCCATACTTTCTCTCTCTCTCTCTCTCTCTCTCTCTCTCACCTTCACCACCTAATAAGATTTTGTACAGATAGTTCATTAATGTAAATGATAACTTACAAATTCATATATTTTGCAGAATAAATGTCCTTTTTATATAAAACTAACATTTCAATCTTAATATGATAAAAACTTTCACTGAGATATGTTAAAATGTGGCATATGTGCATGTCTTTAAGGGATTATGATTCTTTAATCTTTACTACATTGTCAAAGGGATGCTGAACTCTACAGATACCCCTGTATCAACATTCAGTATAATACGTGTCAACCCTTCCACCTTATTCTAATGATGTCGCCGTCTAATGGCATATCTTATGCTATAGTATTATGTCATGTGTTTGATTGACAGTTGGGTAGTTGTAGTTGGTAGTTGGTGGAAGAGAAAATTTTATAGAGGAAATTTTTTGACCAAGTTTCCTTGTTTGAAAATTTCTGCAGGTGCTGGACAGTTCTACACTGTTCTAGGTAAGTCTGCTGTAAACAAATATGATTGTATAGCTGGGTTAAAGTGACTCTGAATATTTTTATAGTCATTTTGATTTAACACAGGATGCTTGAAAAATACAACCATCATAAGTTATTCAAATTAATACATATGGTTGCAAAAGAATATAACTGGAGCTTACACCTGCTTAATGAAATTATGATTTGAAATTAGCCCAAGAGTACTAAGATTATTTTTACATGTATAAATTTTGTGGTTATTCATCATCATTTTGACATGCTCTCCTTCATACTTAAAAGCCTACAAGGACTTTGTGAAGCTATTTAACTATAAGCAGATTTTCAAATGTCTTAATGACGTAAGTGTAAAGCCAGTGTGTTTGACTTTTATATATTAATTACAAATATGCTATTGAAGTGTTCAAAGAGCTTCTAGAAGATTATATCTGATGTTATGTATAAGGTTTTAAAGACCTGGCACATTGAGCTTATCAATCAATTCATTTAGTAACAAATTTATAGTAATCAATTTCACCAGATATTGATTTCATTAATCTTTTTTATACCTCATTTACTACATTGTGATACCAATTAAGGTGTCTATGAATGCATAATCACTAATATGTCAGTATAAATCATATATTCCAGAAATACTTATCAATTGCAGGTAAATTCCGGGTATTAACAAAGTTACTCTTAAGTACACAACATGCTTGTGATTGAATTGTCTAGTTGGAATTTTTTTAAGAGTATTGATGATTTATTTGAATACCCAGCTTTTTTTCATTTCTGGCACTGTCTTAAACACAAATTGATTCTCATAAAGGCTAGAGTTAATAAAGTAAAAGTTCTGGCTCAGACTCAAAAATACCATTCCATTTTGTTTCTTAATGTGCAAATATAACTTAACATTAGGTTTGCCTTCCAATTGCTCTTTGCTACCACACGTCAGTCATTACTTTGATATAAACTAGATTTGACAGTTCTATCAATGATGGCAGCTCTGGTTTTATCAATCTGCCCCAAAATTTTGATAAATAGAAACACCTTGCAGATCTTCCTATTCTAAACATTTCTTCATTTCACCCCTTACTTTCCTTTTTTGATGTTCAGTACATTCGGCAGATAGGAGGCTGCACATTACCGTACAAATAGCTTGTTAACAAATTCTGTTCAAAGATTACCGATTGCTTGGCAATCTGACAATTAAAAAATCTAACAAGATTTCATCTGAGGAAACAAAAACTTTTCCTCTTCTCTACCTGCTGCAATGGCAGCCAGATCTAATAGGCCATTATGTTCTGTCGATTGGAACCTCCTTTGGATAGGTACACACTGTTAATTAATCTGTAAAAATTATGACATTTTGAATGATGGATTACTGAAGATTTTAAAAAATACAGGTTTTTCCATTTTTTTTTTCAGAGCTTCTTCCTGGAATAGAAGAATTTCTGTGTCAAGACTTGGCTCGAGAAAAGTTGTCAGAAGAGACAGAAAACAAACGGCTGTATTATCTGGAGAGACTCGATATTCTAAAATTACCGCCTAGTGTCCCCCCACGATTAAAAGGTAAGCTAGAGATGAGCATGACAAGACAATTGCAGACTAACTCTCACCACACATACATCTATTGACACAATAAATTAACCATCTAAACAGATTTTTGGAGAGCTAGGGTTTAAAAAAAATTAACACACAAAGTAGGAAAGCATGTTTGAAAATGTCCTCTTGTCCTTGAAGTTTCTAATCCTTTCCCTATAATTTACATATTTGAGATGGCCTAAATAAAGAGCACAAAAGAAGACATTAAAAGTCAAACTGAGATGTCCAGAAGCTAGATGGGATGGATAATGAACAGTTTGTCAGCAATTGACAGTTATTTGTTGGCAGGGCCTGGTTCTTTTGATGTCCCTTTCTGATGTCTTCTTAAAGTTTTCCTGTAATAAGCAGTTGTAAAATCCTTGTCTTGCACTGTGGGGGTTCTAGTAAAAATAAAAGTAAAGTGTGTGTGTTATGTAGAATAATCTGACATGTTAATTTTGTGTGTAATCCTGTGGTTTGGTTATCTCTCTCTTGCTCTCTCTCTCTCTATATATATATACCTTTGAGCAATATAATTTGACAGAAAAACTCACCACAACTAAACACAATTTCTATGACCTCATACAAAATGTATTTGTTCTGTACGTTACCTGTATGATATGCACTGAATATGTTTACATACAATTTTTTTCCTACGTTTGCAGTGCCTGACTTTGGAGCCCCCTTTTCTCCTTCACCCATCAAAGCAACAGGTGACCCAAAGTCCCCAACACTCAGTCACGACCACTTTTTGTTTGAATCTCAAGAGAATGATTTTGCTGCACATCAGAGAGAAATTTCACGTTCGTTTATCGCCCCAGAGGAACTGGAGGCCATTGAGGGAAAGGTACATTTTAGATCTTTTATTTACAAATATACACGTATCGTACACATCACAAGATCAAAGGAAAATGTCAAACAGGTTCCTTTTGAAACATCTGTGTTTGTCAGGTATAAATTCAGGTCAGATTGCTTGAATGTATAATTATAAAAGACATTTCACAATGAAATTAAAATTCAGTGTTTAGTGATTAAGGGACAAAAACATTAAATTTTATTCTAATTTATATTGCATATAGTGTAGTGATATTGTTTTTCACTAACAATTAATTAATTCAAAAAGAAACAGGTGCTTTAAGATAAATAATGATTGGGCTTTGAAATTGAAGTCAGGGACACGTTTTAGTCCTATCTGTGTTTGTCTTGTCAGTCAAAAAGATGGATCTGTGGGTTTATGGAGTGTTGTTTCCAGTTTTCTAGAAATTTTCTCAGATATTCTGAGACTAATCCATCATTAGGAAGATGAGGCATTATATCCAGATTATCTATCAATCAGGATAGAGGGTTCCCTGTGTGGTCATCGTTCCTTTATTATCAGTATGGCTTAGTAACATGCACATGTATTAAAGTCATTAAAAGAAAAAGCCCTGCATCAGCATTATCCAATTTTAAATTCATCATCCTTAAATTTCTAATGTAGAATCCCCTTGTATAGATTGAATCTTAATGTTAAGGACCTCAGATACTCGAAAGATTACACCATAGAAATCTCTAACACAGTTTGTGTAGGCTTAATTATTGCTAATACATATATTGATAATGAAATTTCTGTATCAAACCAGCCATATTTTTTTCATTCTCCCCAAATCTATACTTTATATCTATATTAAAAATGCAAAAAAGTTGGGGGGGGGGGAATGAATTCCCCCAAAATAAATACCCGGTATGTACAAATTTAATCTTATTTTCCATATTACAAAATAATTTGAACCTAAAAACTGCAAAAGAAAAAAAAATCTAATCCCCCATTTCTCCAGATTTTGGGTATCCTAGCTTTTGACTTTGAGTTTGCAGTGTATTGATTTCTAAATTATCAAATTACTAGTTTATCCACACAAATCCAGAATTAATATATAAATTCATGCATAGTCTCACCCAAGTTTTGATATTACATGTATATGATTGATAAATTTGGCATATTAATATATTACTCTACACAATTAAATGGGGTAATAGCGAGCGCAGCGAGCGGCGCAAAGCGCCGCTCGTCACTGCGAGCTCTAACGACAACGCCTGGGCGAAGAGAAAATTCGGACTACTGCACATTCATTCAACAGAATTTTTTTCCGCAGTAATTCTGACCCACAATGCATCGCTTCTTGTTCTCGCTGCTAACTTCGTTCACGCGGTGACAACAACTAAAAATTCACACAAAATAAACTCACCTTAATTTAATGGATATTGCCTGCAGATAGTAGATTAAACGTTCTTTTTTAAAATATTTGCACTTTTTAAACTTTGTATATGGAAATGCAGCTAACATACGACGTCATGTGACGTCACAGTCTAGACGTTCCAAATGTCTCGTGCGGTTTGAAGAGGCGGATCATAATAAAGAAGTGAACACTGCGCTCGCCCCAACGGTCGCACCGTCAACATATTAAATTTAAAGTCATTTTTGCTTTTTGTCATAACAGGCTTTATGATGGTTCATTACAGAAAGTGATATAGAACACCCAGAATTTGAATGAAAATTGTTTTCTCAAATGATTCCTTTTTCCTGTTTAATGTGATAATGAGTTCTTTTACAAAGAGAATGACCTTCAAATTATATTCTCTGTGTGTCCCCATTCAAGTGTTTCTGAATTTCTTTATGGGAGAAATTTGAAGGAGACTGTCTGAGAAAGGACTAGCAGGGGTAATGGAAGTCTGTGAGACTGTCGTGGGAACACGATAATATCTCCATTATTACAAGCTAAGGTCTTGGTCAGCCAAGTGTTTTAATTCAGATATCATCAAAATATATTCGCTTCATTTAAAATACACCCCCATTTCCTTTGTAGCATTCTATGGAGTGAACACAGCATTGTTTCATCAGATTTTATTCATCAGTGAAAAAAAAAAAAATGTTGATTAATAAAAAACAGATATTTGAATGTTATTTTCATTCACCCACTTTTTCATGATTTTTTGTCATTTTTAAAATCCAGGATTGTTTTAACTCTGTTAACAGGAGGTGAAAGTTTACGATGATATTGATCTCAATCACCAGGATGGAGAAATAAAGCAGGAACACAAGTTAGTACAGGCCTTTATGTTTCTTCTTAACTATATACCCAGGTGCCGTATCAGGGATATATTTCTGTAGCAATTGCACAACAAAAAGCAGAATGGATGGTTTTTATTTTCCCATGACCCTGAAATCTCATTTCATTTCGAACTACAGGGGAGAGGTTCTACTACATTATCATTTTCTTTATCATTTCCAGTTTGTCAAATGGATAAAAATATTGTTTTACTGATATAGGGATTATAAAACTTGAACAGATCACATATAATGTACAAGTTTCAGTAGTAATTTGATATGCTTAAATATTAGTCTTTCTTGTGAATTTTGATATCGAAGTAATAGATTAGATTTCCACTATCATAAAGAGATGAACAACTATGAGTTGGGATTATCTTTAAGAGTCTGAAAGACAAATTTCGTTAAAGCTTTCCAGATGCCCATTTAGGCAGAGGAGTATCTATATATTATCCTAAGAAAAATGCAGTTTCATGCTCATTGCTGTGAACTTTAAGCAAAGTCTAACCTTTATTTTTTAACTAGGTTAAAATAACATAATATTCTACCTTGCAGTGAATCCAAAAATAGTGATGAAACGGATTTATATGAGATACCAGTCCCAAATCACAGCCAATCAGCTGATCAATCTGGGGGTTATGAGGAGACCAAATCCCCCACCAAAGATGACTATGCCACAACCACAAGTATCCAGGGGGAGCAATCCGCAGATGTTGTACCTCCACCCCTTCCTCCAAGAAGGGAAAATTCTGAGCCTCCATTGCAGCGAGACAGGTCTGTATTCCCTGCTCGACCAGATCCTCCTGAACGCCAGGCTTCCATTAAAGGGGATAAACCTCCTGACCTTCCTGCCCGTCCCAGCCTCCCAACCATTTATAAGGCCACAGAGAGAAGGGATGAAAGATCTGAAGGAAGTGTGGATCTGACAGGTATAGAAAGAGTTCCCTTTTAGGTTAATGTTTTGACATTTCATTTTCTTGTGTTCCCTTCCTGTTATGAGTCACATATGGCTGATGCTGTCTGGGGTATCTTTTTTTTATCATAAGTATACATTAAGCTCTCACATTTCAATCTAACTGCTACACTGTACGAATGGTTCTAGAATATATAGGGGCAAACAATTTTCATCCTTAAGGACATGTTTTTAAAGCTTTTTGATTTAAGATATTGATTTAAATCATTACTGTTGTAAATTTGTCCTGTTAATGATAAAATATTTTGGTACTCCTGAACACCATTTTTTTTTTCAGTTTTCAATACTTTTCATTTGAATTGTAAACATAAATTAAGTTATGAAACATTTGACATGTTCAAAACACATTTGTACTCCTTGTTTTGACAACTGTTGTGCAGCAAGTGTAATATTTACTCTTTAGACATGTATGAAATTATGCATTTAAAGTAAACATATTACATTACCCCTAAGGTTAAATGTAATTGTCTGTTTTTCCAGGCATTTGATTGTGGTTAACCATCAATATCTTGTCATTTTTATTTATCTATAATCTATATTGTAATTTAAAGCAATGGTCTTTCTTTTGAAGTAACATTTATCATGCACAATAAACAGGTATTTTTGTCAACTACCTGTAAAGTTTCAAGTTGACAACATTTAAATTTTTGTCAGAGGATCTTAGAAAGCAAATGCATCAGACCTTTCTATTTTCGAAGAAAATGTGACAATTTACCTTTGACTCGGTCTCCAATTTTACGTTGTAAAGCACAAAAAATCTTTAACTATGCATAAAATCTTGACTTTGCAAAGCCTTTTGGTGAGTCAGAAAGACGGAGATTATGTAATTTCTAATTGTAGAAAAGAATAAGATCATGGATTGCATCATGGCATTTTTCATTTGAAATAAAGAATTTTTTCTGCAAACAAAAGTAAGAGATAAACAAGAGAATGACGTGATTAAAACTGACACCTGAGTGTGAATGAATAATTCCTGCCCTACAAAGTTGAAAGGATTTAGGTGGAGTGCCCCTAAAGAAGAGCTTAAACATGTGCTCTGGGGGGATAAAAGATACAACATTAGCCATTTACTTTGATAAATATGTGTTTATGATTTAAAAGGGAGCTACTTTGCTGGAGTAGATATACATGTATTAAAATCCATGTATTTTTTTGTTCTTGAATGTCCTCGAAAGGCATTCACCAGCTAGTTCATAATTGCAATGCTTTATATACATAAATTACTTTATTTAATGATACTTTTGGAACCTAGCTATTAAATGATCTGTACATGGATATGATTGTCATATAAATCCAAACATTGAAAAAAAGGAAAATATGTTAAAGTAGAAAAAAAACACATTAAGCTTTTATGTAACTTGTTTGAGAAAAGGGCATTCATTTTTCTGTGACAGGGTTGTAAGTCATGGTTTGTACACTTGATAAACATTTTGATACCTGTGAAATGGCCTTCACCTCTGCTTTAACAGTTTATCTTATACAAACTGTTAAAGTGAAGACAATTTATTACAACTGTAGAAATTAACATCATGCCAAAAAAATCTAGCACTAGACAAAGTCACGTGATGGCAGCTTTATTTTATTTTTAAAAATTGGCATTAGCACCTACGCCCATCTTAATGAATTCATTGTGCCAAGATAATGCAGGGTAATAGCATGGTTTTCTCTAAACAGCATGATATTTATACGTCAATAATCATGTATTTTCATGAGGTCGAGGAAAGATTTTATGCAAGCAAAAGGTTTCTAAAAACTGCTTTGCAGCTAATGATTGAAAGTAAAAATAGAAATGTAGCCCTTTTAAGAAAATTTTACTGTGTTGTCCCATTAGAAACATACATGGAAGCACTAACAATTATAAAGTATTCCAACAGTAAAAAAAAAATTTTTAATTTGCACATAAGAAAAAAAAATCAAATATCAATGTTTGTGTAGATTAATTGTTTGGTGAAGCACACTAAAGTACTTTTAGAGAATCACATTCACCAAAGTTTTCAACCAAAGTCAATACAAATACTATGAAATTTAATTTTATTGCCTTTATATTTGACTACAATTAAATTGTTTGCCTGCAAACCTATGATATACATGTAGAAATTTAAAACACCCAACAAAAGAGATGCATCGACCCAATATACAATTATTTTTGCCTTTGTTGTTATGCACTTTGAATTTCTTGAGTGCAGTTGAATGCAATTCATGCAAATTTAATAAAAAAGTGTTTTGAACTTTTTCAAGGTGACAAGTGTATTGTTAATATACCCTGTGTGTCTACAGATTGTCAGGGATGAGTAGGTGCATGATTTTTTTTTATGGCCACCCATTATTCAGAGGGAGCTACTTGATTTTATTCAAATGCTAATGGAAAACTCATTTCACAATGTATTTCATCCAGGCATGTTCAGAGTTTCATAACCCTTGTATCTTGTGTCATTTAAAAGACTATGAATTTGATATCAGCAGAATACCTTGCACAAAGAAATTTAAATGGATATAATATTTATTAAGGATATAGCTCTCTAATTTGTCATAGCTAGATTAATTTACAGTCTGTGCATTTAAGCATGAATAATTTTGCATAAAAATAGTTTTGAAAATTCACAGTATCGATATAGCTGACTGGACATGGGTACTTTCAATTTATTTACATGTACATAAAAATTGAACAAGAAAAATTCTTAATTTTTTAGATGATGCTGATTTGACTTCCTACGAATCATGTAACGAAGATGAACTGGAGACCAAAATGAACATAAAGCTTCCTAAGTATGATAGTCTGTGTTAAATGCTGGAGAATAAAATAAATAACTAAAAAAATTTATAGATTCTGTACACATGTATTGCACTTGCTTGTACTTCCATATAATTTTGTAGAGTATAATTTGTTGATCAAACATAAATTCAGAAATATTCTCGATAAATCTTCTCTACATGTATCTATTCACTATGCTTTGTGATTTTAGTCTTTTTTTTTTCTTTTTTTTAACATACGTTTGCAGCATTCAGAGATAAAAAGATCAAAATATTATTGTAGGCCAATGAAGAAGAAGAAGTCATCTAAACCAAAAATCAGCCGTTCCTCCAAAGAGTGGGACGTGACCCTTCCATACAAACGATTAGAGGATGTGACTCTCTCTGGAGAACTCATGTACAAAGGAAAGTTATCCTGGACGAGGAAGCTAGCCGCACTGACCGATGGCAGGATGGTGTGTTACAAGCCAGAGAAGAGTGAGTCCAAGCCTGCTCTGGTCATCCAGCTGACCGGTTATGAAGCCTCCTATCTGGAGAAGGAAAACAAGAGAGGATTTGATGTCCGTCTTCTTCATCCAAGTCTGGAAACTCACATGTTCTCTGTGGATTTCAAAGACTGGGCACAGTTGTGGGTAGAGGTAAGGGAGACTACTGGTGTTTGTGTTTTTGTGAATTCCTTTTATCAATCTTTTGAAAAATAAATGCTGTAATTTGTAAATTTTTTTCTAGTTCATGAATGCCATGAGTAAGGGAAAACCTCCCCCAGGACAGCATCAACACTTAGCTAGAGGTTCCACATTTAATGGCTCTGAAAATGGTAGAGTGTATGGCAATAAGGTATGAGAATTTTAACAGATAAATTGTGTAACAAAAATCAAAATTTTAGTGAAGATTTATACTTCTTGTCAATCTTATAAAGGATATTTTAAAAAAAAAAATGTCACTTTTCTTTTTTATAGCCAGATTTCCGGAAATCCATTTCTAATATATCCACAGAAAGCAGCAATTCTGAAACTGAATACTCTTCAATGAAAAGAAAAAGTCGAAGTAAGTAAAATTTTCAAAAGCATAAAAATCCATGTATATTTATAAAACTAACATCACCTAGAAAATTGATCTTATGCCACAGCAGATATAATGGGTCACAGCTTAGTAATATCAAATATATTGTAACCAGACAGATTCTTCAATATGCTGTCTTACTTATAGCAGATGTAGGGTAATTAGAAACAAAAATCAATAAAAAAAAATATCATCCCTTTCCAGGACTTAAGCACCATGCAATATTTTGGAAACTTTTAAATTCATTTTTGATTGATTGAATTCAATGTAAGGACTGTTTTCCTTTCAGGTCTTTTTCAGTTATTTGTGACTGCAGAGGAAGGTTAAAACAGCTCACTATTTTATTATTTTTTTTTTTTTGCCTGTTGTATCTTATGCCTGCTTTGTATAATGTGTGCAATTTAAATCCCCATGTATCATTTTACCTTGCATATCAATTGCCTGACAATTTGCCGATTTTCACCGGGATGTACTTGTGCATCAGTTTGTAAAACATCAATATATTACGCGTGAATTAGTAGGTTTTTGCATATTTTAGGTGTTAGTGTATGAACAGAATTTCTGTGTTTAAATATGTTAAGTCTTGGTATAAATGATAATCTCTCCCAAGTCTACAAATTAACTAGCTACTTCTTCCACTGCAAAATGAATGCCATTCTCTTGACTTGCCACATATTTTGCTATTAAGGTCAGATTTAAAAGGTGCCATTAAGTTTGACAATATGATGATAGGTTTTTCCTAAGCACATAGCTAGCATTGTGTTGAGGATGACAAGCAATGGCTTTTATTATGTAATTTGGAGTTGCCTAATGAATGTTTGGTCCAAAATATTTGTGACATTTTCAGGAATATTCTGACATCTTATAAAAGAGTTAAATGCCATCACATTGTAGAAATGAGACTTTTAAATCTGAAAAAAGTCAAATATAACATCTGAAATCTCCATGTGATGTTTAAGAAAAATTAAATGAAATTAAAATTAATTGTTTTTGAGTGCTTATAAAAATCTTTTAGAACCAATAGGATTTAACCATTTCAGTGTTGCTCGACATAATTCTGTAGCCAGGGTATATAATTATACATTGGAGTGGGTGTTATGGGGAAAGTTTGTTGGGATTGGAAGAAAATGGGCTATTTTTAATTAAAGATTAATCTTTTCATTCTGTATTGCAGTAGAATTATTTTTTTAAACAACAAAAAATATCTGCCTTGTTAGAATTTAGAATTTGCTTTCTTTCACTGTTTCCCTTCCCTGGCCTTTTTTTTTTGTAAGTACTTGACTTAAAATTGGTATTTAAATACCGGTATATATATCATCCATTTGTAAAATTACATATTTACTATTTCACGTGTTCCTAAATTTAAACTTGTTATAATACATGTATCTGGGGTGTTTTAACATCAAGTCAATGTTGTATCACATTTAAATGTCTTTTTAAAGTCATCCTCATGTGTCATTAAAACTATCTGACATATGTGTACAATAAGCTGTATAATTCCAGATTACTAAAAACTCATTGTGAAAGGAGTGAAATTTGAATCAGTTTTGGCTAAGTACCTGGAGTGAGATATGTATTGTGTATGACTCATTTTAAAACATGATAAATGAAATGTACCCAAAATGTATGCAAAATTATTCAATATTATCTTCCTTCTTTAAATTAGTGTAGACTTTTTTCATATCCTTGCACCTAAGTACCATTATTTGGTATTAAACTGTCATACTTCATTACCAGGGAATAAAAATTCAAAATATACATGTAATCTAAAGAATGTATGAATTATCTCAAGATTATGATATATAAGGATGCATTTTTGAACACTAAATGATATGTTTGAAAAAATTGATACGTTATCACATTTTAGATATGGAGAATCTTAGAATAAGTTGAAATATTTATTAATAAACTTAATTATACTTTAATATACAGCTTATCTAAATTTTGGAGAGTGTTTTTATACACTGGTACTTAAACGTTAATAAATACTGATCACTAATTAACATTTCTGAAGATGAAATTATTTGTTGAAATACTTTTCAGTGCCAGTTTTTTTGTGATGTACCTGATGTATGAAAATACCATTAGATAATTTCATTGATACTCCCACAATTTACAGAGTCAAATATATAGGTAACAATTTATTTTCTTCACTAAAATATGATGATAAATGTTTACTTCCAGAGGACCGACACAGAGTAAGCAGGATGGGTTCTATAGCTTCTAGAGCAAGCTCCTTCTTCGAATCCATTGGCAAAAACAAGGGCAAGAAAATGGCTGCCGCTTTGCCAAACAGTAGTAGTCTTGGCAACCTGGTAGAAACAGGAAGTGAAACCAACAGCCAACTTGACCTCATTCCCAAAGATACCAATGCCTCTACAGCAAGCTTTAATAAAAATACCTGTAATTCTATTGAAGATTTGGTCTGTGATAGAAAAATTGTTTATAAAGGTAGGAAAAGTTGCACTCTTGAGCCATTTCATTAAATTTTGATAGCTCAATATTAGAGAGTAAATTATATTAGTTTACCAGTGATTGCCAAATATTTTGGACATGGTAAGATATTTAGAAAGAGTTTTTGAAGTTTTAGTATTTTTACACATGTATACTATCACTGAAATGAGTATTCAAAAGAATATTTCTTCTCACATAGTGGGAAAGAAGGAGGTGTCTTGAAACAAAGATTATTTTATAAGTATGAATTGTTTATTTCAGATCTATTATTGTTACAGTCACTTCTTTATTTTAAAGGTTACCTGAATATCTACAGTAGTTTCAATAAGAGGAAGTGGGGTAAGCGATGGTGTGTGGTGCGAGACAATATGTTTGAGTGTTATAAGAATGAGTCCAGCACTGTGTGCGAGCTTGAAATCCCACTGTACCCCTGTGTTCTGAAGCAAGCTGTGGAGGAGACCAAGAGTGAACTAGGGCTGATGATCTCACAAAATGGCAGAGAAAAAATCACAGTAGAGGTAGGAATTCTTCTGATTGCACAAAAACACATTTAAACTGTCTGCAGTGCTGCTTTCAGTCAATCGTGCAAGTATTTATTTAAAGTAAATTCATGCATTTATTTCTAGTGTAGTGTACATAGAGAAAAATTAAATTATACAAACCAACAATGGTTTTACTACTTGTCAATTGAGGCATGCAGGAGTAGAGAAATAATATGTCTCCCAACAGTAGGTCACAATATGTGGCAATACAAAGTAAAATGATTTCTTGCAGACAATTGTCTGAATTTAGACTCAACCATGTCCCATAAGGATGCACTGTTTTTATGCTGTGATAAATTTTTTCAGCCTTTGAATAGAGAAGATATGGCCTGCTGGCTGCGTGTGTTCATGAACCAGACATCAACTGAATGTCTTCCTGTCGGACTGAAGGAATTGTGGGTAGATGATGAATCTCCTTACCATGACATCCAGTCAGACAATCTCAACAGTCCATTGTCAGATGTATTCCCTTATGACACAGTAGATGAGGTACATGTACATACATATGTATAGGTTTTCCAACTCAGCAATTTTGTTATGTGTTCATAAATGAACCCCCACCCCCCAGATTTTTGCATGTGCGAGTTATTCAATGTTATTAATTTCTGAATTTGTTACACCTTAAAAAAGGAGCTATTTTGGCACATGTTGATACTATAAATAAATATAAATAAGAAAATAAAAGATCATGCATAAGTCATAGTAAATGTAATATATTCCTCATTTTGTACTTTACTATTTTTTAACAGAAGACCATTCTGGCACATGTTGATACCACGACCTCTGACCCTGATGACTCAGTGATGGAGATCTCTGTGATGTCACAACAATCAGAGGCAGCAGACGACACTGCTAATGATAGTGCTATATCTAATCCACGGGTCCCAGGGGAATTAACTGGGGAACTGTATACACAAGTGCAAAGAACTTCCAATGGATATTTAGAATCTAGAACTTTTAACAGTCTAGATGAAGAATTCTTTAGTTCTACAATAGTGAAAACCAATTGTTCTGGAAAATCTTCTGCAACATTGTCAAGGATTACCAAGTCTTCATCCAATGCATCTGTTATGACCAAGACATTTACACATTCCTTCAGCACAGGGTTTCTTGGAGCCAATGATAGCAGTTTGTTCGATGAGATTTGGTCTAAACTCAATGAAAACCAAAGAGACGAACATAATTTAGATGAAGAAAATGATGAAAGGACCCCCACAGACACTGCATATAACAGTGCTGCAGGGTCAGAAAATAGTTCATTGGAACGTAAAAACAAGTTTGAGACAGATTCTTTAAGTCAGTCATCCACATTAAAAGACTTCAGATCTTCCAGTGAGGAGGTGGATAACCAGCCTCTTCATGACCACGTGGAACATCAAATCTCAGTGGAAAATATTAATCCCAATAACCTTGAACAAAGTATGAATGTTCAGAACTCTCTGAATGGCTTGGACAAAGATCCAAGTTTATCCCATGTTATCATTCCTAGTGTTAGTAATACTCTGACAACCATTACCCACTCCAAATCTAACAGGGACCAGTGTGATTCAGCCATTTTCGAATCTGATTCTATCATGGATGACTTGTCTTGTGCTAGTCCTGATGCACTGAAGCGCAAAATTGAGCAACTACGTACTCATTTAGTGGAACTTAAACAGCGCAGGTGAGGGCCATTAGTATATTGTATGTATTTACAATTACGATATATAATCTTAACAAGTGATGCAAGGAGAGGACTTATGATAGGTGCATGAGATCCTGAATAATCCCAATTATATAGTCAATCTTTATAAATCATGCACTAGCTGTTTGTAAACACTTGATTGAAATTGAAATAAAATTTTTAATGTGAAAATTTTATTTCTTAGAATCTGCCTCAGAGACCGTAAGCTGTGTTGTGAACCAAGCCTACAGAAACAACTAGAGCAAGAGTACTCACACTTGGATGAAGAATGTCGAACTGTGACAGAGGAAATTCAGGCTTTGGAGGGAAAATTAGAACCATAAAAATCATTCTTATATTTTTTTCTCTTGCAAACATTCCTGATATCATGTACTAATAAGTTTTGTTATATTCTGTATGGGAAGATGAATGAACGTTTCTTTTTTTTTTTTTTTTAGATTAAATATACAGTTGAACTTTGGTATCTCGAACACCAAATATCTTGAATACCATGAATATGTCAAAGTGAATTGGAAGTTCCAACCACTTATTCTTTAAGTATTTAATCCTTGATATCTCTAAGCCTTGGATATCTTGAAGTTTTTTCTCGACCCATCGAGTTCGAGATAATGAGGTTTGACTGTACATGCATATTGCTTTATTAATTCAAAATGTAAATTATTTAAAGGTATAAGGATGAAAATTATCAGCCTGATACATATCAAGTCACTTCTGTTAAGGTGATAGAGCAATCAGTTGTTAGTCATTATGAAATTAAATTTTAGAACATATAGAATGACAGATCTATACACTTTGTTATTGAATTTGTCATTTTTGTAAAAATTTATAGAAATTGATTCTATTTAATTTTCTCTTCTACACAACTCTGTGATATTTTATAGGAATGATATTTTCGGTGACATTGGACACTGACCTTTGTGCTATAATTTACTGTTGATATTGACTCTCATGTGATAAATTTCACAAGGCCAAAGTTATATTTTCTTATGAAAATGAAAACCTTTTCTTCAGATATTAAACTGCATTTACAATTTATATACATGTGTATGGAACTTGTACAAATATGCAATATTTTTTTTGAATATCAATGGTTGTGAAATATTTGTGAAATTTGAGTGGCAAAATGTACCGGGTACAGCATTAATTGTGGCCAAAATGTACAAAAAATTTTTTCTTTCACAAATGTTGTCTCCAAGGAAACATCTTTTTATTAAGATTATTTCATTATTTGTGCTCTCAAGGATGTGCTATTGTATTTTTTTCAAGAACCAAAATTATTTTTATGCACTGCATGTAGATTCATCTAATCTAAAGAGATATAAACAAGAAACATAATTGGAGCAATAAGAAAAGACAGAAAATTGGGCCGTAAGTTTAACAATGTTCAGCTTTGATATGTATTTTTGTCAGGGGATCATGAACATTTTTTAAAAATTGTAAATTGTTTGATAATTTTTTTGTTTAATATCTAGTACATGCAATGTTTATGGAAAGGTTCAGCTTGTTTAAAAACAAATTTTACATTATTCCTTAACTTGAAAATATTTCTTCAAATTTTGTTTTATTAAAATTGAGATACTTAATGTTAAATAAAATCTTTGATAATCAGCTGTTCATTGTATCTAATTATCATAATCATATATCCTTCAAAACTATTTTAAATTTTAGATGGACTTCAATAGAAAATTTTTTGTGTAAATTAAATCATAGATGCAATTTGTTGCAGTGCTTCCCAGAATTTAGCATTTGCTGTGTGCATTTTGTATTTTGTAAACTTTTGATCTGTTGGATTTTGAACATCATAATTATTTTTATGTTTAGTGTTTGAGATTCTGAGGGCCTTATACAAGACTGCAAAGAAAACAGAAATACCTTATACCTTTTAATTATATATACCGGTACAGATTTTTACATAGGTGATTAAAATTCTAAGAAAAATAAAGCAAACATTTAGAATCCATGCTTTATCAATTGTATGTATATTTACATTATACATTAAAATATGAAAACTTTTGAAGATCTTGATTTTGAAGACCCAAATAATTTCAATTAACATGATTAATGTTTGTTTATGCATTTAGTAAAAACCATTAAAAAACAGGCCTTTAAATCAATTGTCCTAAAATTGTTAATATTTTATTTTTTTTATACCTGTATCATTAACTACAAGGTAAAATAAATGTATTTTACAGAATATATCTATTGTTCTTTTCACATCTTGAATGGCATTGCCATGTAAATTACCATTGATACATGATTGGACAGATCATTAGGTGCAATTGTCCAGTCACAGAAGAATACCCCTTGTCAATAAGGACCATGATAAAACTTTGTCAAAAGCAACTATTAGTTATTTATGAGCTGGTGTTCAAAACCTACAGTCTTAAGTGGGACAAGGGAATATTGACCCAAAATCTATTTACGGTAACTGTTGGCATAATAATAAATGCACTGAAAGTAAATATTTCCATTAGGATAAATCTGTCATCATTTAACTTTTGTAATCAAATAACTTTGCATATAGAGTTTAAAGCAGACAATGAGACAAACCCCCCTTGACAGGGTACCTTAATTAAGAAAGAGCATAGTTTAACAAAGAATTTTTATCTTTCAAACCTATATTGCAAATTCCTGTGTTTGAAGTTTGTTCACATGTACTTGGTTGAAGGTTGTAAACCTCTTGTCATGGGCAACCTTTATGTTGAGAATGAAAATATGACTTTAACAATTTTAACATCAAAAATCATGGCCTAAAATAACATTTTAACTTATGGGCCATGTGAGCTTCAGGGCTCAACATTAATGTTTCACTGATTGTCACTGTCTTAAGTTCCTTTTGTGATCGGACAAGTCAATATCCAGACACACTTGTCTGATCGGACAAACTTCAAAATCCCAGCTTCATTCCTTTCAAAAATACTCAACATTATTAGGGGCTGTCACACCTCACTTGATGTTGTTAAAGATGAGGTTACAGACCATGTTATTGTATTTCAATTCATTTAATGATATAAGAAATCTTTGCAAGTCAATATTCTTTATAACTACTTCATTCTTCAATTTTTCCCCCCAAATTTCCTCATATTTGTTGAGAGTTGGACAAGTAAACAATGACTTTGGACGAGTAAAATTTGTTGGCAACTTGTCCGATTGACAAGTAGATATTTTGTTTAATGTTGAGCCCTGACCTTGACCTTATCCAAACAATCTTAGCTAAGAATCATTACAGACCTCTTTTTCACAAGCAATCTTTGCACCAAGAATAACCTTCTGATGTTCCTGATACAAAGTTTTACAAGTCTTTTAGAGTTTTACAATTCCAAGAAGTGCAGAATTTGACACTTCTGAATCCATGACCTGAATTTGACACTTCTGAACCTGTGACCTTGTCTAAATAATCTTTGTTTTAAGGTTATGACATTTCATTGATCATTATAAACCCAAGATAAAATTGGGCTAAGTATAATCTGGTGTTATTCTTTTTCCATTACAAGATGATGGTATGGACAAGAACTTTACACTTCAACCCAAGTGACCTTGTCTAATGGCATGGTGCAGAGATGTTAAAATTCTCTGGACAAAGGCAACCTTTGTATTTTGTTTCATTTTCTAATGTTTCTTTACTTCCAAGTTATGGCCAAGACAAGGATTTTCCTTTTCTAAAACCTGTGACCTTGTCTAAATTACCCAGAGTTAGGACATATCCTCAAGTTGCAAGCAACCTTTATCCTAAGCTTCTAATATTTATCATCGCCAAGGTGTGGCTAGAACAATAATTCAATATTCTTACCCTGTGACCTTGACCTACTTAAATGATTTTGGTTCATGGGCAGGCCACACTAGCTTGTAACCTTTGAACCAAGCATGAGGTTCTAAAGTTTCTTGGTTTCAACGATATGTCCAGACAAGTTTTTTTTCAGTTCTTACTCTTCTCAGAAGTTGTAGACTAGAGGTACTCTAAGCAAGCTCACAAAGTTACACCCCTACCCATGTTGTAATTTTAAGCTCACCTCAAGGAAATTGGTGGAGCTTATGTAATAACCTCAGTGTTGTCCCAGGTTAAAGTTGTTGGGGCAGTTTTCTTTCTAAGTATTTCCATGCCCTATATTGATCCTAGTTGCATGGATGATACATCTAGTATGTTTCGTTGAACATACCATTCAGGTTTCAGGTGCTGCATTTTCAGCCAATGTTTTCCATAAGAATGACCAGGTTAATGATTTTGCTGCAGGTTAAAGTTTGGGGTGCAGGTCTCATTCCCAAGTACTATTAGACCTACCTGGACAAATCTTGCAGGAATGATGCATCAAGCTGAGTTGCTACAGATGCTGGATCTGACCTACATTTTTGGTAGAGTGACCACGTTCAAGTTTTTGGAGCAGGTTCATTCTAAAGTAACTGTAAGCACTACCTGGAGCAAACTTGCGCAGGTGATTCATTTAAAGAGAAAAGCTACAGAACTTGTTTCGGATTTTGGATCTGACCTACATTTTCCAAATTAGTGAACAGATTAAAGTGTTTGTAGCAGGTTCATTCCCATGGAATTGTAAGCTGTAATGTAATGGGAATGATGAACCTGCTACACTTTAATCTGTTCACTAATTTGGAAAATGTAGGTCAGCTCTAGAATCTGGGACAAGTTCTGTAGCTTTCATCTCTAAATGAATCACTTGTGCAAGTGTTTGTAGCAGTTTCATTCCCATGGAATTGTATGCCCTAGCTGGAACAAAACTTGCATGGGTTATTTATGTAGGAATGAAAATACCAGACTTCCTTTGGATTCTAGATATGACCTACATTTCTGGATGAATGACCAGATTGAAGTTTATTCCCAGGTAACAATAAGCCCTATGTTGAGTAAACTTGCATGGATGATGCATCTATGGATGCACACTACCAAAGTTGCTACAAATGCTGAATCTTACTTACTGGTACATTTTCCAGATGAATGACCAGAAAAAGGTTTGGGGGGCAAGTACATTCCCAAGTAACTAAAAATCCTACCCAGACCAAACTTGTATAAAATGTTGCATCTAGGGATACACAAAACCAGAACATTTGTTTGGTGTGAGGCTTGCATTTGCACATTCAGAGTATGCAACAGCAATCTGCATCTAAGTTTTACTTGAACTTTCATCAGAAGTGGATGTCTAATAGTGGAAAGATAATATTCACTGCAGTGAGCTTTGTAATCTTTCATTACCTATCTTTAAAGAAGTGACCATTTTTCTTAAAAAAACAAGATGTGTTTGTGAAACACTGATGCCCCCGTATGGCAGCTTATGGCGAAGGTTAAAGTTTCTTCAAATGCAACTCAAAATCCAGGCCAAAAGATAAGAAATGTTGATACCCAAAGAAAGGTCTTGTCTCGAGGAATACACCTGTGAAATTTGAAAGACCTAGATACAACTGTTCAAAAGTTATGGCGAAGGTTAAAGTTTTTTAAATAAAAGTCAAACGTCAAGGTCAAGGTCAAAGTGGTTGGTGTCCAAAGGAAGATCTTGTCACAAGGATTACATTTGTGAAGTATGAAAGCCCTAGCACCAACCATTTAAAAGTTATGGCCAAGTTTAAAGTTTTTCAAAAGTAGGTCAAACTCCTAGGTCAAGGTCAAAGGGACAAAGTGGTTGGTACCCAAAGGAAGGTCTTGTCACAAGGATTACATATGTGAAGTATGAAAGCCCTAGCATCAACCATTCAAAAGTTATGGCCAAGGTTAAAGTTTTTCAAAAGTAGGTCAAACTCCTAGGTCAAGGTCATAAGGTCAAAGTGGTGGTTGATATCCAAAGGAAGGTCTTGTCGCAAGGATTACATATGTGAAGTATGAAAGCCCTAGCTCCAATCATTCAAAAGTTATGGCCAAGGTTAAAGTTTTTCAAAAGTAGGTCAAACTCCTAGGTCAAGGTCAAAGGGTCAAAGTGGTTGATATCCAGAGGAAGGTCTTGTCACAAGGAATACACATGTGAAGTTTGAAACCCTAAGCACCAACTGTTCAAAAGTTATGGCCAAGGTTAAAGTTTTTCAAAAGTAGGTCAAACTCCAAGGTCAAGGTCAAAAGGTCAAAGTTGTTGGTATCCAAAGGAAGGCCTTGTCACAAAGAATACACATGTGAAGTTTGAAACCCCAAGCACCAACTGTTCAGAAGTTATGGCCAAGGTTAAAGTCTCATAAAATTTTGCAAAAGTAGGTCAAACTCCAAGGTCAAGGTCAAAAGGTCAAATATGATGGTACCCAAAGAAAGGTCTTGTCACAAGGAATACACATGTGAAATATGAAAGTCATAGCTCCAACCAATCAAAAGTTATGGGCAAGGTTAAAGTTGACAACAGACAGACAGACAAACAGACAAACGGACAAACAGACAAACGGACAAACAGATAAACAGACAAACAGATAAACAGACAAACAGACAGACAGGACAAAAACAATATACCCCCGGGATCTTTCGATCCGGGGGCATAATTACCTTGAACTTGCCCACCTGATCAGATCTCTGATCATAAGTAATCTGTGTGAAGTATGAACATCCAACGTTTCTCTAATTAAGTTATGGATCTGACTTGAATTTTTCCTTTTTTTTTTAAGTGACATTGAACTCACCAGAATGACCTTGGGTCAAGTTATACCTTAGCTCATAGATAATTTTTGTTTGAAGCACCAACTTCCAATATTTATCCATGAGAAAGTTATGAACTGGACACAAATTCTATACCTTTTCTGCCAGTGAACTTGCCAAATTACCTCGAGTCAAAATCATGACACACCTTCAGGACATGGAGTAACATTTGTGTGAATCATAAACTTCCAGAATTTCTTCATTAGATAGTTATGGACCAGACTCAATTTTAACACTTTTTCTGCCAGTGACCTTGAACTTGCCAAAACAACACTGGGGCAAGACTACGGCACACCCTTAGGTCATAAGCAACCTATGTGTCAAGTATCAACTTGCAATGTTTCTCCATTACAGTTAGGACCAGGCATTTTTTTTCTGCCAGTGACCTTGAATCTGCCTAAATGACCTTGGGTCAAGGTCATGACACACCCTTAGGTCATAAGCAATCTTTGTTTTAAGTATGAGCTTCCACTGTTTCTCCTTTACAAAATATGGTGTCTAAATGTGAATTAGAAAGTTATGGATTAAATTTTTTCTGCCAATGACCTTAAAAAAATTGAAAACAAAAAATGTCTATGGACTGACAGACATATCAACTTGGTGATTTCAGTACATGTGTAAGATTACACATCTTTGTGTACCAGGGTATTAACAAATACCTCTCTCTCTCTGTGGTCTCTCAAGTCATCATTTACACTGCATAAATTTGTAGTACTTACACCTACAGATTTCAAATGAAGATTAGTCTGCCAAACAAGAACAAAAGATGTTTGTGAAACATTTATCTCCCCCCCCCCCCCCAATAATTGGAATTTTTCCAAGTCCTATGGGCATAACTCTGTCAATAATTGCTCAATCGTACCCAAAACAGAACTTGACCTAGATACTTTAATGATAAATTTGTATACCAAATTCCATATCAGTATGTGCAACCTCTGCGAAGAAAATGAAAAAGAACTGTAAATAATTGGAATTTTTCTAAGTCCATGGGGCATAACTCTGTCAAAAATTGCTCGATCGTACCCAAAACAAAACCTGACCTAGATACTTTTATGATAAATTAGTATACCAAATTCCATTTCAGTATGTGCAACCTCTGCGAAGAAAATGAAACTGCAAATAATTGGAATTTTCCAAGTCCAAGGGGCATAACTCTGTCAAAAATTGCTCGATCGTACCCAAAACAACTTGACCTAGATATTCTTATGATATAGCTGCATACCAAATTTCATTTCAGTATGTGCAACCTCCGTGAAGAAAACGAACCGAACTGTTGGTGGACCGACAGACAGCAGCAAAGCAATATGCCCTCCCTTCTTCAAAGGGGGCATAATAAATATAAATGAAAGAGAACAAGTTCAAATCATTGATTTTATTTTGAAATCCTAGTAAAATATAGGCAGGTTATTCTGAAATTTAATCAGGCTTCATCTCCTAACATCGATAGATGTGGAATATCAAAGTGCTAGACAAACAGCAGGAAATTAAAATACTTGCTTCATGCAAGTTAATGTAATAAAAATGTACATGTTTAAAACTTCCATTTTGCAAATATACAAGTCTTACATTGTACAAAGCAAACATGTTATCCCAATGAATGTATAAGTCATAAAAGTAAATGTGTACAAATTGAGGTTCATTGACTTCATTTGAATATTAACACAGTAATCAAATATCATAAGTTATATTCAGGAAAGCATATCACCCATTATAGTGCCACAAAAATTTCCTTACTTTAATGAAAATCCAGTATATGATAGAAAATACTCACTTAACGCAAAATACTATTTAATACAGACCTTTTTAAAATAATGTTGAAAATATAAAGAAATCAGAATCATAATAAACTGCATTTAACGATGTAAATAAATTGCCTGGACAGTGAAATATACACTGTAGATTTACTTGTGAGAACAAAGAAGTGTAATATATGAATAAAAACATTCACATGCACTTGTTTTACAAGACACAAACACTCACTGTGATGCATCTGTCTATAAAATTACACTATGAAATTTACAATATATACATATACACATAAATCTTATAGCAAACAGTATGTTATGTGCCATATAAAATGAAAAAAAAAATCACTTTCACCTATTTCAATCTTTGCCAATCAGTACAGCCCAAAAATAAAGTATTTGGTATTCATTATCATTTTCCTTTGAAGAAAATGAGAATCCACATAGATGTGGGACAAACATGCCCTTTCTCTCATTCAATATTATTACACCATTCATAAAAGCATCTTAAAACCTGATCTATAAGTGTCAAGACTTTGTGAATAACAGAAATGGATGAAGTGAATATCTAAGAAATGTTTCCTTAAAAAAAATGCCATGACCTGTACACACATTAAAAATCCTATGTGCCACTTCATCAATTCAACTTGGACCTCTTGCGAGCTATGGCATCCTCCACAGCCTTTAATTGTTTTAGGAGCTCCTCCCGACGTGAGGATGTGCTCTTCTTCTCTTTGGGGGCACTTGTAGCAGCTGGAGGGCCTTTGGGTGGGTTCTTTGTGGGAAGGGTTGGCTTTGAAGCAGTCTTTGTTGGAGAGAGAGGAGCTGCAACAACTGGCTTTTCTGGTTTCTTCACTTTTTTATCTGTAAAAATTACACAAAGAGAGATCCAAATTCAACAAACTACAACTTGGTCATTTTGCTTTTACTGAAAACTGAATGTCATATATTGAATGTTCATGGAGATTGCACACTAAACCAGGTCCATGGAAACTTCTAAATGTGGAAGCTTGTTCAATGATTTAAGAGCTCAGTCTCTTTGTTTGGTCAAAAGCTTTTAAAAATTCATTTCTCCTTGTAAATCATGATGAAATACAAAGCTATTGTCTCAATGTTAAGTTGCAAAAAGTACATGTAAAAGCAATTTATAGTGCTATGGTTGACTGTTTTCCTGCAGTAGATAGTGAAATTCTCTGTTCCCACAAAAAAGACAGATCTCTGGAGCTTTATTTCAGCCAACATTTAATGACAGTAAATAAAAGCAAGGAGAGTAGCCAGATGATGTATTTACCTGGTTTTGATGGTACTGGAGCAGACAAAGCTGGTCTCTTGGCAGGAGGAGCATCAACATCTATGGAGGGCCTCTTCTTGGACACCATGCCACCTGGTTTATCCTTCTCCATTGGCTAATTCATAAAACCACATAATCAATATGCAACTTTGTTCAATGAATATAAGACTGTCTTACTGTACTAAAATAGAATTATGCTTAAAGATTATTACTCATTATACAATAAATGTCAGTTAAGTACCTTATTCAGAAGAGTTAACTTGATGTTCTGCTTTGATCCCACCACTTTCAGTGGATCTTTAGGTTTTGAGGTCACTGGAGCTTGACTTGGTTCATTGCGACTTCCTCGGGAGGACCTACTGCCAACTGGTGCTGCAGGTTTCCTCTCTACCTTACCAGGCTGAGGCCCTTTTCCTGTTTTTGCTGTGAATGATTTTTTTTTTAAAATCAAATACCATTCAGTTTCACTTTCATGCATAGTGAAATGCAAAACAGAGAATTTATCAGCGATGTCCAGCGATTTTATGAAAAAATTGGGCATTCATTTTTTTACGTAATTAATTTATTGGTGATTTTAGTGATAATGCTTCTTATTTTCTGAGACAATATTTCAGATTGAATTATTAGCAACATTTATTTTTAGCATTGCCAAGACCATATCTAATATTATTGAGGAAATTATCATTAAAATAACTTTGGTGTGAACATCCCTAAAAAACAACAATTATATAATATACATGTAAGAAAACATGGATTGATTAATTATAACAAGTGTTATAGATACAAGCAAATGGTATCTTGGACTACCTGGTTTATTATTTCTAATCAAAACATGTTAGAATGAAGATGGTCACTAAAAGTTCCCTTTATACAGCAATTTTTATGACCAACACCTGTACAATTCTCCCATTTACATGTATATGTTCTCCAAAGGAAAGCTTACTTCTCTTACATAACTTTCATACCTTTCTTTTTCTTTGGAGAGACAGGTGACCCTTCTTTGGCCCCACCCACTCCTCGGTATAGGTGCTCTGAATCGGCACTTCCCGAGGAGCTACTTGAAGAATGACTGCTGGCTGAGGACACACTGCTGGCACTGGAGGACCGTGATGATCCAGATGAGGAGGACCTGCTCCTTGATCTAGATCCACTGCTACTCCTATGTCCTCTAGACTGCCGTCCAGGTCTACAAATCGAATGTTTGAAGATGATGAGTCCACAAGCATACAAAATATAGCAGCTATTAGCATGTACATTACACAACACTTAACAAACTTTGTTTAATATGCTACGTGTCTTCCAATATTTGCAAGAGAACTGAGAAAAAAACTTAATTCAGCAAATACATGTACTACCAATTGTAATATTGTGAAAGAATTTTAAAAAAATACTAACCTCTGAGGTGGTCCCTGGGGCCGCTGCGGGGGCTGCTGAAGAGATGGTGGCTCCGGTTTATTCTTGGGCACCCTTCCACGATTGGGATCTTGCTGAGGGGCTCCTGGTATTCCTGGTTGAGAGCGTTGTCTACCTAATAGGGGACCACCAGGTGGTACTTTGCCAGGTGGACCACCCTGATTCTGACTTGGCTGTCGTCTGATTGGGCCAGGCTGTCTTGGCTGACCAGATATAGCACTTCTTGGTTTTCCTCCACTAGAAAACAATTGTGATAGTTTCACACACCACACCATAATGTGTAAAATTAGCACACAATTATGTAAATTACACTTTTTGACATTTCTTGAGATACTTACTCTTGTTTTCCTGGAGGCTGCCTGCCATGTGGACCTCCGATACGTTTCATTGGTGACCTGGTTGGAGATCTGAAAATGGGAGAATTATCAAAAATTCAGTTTTACTATATTTCAAAATTACACATATTTACCATCAGAATCTCCCACTTGAGATGATTCTGTGAAAGTGTGCACTTATGATAAAATGCCATAGATTCAGGTTTTAATTCCAATAACATCAGACACTGCATATTTATCATTTAGGTTTTTGTTTATACAAATTGTTGGAATACTCACCTTGAACTAGAAGAGGTACGACTACCAGAACGACTACTGTATGAACTATAGGATGATGACCGTGACCTTGAACGTGATGAACCCGAGAATGAACTGTAAATGGAGGAAATAATATTACAAGATCTTACAAGTTCATTAATCTCAATAGAACATGTGCAAAATTATTCAATGCACATTTAATTACCCTGATGAAAATGAAGATGAGTAACTATAAGATCTTCTAGATCGCCGTCTTCCTCTTGACCTACTTCTTGAACCTCTTGGTTTCTTTTTTGGTGACTTTGACCTACAAATATGGATTTAGTAAATGAATGTCACATGTACACATAAATGTGTTTGTTACATACATGTAAATGTAGAAATTGCAAATTGAAATATTTGATCTCCTATTCTCACCTTCTCCAGGGGTCATGCCAAACGTCAGCTGTATGTCTGTGTACAGGAGCATCCCTCGTCTCACGTGGAGCAGGTTCCTCTACCCATGGCTTACTTCTCTGAGAGGATGGTTTTCTTTCAAATCTACCATTATCACAATGTACATGTACATATATCACAGTTATCTACTACTTATCCTTTAATTCTTAATTTATGAAATAAAAAATCCCCATATAAGTACCTTTCTGCTGGATGCCTGCCTGGAAAAGATTCCCTGATAAATTTATGATGTTCCCTTTCCTACAAAAATATATAATAATATTTGTGAATATTTGCTGTCATTACAATACTTATGAATTTTCTGTATCCTTTCCAAAATGGATTTATAACAATAACATTGGAAACATTTTGAAATATTTTAAAATTTTGGACAGGAGGTTTCTTTCAAACAATTTTATATATGATTTATACAATGTGCCTGATGACTGTGAATTTTATCCTATGATAATGATGCTCTGGAGAGAGTACCAGGTGATTAAAAAGACAATTGGGGAGATACATGTACTCATTGGGAACCTTACCCTGTGATAATGAGACACTGGAGAAGGTACCCCACTAAGAATCTTATCCTCTGATAATGAGACACTGGAGGAGGTACCCCACTGGGAATCTTGACATGTGATAATGAGGCACTGGAGAAGGTACCCCACTGGAAATCTTACCCTGTGATAATGAGACACTGGAGGAGGTACCCCACTGGGAATCTTGCCCTGTGATAATGAGGCACTGGAGAAGGTACCCCACTGGAAATCTTACCCTGTGATAATGAGACACTGGAGAAGGTACCCCACTAGGAATCTTATCCTCTGATAATGAGACACTGGAGAAGGTACCCCACTAAGAATCTTATCCTCTGATAATGAGACACTGGAGGAGGTACCCCACTGGGAATCTTGCCCTGTGATAGTGAGGCACTGGAGAAGGTACCCCACTGGAAATCTTACCCTGTGATAATGAGACACTGGAGGAGGTACCCCACTGGAAATCTTACCCTGTGATAATGAGACACTGGAGAAGGTACCCCACTGGAAATCTTACCCTGTGATAATGAGACACTGGAGAAGGTACCCCACTAGGAATCTTATCCTCTGATAATGAGGCACTGGAGGAGGTACCCCACTGGAAATCTTGACATGTGATAATGAGACACTGGCAGAGGTACCCTACTCGGAATCTTACCCTGTGAAAATGAGGCACAGCAGAAGATACCCCACTGGGAATCTTATCCTGTAATAATGAGACACAGGAGAAGGTACCCCACTGGGAATCTTGCCCTGTGATAATGAGGCACTGGAGAAGGTACCCAACTGCGAATCTTGCTCTGTGATAATGAAACACTGGAAGAGGAACTTACCCTGTGATAATGAGACACTGGAGGAGGCACCCACTCTGGCTCTCTTGTCCAGCGGACCTCAAAATTTTCATACTGACCACGCTGCCAACCAATAGGACTGGGAGATCGCTTTGAGGGCAGCTTGTCATAATACTCATCATCATACCTGGAAGTTTGAAGTTTGTGTATTAATGTTTCCACTGTCATGTTAAAATTACTATCCAGTAGATCATGGTGAAGATAAAAGATTTTGTTCAAGTCATGGGATTTGCCAAAAGACATTGTACATTACATGTAGATGAAATACCGGCACCTCCAGAATTTGATAGATGAAAGATTAATAACACTTTTCAATAGGTAAATCTGAACTCTAAATCTAATCATACATTTTATTTCAAGATTTTTACAGCAGAAAGTCACTGTACAGATAAACAAAACATCTCTTTTTTCAACAAAGGATGTGCATGTACATTCATTTGTTTAGGAGAAAAAGTATTAGTATTTGCAAATTAAACCGTGATTTATTTTTTTCCCCATGTAGACTTCTGATACAAATTAACTGCCTACTGAAGAACTGAATCACTGTTCTGAGAAAATAATTCAACTTTTTAGATCACTACATGCAAATAAATTTACCAAATTGCCACAAAATCAACTTCATTCAAAGTTGTAGGTTACATTTTTTTTTTTTTTTTTTTTTTAAGAAATAATCTGATTTCAAGGGGCTTTAATGATAATTCCTAAATTTCTTCTGGCAAAATTTTTAGAATCTGATTTTAGGTCTCCTGTAGTATAGAAAACCTAAAATCAGACTCTGAAAAAGTTGCAGAAGAAATTTGATATCGGCAAACTTACTGGTCATAATATGGGTCCCTGTGCAAGGTTTTGTAGCGATCGTTTTCCTTATTAAATTCACGTTCTTCCTCTACAGATAAATTTAGTCGCTTGTGTTCAAAATCTGTTTCCTGCTCTTTTCTCATGTTAGCTTTCTTTAATTGCTGCAACAGAAAATAACAAATTCATCAGCAAATTTCAAATAATGGCTTTAAATATTTAATTATTAATTGTATGAAAGTACAATTTAATTCAAAAATGTGATTTCTCAAACCTGTGATTTAAATTTTATCACTTATCTACAACTTATCAGAAAATCAAAATCAAAAAAAAAAAATGTTCAACGAATTTTACTATGTATCTCAATATTTTCTGCCATGCATTTTTGTGAACCAAAAAAACAAAAGAAACCACAGTTTATCTGACCACTGACCTCCTTAGCATGCCTCAGTCCTCTCTCCCAGGCTGTTTCTACTTTTGGAGGCATAGGAGGGGGAGGTAACTCTTCCTCTTCAACCTCTTCCACTGCAGGTTTCTATCATGAAACAACAAAAGGATTAAAATTTCTGAAGGAGAGAAAAGTTTTAGATGACATCTTTAAACTGAAACAGTGCATTTAGAAATACCTCTCCTGGGCCTTGCCAAGGACCACTACCCTGTCCATAACTTGCAGGTCCAAACCCTGGCCGCTCTATCATCCTGTAATTGCCTACATAAAAAAAAAATTGGTACACATCAATCACGAGCATGTTCGAATATTTTTGTACAAACACATAATTTTTGAAACAAATAAAAGTTTGTGGTTAGAACCTTCAAATATGATCCACATACTATTATCATGGTAAAATGAAAATAGTTTAAAATTCATTATGAATTAAAATAGTTATGCAGACCTTCAAAATAAACTGACCTTTATCATTGACACCTGGATGTAGAAATCTGCAGTTATTTCCCCAAGTGCAGGCTCCTCTAGTAAAGAATCGACAGATGGGAGGAATAAAAGGCTTCCTGGACCCAGGTTCCCTGATTTCTCCCTCCTCACAATCTTCATCCTTACAATATATGCATACATACATAGAACTCTGTAACTATAAGCTTTCAGTGGCATCTGTATATCATTCATATCAAAATGAAGAATTTCCAAAAATTTGATGATCAAACACATTTACATTTATTTTATAAATGTATTTTTTTTTTTTTTGGCATAATTAATTTCTTTATCTTACTTCTAAAACTGAAACTAAAATGTTCAAAGAAAATATTAAAATAAAATTTCATTTTCACTCACATCATCCAGTTCACCATCATCAGAATGTGCTTCACCCTGTCAAGAACAAAATTAATTGATAATAAATTTTACATAATTTTGGATTAAAAAAAAATTCAACAAAGGTAATTCAAACAATTCATTGTTAACATATGTTCATGTGCAAGAAAAATCTGTGTGTCTTGAGATGAAATTGATGAAGATAGAAAACAGTGATCAATCTATAAAAAAAAAAACAACCTACAAACAATGCAAATCTAAGAACACTGTCTGAACAGGGCATAAAACACAGACCCCTGGAAATACCCAAGGTGGGATCAGACTATCTTTTACTTGCAAGTATTCCTCACTGAAAACCGTAATTTTAATTGCTATTTATGTAGATATATAGTTTCCTCAGTCACCAAAATTAATAGTTGCAGATGGATTTCAAACTGATGAATCACAAATAAGTCTTCATGAATAACAGTAGGTACAAAGTATCTAATTTTTTTATTCAAGTTTATAACTTTGTAACTTATCTTTACAGTAAACACTAACCTCTTCAGCCTCTTTCTTTTCGACCTCATTTTCCCCAGCTCTGCTGTCATCAATTTTCTCTTTGTCCTCGTGACCACGCCCCTCTTCCTCTCCGACTTCCTCATCATAATCCAGTTCTACCTGCTCCTCCCCCATGCTGGTCTGACTGTGAAATTTCTCCACCTTCCTGTCTCTTTTCACCTCTGGCCTCTTGGAAGCCATGTCACTTGATTTGATTGACTCTTTAACAACACTATCTACTTTATAGTCATCAACTTTTCCGTCATCACTAAAAGAATCCTCCTCGTCTGATATGTCATTGTACATTTCACGTCGCCTCTTCTCCATGTCAATATCAGACAAGTTACCGTCCTCAGAAATTGGAGAGGCTGCAGATTCTAAGTCCCTGATGGGAGTTTTTTCCCTTTCCTGTAGGTCACTTTCAGGACTATTTATGTCTTCAGCATCCGCAAGTGGTCTGTCACTTTGAACATTATCTCCTTGTTTGGTTAAGTCTAAATTCCAGTCCTCTTCTTCATCCTGAATTTTTGCTTTTCCCACATCTTTCTCCTCCTCCTCCTCTTCATTATCAGACAGTTCACCTGCCTCACTTTCACTGATATCCTCAGCAGGAGATAAAGGATTGTCCACCATTTCCTCCTTATCAACAATTTCTCCTTCATCCTCTCCCCCCTTTTCTTCCTCATTTCCCTGACTAAATTCAGACTGAGACACTTCATTTGACTGTGTTTCATTCTCATCCTCACTTGAAACATCATCAGTTCCTCTCATTACATTTAAACCAGAATTTTCACCTACATCCATTGAGTCCTCATTTTCTCTTACAGAGTCTTGTGTAGTATCATCAACTGTTTCCCCTTCCTCGACAGGTTGTCTGCTTTGATCCCCATCCCATTCATTGTCTTCATCACTTTCAATATCACTTCCCTCTATGTTTCTGCTACGACGGTGACTGTGATCATGTGATGTTAAATATGGCGAAAATGCTTCCACATCACTATGTCCTTCCTGACTTGACCTATCTAAGAATTGATCCTGAGAAACACTTCCTTCATCATTAACACTTCCAACAGATTGAATATCAGCAAATGGACTAGTCTGCAAATCTTGTTGATTTGATGTTTCTGCTGCATTTTCAAATGAAGTTCTACTAGATTGTGTGTTATCTATGTCTTCCTGAGATGTGTTATTCATTGTTTCACTATCTTCTAAATTTTCACTCACATTATCACTATTATTCTCTACGTCATTTTCAATATCTGAGGATTTTTCTTCAGTTTGATTCTCCTCATATCTGAAGTTTGACACATTACCATCAGCATTAGATTCCTTTTCAGGTTCACATGTTGCATCATCTCCCACTTCCTTTTCCACTTTGTCATCATCTTCTCTACTTTCAGATTCATCAGAAATTCTTTCACCTGTTTTTTCTATACCTGGGCTTTCTACATTGTCCTCACTCACACTTTGAGGAGTTGTAGGACTGTTTAAAATTTCCTCATTTTGTTTATCTTCCACACCAAGGTCTTCCTCTTCTACATCTCTTCCATGTGAAGGACTACCGATTCCATTGTCTTCCAGGTTAACTTCCCCAGAAACATCTTCATTATGATCATCATTATCATTACTGTTTGCTACTTCATCGATACTATGGTCGACATCAGAGTTTTCATCCCTGGTTGGTGTTACTGCATTAGCATCATCATCCATTAGGATTTCACTTTAAAAAAAGGAAAATACATGTCTCATTCATTTTTATTTTTAAAATGTTATAAAAAAAAAAAATCTAGTATAACCCAAGAGCAGGGTTCGACACTAAGTAACATTAGTCCGTTAGTCTCAGACTAATACATTTTCATTCGGACTACTAATATCTCTGGCTAATTAGTCTGAATGGACCAATAAAAATTTCTGGAAAACCAAAATGAATAAATTACTGATATACTATTCTCGACAACTTTTACTGGAAAACCCCGCAAGTATTTTTAGCTTTCTAGCTTCTTGGCGGTAGTTAGGAAATTCCGTGGGGAAAATCCCTTCAAAATAAAACAAGTTGTGAATTTTCTATCATGTCAACAGATGATGTTTATATTACTCTTGTTCAAAACTCATTAACTATTAAACCATGTTTTAAAGAATAAACAACAAGTATTCATTGTTTTACATATAAATTTATGTCTCTTGTTCTCACATTTTCATGCTTCCAAGTTCTCTATGATGACAGACACTAGGCTGTCTACAACACGTTTTGCCATATAACAACCAATTCAAGAAAAAGAAAAAAAAAATTTAGTCTACTCTTAAAACGTTTCATATGAAAAGTAGGAGTGAAACGGTTCACCACGGTATCGATTCACCGCGGTATTTTTTCTCGGTTTGATACACAGTGCAAAATCACTAATGTTCGGTTTGGTTCATTTTTTGGTTGGGATCGTTATTCAGTCAGGTTTGGCATAAGGTAAAACACGTTACTCAGTATAAGTCAGTATAGAAAACGTAAATTTTTGAGGACTGATAGTTTGTAAAATAATTTTTGACAATCAATCATTCTAATCAATTTCTTCTAGTCAATTTGCAAATAAAATTGGTAAACTAGGTGACTAGATTTAGTAAAAGAAAGCATAAAACAATGTTGAATTTGTTTCCTTCTATCAAAATGTATCATACTGAGTAAAAATTACAATACAATACGTATCGAACCATGAACATGGTGAAGGAGGTGTATAGTTTCACCCTTAATGAAAAGAATTATGATGTCATTACAGTCTGTTCCTAGGCAGTTGAATAAGAAAATTTTAGTCTCAAAATTGGAAAATCAATGTTTTTTGGCATTAGGAATGGTTCCAATTATTGGTACTAATTATACAAGGAAAAAAATGCTTTAAAATAGCATGTTGGTATGAGACTCCTGGCAAATATTCATATATACTTACAGGGTTGTCCCTTGTTAGAATAATCTAACTGTGTCTCGGGACAAGCCCTCACCACAGTTAGAATGCCTCCCATATACCCGTAATGTAGCAGAAAATTGCAGAATCGCTTCGAAATGATTTTGGAGAAAATTAATGAAGTTGCATTGAAAATAACAGTAAAATTAATCATAACAAACCTTTTTGAGACTGAAAATACCTTTCATCTAAAAATTTAATCCATATAATGGAAGAATTCAACACTGTTTCACCACCGTTTTTTACTCATTTCAAATTAATTACACCATGTTGACATCCGAACTCTCGGGATTTTTCATAGTTAATGCACAGAGTTAGAGTTATCTCCTGTATTTTCTTTGCTACATTGCCAATACATGGAACTCATTCTATCGTTAAACCGGGTCCATAGAACATTTATCATTTTAACGATAGAACATTCTATCTAGGTTGTCCCTAAGACCCGGGGGTCGGGGAATTTCCCCGCCTATAATGATGTCATCCCCGGCTACTCTGGTATTCTCCCTCAATATCCTGTTAGGGGAGGAACCCCAGACCCCCCTTCTACTTTTTTAATGTCCCTTCCTATTCCAATTCTTAAGGACAACCCTGTACTAAGTTTCCATTGGAATAATTGCAATATACTATTCAGTTGCGACAATTGAACATTTGTTTGTGTCATGGTTTATTTTGTTTTATCTCAGGTTTGATTAGTAAACCCTGTGCTGACATGCCAATGACACAGATTCAATCCTCAACAGTACAAAAACATGTTTGTCGAAATTAGTCATGTTAATCAAGAAACATTAGGCCTAAACATTAACAACTCCAATACATCAGAGATAAGCAGTGCTCCCTTAACATGAAATAAAACTTACTTCAAATTCTTAGTAATTATGAATGCTATTAGGAAAATAACAAGTGTACTTTTTTATATAAATAAAAATTATAAACACGTAAAATACTAGAAAACCGTGATGGAAACAATGTGCTTTGAGTATATACGCAATTCATGTGCTTTTCTTACCAGTGGATCCACAAAGATACAATCCGATCTTGAATTTGGTGAGTAAGGTTCTTGTTTTATGCTATGAACTTTCTCTAGTTAAGACCAAATTATAGGAAAATAGAAAAAATGATCGTTAATTCCTAACAACTTGACCGACTCTATAGACGTCGCCATTTATATTTTGTGATTGGTCTGTTGAAATCACGTGCTAATATACATCGGGGCACATCTAATATTTTCACTCGATTATATGGAAAAATCCAGAGACCAAAATTCAAAATGGACGTCGGGGAGCTACTTTCTTTTCAGGTACACACGTTTTAGCCCGAAATACAATGATCCTTGCGTTGGTTGATGGACATATTAAATTATTTGGTGCATAGAAAGAAAATAAATAATCCAAGATCATGAAGTTCACATAATACTCTTTTTTATATGCTATTTCAAAAACAAAGAATATTTCGAATTTCCTCGATCCAAAATTGATGTGTTTTTAATTTAATATTGTACTTTTTCTTTCCATATTTTTCAATCTTTGTACGTTTAAAATGATATGTATATATTGTTATATTTTTATGTGCTGTATACGTTTGTTTTATCTTACCTGAAGCCTGAGAAACCATTGCCACCTGCAAAAGGCAAAAGAAGATTCCATGATGATGATTTCCCAGATCCTGTTGCTGATAAAAGGAAGAGAAGTCAAGTTGCAGCTACTGACGACTCCAGAATTAGTGAAGAGGAAAGGGAAAAAATAATTCAGTTAGTGGAGGCAGAGACAGAAGTAATCAAAAAAGATTAAATTCATTTAAACTACCTAGAATTTTTTACGAAATCTAATTTCGTTAATAATAGCTTGTCGTGCAAAGTGTCCTTTGTGTGGCAAGCTCTATAAACTAACATGTACTAGTAGAGCAAATTTAAACTGACATTTGTACATCAATCAAATTTGTGTTCAGGATTAACCTCATTAGTTATAACTTGCAGTGCAAAGTATCTTTTGTGTTGCAAGCTCTTTAGACTAACGTATATGAGTAAGAGGAAATTTGAACTGAACTTTGTACAGTGCCATACTGTAAAATCTCATTTTGAAAAAGTATAATAGATAGCTAAAAAAGACAAACAGTAATGAAAAGCTAAATCTCTTCACTATCTTTATAGAAAACCTCAATAATTTTAAGTTAAAGCAAATTTCGATGGTTCATGGCTCTAGCTCTTTGTCTGTCTTTGTTGTAGGTTTTGTCATTGTTGGTGTCATCTTAAACTTTTTACGTTTTTGACTTCTTCTCAAGAACCATTAGGCCAATTTCACCCAAACTTGCCACAAAGCATCTTTGGGTGAAGGGGATTCAAGTTTGTTTAAAATGAAAGGTCACAAACTCTAAGGGAAATAATTTAGAATTAAAGAAAAATGTAATGGCTTCTTTCAAAATCTAAGACCCCCCCTCCCCCCCCCCCCCCAACACACACACACACACCATGGCGGGGCCAGAATAGGTGAGTTTTAAAGGGAAGAAAGCTTTCAAAATCTTCTTCTGAAGAATAGCAAAGCCCTGGTTAGTCTTATTAACATGGAACATCCTCAGGTAGTGCATATTTAATTTTTTTTCAAATTGTGAGCCCCAGGGGTAGGGTGGGGCCATAATAGGTGATCAAAGTTTAACAGAGGAATATATAGGAAGACATCTTTAAAATTCTTCTCTTCAAGAACAGCAAAGCTGATTATTATATTTTAAAAATATGGAAGCATCCTCAGGTAGTGTAGGTTCAAGTTTGTTCAAATCATGGCCCTTGGGGGTAGGGTGGGGCCATAATAAGTGATCAAAATTTTCCATAGTGATATATACTAGGAAAAAAAATCTTTAAATATCTTCTTTCCAAGAACAGCAAAACCCTGATTAATCATATTAATATGGAAGGATCCTCAGGTAGTGTAGATTCAATTGTTCAAATCATGGTCCCTGGGCTAGGGTGGGGCCACAGTAGGAGGTGCAAGTTTACATAGGAATGTATTGAAAAAAATCTGCTGATGAAGAACAGCAGGACAACAGTGACTCAGATGAGGATTATTTTTTTTTTTAATTTTAGGCTGAAGCTTTAGATGAAACCAGTCTCAAAAAGATGCTTTTGAATTTTGAGAAAAAAGTTTACAAAAATCAAGAGCAAAGGATAAAATACCCAGACCTTCCAGAAAAGTAAGAGAATCCATTGTTATTGCAATGAAAACTGTTTACACAAAGCTTCTGTTTATATGTAACCATACATTTAGATACCATTCTTTCTAAAAAAAGACTAAGAATTTCTGTTTTGTTTTGCTTTTCAGATTTATGGAATCAGAAATTGAATTAAATGACATAATTCAGGAAATGCATGTGATAGCAACTGTACCTGAGCTATACCAAATTCTTGTGGATCTCAATACTGTGCAGTCCTTACTACAACTCCTCTCACATGAAAATACAGATATCCTCTACTACAAAATACACGGAGTCTGGGAATAATCAAAATTTTATTTCTTTGGTGAATTTAGGGTAGAAGTGTGTGATATCCATATATACATTTCAGTACCACAAATTATAATTTTATTTCTTTATAAATCTCACAATGGTAGTACATGTATTTGTTGGGTACTGATTAAAAAAGAATGATTAGTTTGAAAAGTGCCAGTAATAAAGAGCCGAAAAACTTTTTTATAAGATGAGTAGGAATAATATTCTGTTGACTGATAATTTTTCATTACCAGCATTATTTATACAGATGTAAAATTTGGAAATTTCTAGAACTTTTTTTTTAAATTCCCTAATGAGAAACTCTTTATACATTAGATGAGTATGAATAATGATGTGTTGATCCATGGCTGAGGGAGGGGGGTGTTATTATTTAATTTATATGTATATAGAATTGTTTTATTTTTTAAATTTCTGATGAGAAAAGTAAAGAATTGTTTAGAAGAGTTATTTTTCCTTAGTTAGGCTTAGATATATCAATAGCAGTTGTTGACTTGCTTCAAGAAATGACAGATGTAGACACACTGAATGAAAATGATGAAGCAGCAACAGCATTTACAGATGTCATGGTAAAAATTTCTCCTACTTAACAATCACTAATGTTTGTACAGTAAAACACTGTCACATTTATAACAAATCAAAATTATTTGTCCCTATTAGCGTGTTTTACTGTATAACTATCTAGTCTTGATAGAAATAGTTTCTCATGCTTTATCTATAATTAAAGTTTTGTACTGTGTTTTAACATGGTAATTTTCATTTATGCAGTCTCTGAAAATGTTTCTTTTGATTGCAGGTTGATGGACAGATTGTTGCGATACTTGTGCAGAACATGGAAAGGCTAGATGAAAATAACAAAGAAGAAGCAGATGGTGTTCACAACACACTAGGTACATGTACATGTATTACTGCCAAAGTACTGCACTGTTTAAGACAGTTTGCAGGGGTTTTCTTTAATTCTTTGGCTTCAACAGCACTTTAGAATAAATTTGTGTTTCTAACAAAGCTTTTACACATATTTGTGAATGTAAATGTTTATTTCAAAGAAAATGTTATGAATTGAATACATAAACATATCTATTGGAGAGCAATTTAATCAGGTCAAAATTTGACAGTGTGCAGTTTGTTGTTTTTTAAATTAATTTACAAATCACTTTGCTAAAATCTACTGAGAATGTTTTCATAAAATATTTACCAATGGATATTAGCCCTGCAAAAATTAAATGTTCTTTGTTTTTAATTTGATCCCAACCATTCAATTTTTGAAACACTATTTGTAGATGTATTCATGAAATTTTATACAATTACAAATAGGCATGTCCGTAGTATTCAAGATATAGGTTTTCAAGACACCTAAATGTAACCGTACATCAAGACATTCATGTCCCTTGGATATTTATGTAGATTTATATTTAATATTCATCAATCAGTTATTAATTTTTATTTATAAGAGATCATGCAGTATTAAAATGTAGATATTGGAGTACATTTCAAACTATTTTGTTTTAGCAATCATTGAGAACCTCTTGGAATATCGTCCAGAAATGTCAGCGGATGCAGCACAGCAAGGATTAATGCAGTGGTTGTTAAGAAGGATAAAGGTGGGAATTATTTTTTCTAAAAGATATTTATCTTCACTTAATGACAAACAATTGAAGTAAAGGAAGGGATAAAAAGCTAAGCATGTAGTAAATATGATTTTGCTGCTTAAACATTTGAATATGATTACAGGCAAAAATGCCATTTGATGCCAACAAGTTGTATGCCAGTGAAATTTTAGCCATTCTACTACAGAATAGTGATGGTAAGATAAAATTTTATATTTTATGTTTTTAGTTTTATATTTAGCATATAATGACATGATTACTGATGTCCAGTGTATTTTAATTGTTTTAAAGGGGCATGGACACAAATTTGAAGAATATAATCTACAAAATTTTTGGTAGAATTTCATGACTTACATATTGCATGAGGGTTTCAGACCAATATATTATGAAAGCCTATTTAAAAACTTCTTTTATCTGAAAATCATAAACCTAAGAATTTCGGGTATATTTGATAGTTATAAATTCTTTTACATTCATGAACTCAAATTTTTCCTTAATTTTCAAGGAAAGTGGGAAATCTGTTGTGTATTAATAAAAGATATTAAAACAGTAATCAATAGAAATCAAAAAAAGAAATGTAAGAATGCAAAACCAACACACTAGTGTTGTCATTTTGTTGTCAGTGATATGAACAATGTCAGCAAATCAAAAACACCCAATAAAATGTAAACGTTAACAATTAAAGAGCTCATGCTGGGTGTAAGGTTATGAAGAATGCCATTGTCATTGAGTTTTGAGAATTTTCATGAACATTCAAGTCATTAAACTGATGGTATTTTTCAAATAAAAATAGAAATTCAAAATTTTAAACAAAACAGATATGCAAGTGTATCCATGTCCATTTAAGTCCAATGTTTTTGAGTGTTGATAGCTATTATTTTGTAATGCTTTAACTCTATATTTACCAGACAATCGTCTGTTACTTGGGGAGTTAGATGGCATTGATGTACTTTTGCAGCAGCTTGCAGTAAGTTAATTTGGACTAAATTACATTAAAAAATTGACCCGATTTATGAATTGATCATATTACTAAGATTTTGACCAAACATATATACTTACATAAGTTACATATCTATATACCAGTATACTACTTATCTCTGTAGGCATACAAGAGACATGATGCCACCAACAAAGAAGAAATTGAGATGATGGAGAATCTGTTTAACTCTTTATGTTCCTGCTTAATGCGACCAGAAAACAGAAACAAATTCTTACGAGGGGAAGGTCTACAGCTGATGAATCTCATGTTAAGGTGATTTTTAACTATTGGGACAAGTTTAAGATCTATCATTTATACTTGAAATATATGGATGATTGAGTGTTTGGTCCCTTTTAACAGTAATTTTGAATGTGTTTATTGTTCACTTGTACATAATGTACAACTCCCACTTTGGAAAATTTTTCCTAGAAATAAAAATCATTTTATTTGGACGAAAAATTTTCCAAACTTTAAATTTTCTATGCTTGGACCCCCCCCCCCCCCCCCCCAGTTTGTGTCAATAATTGTTTTTAAAAAGTGTACACTACATTAGCAAAATTACTTTAATTATTCCTGTAAAAAATAAAATTAAAGTACTGGAATATATGTATAATCAGCTTCATGGTTTCAGGGAAAAGAAAATGTCGAGAAATAGTGCAATCAAAGTTCTAAACCATGCTATGACTGGCCAGGAAGGGGCAGACAACTGTCAGAAATTTGTAGACATTTTAGGACTGCGTACAATTTTCCCATTATTCATGAAAACTCCTGCTAAAGGGAAAGCAGGGCCATCACCTGCTGAATTAGAAGGTATGAATATGAGGTTTCCAAAATAAAGGGCTGCTCCAAAATTTGATAAACATTTCAATTGAATATCTCAGGAAAACACCAAACTGTAAAAAAAAAAAAAAAAAGGTATATATTTCTGTATAAGTAGAAACTTTTGCAAGGGTATATTTATATTTATATTTAGGAGAGGGGGGTATACTGTTTTACCCCTGTGTTTCTGTCCGTCGTCTGTGTGTCTGTCCGTAACAAATTTTGGTCGCAGTTTTCTCAGCAACTACTTATCACAGATGCTTGAAATTTTAGCACACTCTTTGTTTAGGCATGGCATTTGTTGGGAATCATTATTGTATGAATCCGATGTCAACTTCCTGTTTATCCGTGCGTCTGTCCGTACCATACATAACAAATTTTGGTCGCAGTTTTCTCAGCAACAACTCGTCACAGATGCTTGAAATTTTAGCACACTCTTTGTTTAAGCATGCCATATGTTGGGATTCATTTTTGTAAAGATCCAATGTCCACTTCCTGATTATCACTGTGTTTGTCCATAACTGAACTTGTATATTCACATCAGAGCGGGGGTATTATTAGTGAGCATTGGCTCACAGACTTCTTGTTTTTTCGATTTTTGTTTACAAAATCTTCCGCATGGGGATTATTTTTGTGAAAATAAACAAGTGAATTGATTATATATAGTACATATGTAATGATTTAGATTTTTTCTTCAAAAAAGATAATTCTATTCGTAATTTACGAAACCAAAAACTTTTTCAGAACACATCACTAACATCATTGCTTCCTTGCTGAGGAATTGTCAAGGCACACAGAGACAGAGGCTTCTCAGTAAATTCACAGAAAATGATCATGAAAAGGTGATGAATTCATCTCACTGTTGTTTAGATACACGAGTACCCAGAAAATGATTAAAATTTTGTAAGATATTGCAACTGCCTAATGAATTCAACACTTAAATTCCTGCCATCTGTCACGTGTAGATATGATAAATAGATGGACATGGAAAATATCTACAGCTTTTTATAAATTTCTTAAATGCAAAAAGTTATATGAGCACCAATAACATATGTGTTGCCTTTGCTACTTTGCATTAATTAAATATTTCTTTTTAAATGTTTTTCTTGATAGGTTGAACGATTATTAGAGTTGCATTTTAAGTATCTGGACAAGGTTCGACTGATAGATACAGAAATTGAGCAAGAAAAACATCGTCTGAAGATGAGAGGAGAAGACATGGATGAAGATATGGAAGATGAATTCTACATCAGACGACTAGATGCTGGACTGTTTACATTGCAGCTTGTAGATTACATCATGTTGGAAATAAGTGTGACTGGAGGTTCTTCAGTTAGTATTTTCCAGACATTAATATTTAAAAGTATCATAATCAAATTACAGTCAAACCTCGTTACCTGGAACTCTACGGGACTAAGGTTAAACTTCCAGATATGAGAGGTTTCGAGATACTGAGGTTAAAAAATTTAAAGAAAAAGTGGTTGGGACTGCCAAATCAGTTCAATGTATGCCTGATATTCAAGATGTCAGTGTTTGAGATTATGAAATTCAACTGTTCATATGTATTAGAATATTTGATTTTTTTTCATCTTATGTATTCATTATTATTTTTTCACCAGATAAAACAAAGAGTAATGCAGATTCTGAATATGAGGGGTGGATCAGTCAAATCAATCAGAAGTATTATGAGAGGTAACATTTCATCTGACCGGCATTACATTCACGAAATTAGCAACTCTTATGTTGCATGTATAATAGGGCTTCTTTCAAAAAGTGGTTGTCATTGGACAGAGTACTTATTGACATAAAAATGACTTGATTCCCTAGATCACCTGAGCCAAGAGTGAAGTGTTTCTATCTCAGTCAGTTCATCCATCCACTTTATATTTTGTGTTGTCCATAAACATTTTTCAACTTCTTTCCCTGTACCTATGGACAATTTTAGACAAACTTTGCACCAAATCCAAAGTTCTTCAAATAAACATTTGTCAAAGTCATATGAAAGTAGTCCAAATTTACCCCTCTACATACTGATAATGGAGAATTAAAAGAGGCCAATGGTCACAATGCTTACCAAATTGCTATTCTCTCTCGAAAGATTATTATATACATGTACATGTAAATGAATAAATTCCCTCACTGGGGTCATCAAAATCCTGAATTTTATTGTACGAGGCTTTATGTCAATTGTAGCCTTCCTGTAGCTGTAGATGTCTAAATATTTCTGTGTAAAACTTTTCCCCCCATTTGTGGTTTTGAGGCCATGCTTTGAACACTTGAATTGAGTTTGGGAGGAACCACATTAAGGGGTCCAAGTTTTACAAAAGAACGAACATAAAATCTTTTTCTCAGGAATATTAAAAAATAAATATCCTCAAGTAGTGAAGACACACCCCCTTCCCTTTCCAGCCCTTGTAGTCATTTCAACAAGCTTACATTTTAAAAAAAATATATTTTACATGTATATTATTTGTTAAGTTGATCCAAAGAAATTTATTTTGTTTTTAGAATATGCAGGTAATATTGGTGATGCCAAGGATCCAGAAGCCAGAGAAAAAGAACAGAACAGAATTATGCAGCTAGTGGACAAGTTCTAGTGAAAACTGGTTTCAGTTTTATGATGATAAATTCACAAATGACTCAACACCCAATGTGAGAATACATGTGTTGACCAAACCCAGGCCGACTTAATGCAGCAGGAAGGATTTTGTATTTGTTTCTAGGACAGATGTGATTTCAAACCCTTACATGTGTGTATTGCATGAAATAGTGATTCAGTGAAGCTTGGAGTATGACAACATGCAAAGTTTAATATTGTTATTATAGATCAAGTGCAGTTGTTCTTTGCCAGTTCAGTACCATGACTTTGAACTTTACATTTAATTGAAGGATAAGTTTTACATTCACATAGTATGACAATTTTATTCATTGCTGTCTGTGTACATACATGTATATGTTTAATACATGAAGAAATCTAAATAAATAACACTATTAGAGTATATATATCACAGTTTCTTTGGTATATTAGCGATGATAGGCTTTGGTCTCTGTTTGAACAGAAGTTTTTTCTTGATGAGAGCTTTAACCACATAATTGATGCTGCTGTCATTCTTGACATCACTGTCCATAGAATTATTAGTGAGTGAGGAATTCTCTTTCACAATAACAGCATAAGGTTTCTCCAGGTCCACAATTTTACCATACAGGATGTGGTGTCCGATAATTAGAATAGGGACATTCTGTAAAAAAAAAAGGAAGAAATCTGATAATGCATAAACAGCCCAGCCTGATTAATTTAAATTCAGTGACTAACATGACAGTTTTTTGGGTAATATTTGCCTTTTGACACTGACCAGAGATGTCAGAGTCATAACACAGTGTAAACACTAGGTATCGGAGCTTCAACTTGGACCAATATAAAAAGCAGTACTGTATTGAAATAAATCTGTAACTGGGCAGGGAAAAATGCGACAGACCATATCAGGATTTGAACCCAGCTGGGCCCTCTGAATCATTCAGGTCCAGTGCAATCACTACATTTAGCTACATAGATGGAATCATCTACGTTGTTTTATCAAAATACTCAAAGCAGCTTTATTTAGCTATTATGATGCAATTTTCCCATCACAAAATTGCTTTTTATTCAAAATAGACAAAGAGCAAGAGCCACTTAGGGCCTTTTTTGGCCCTGAGAATTTCTGAAAAATCGGAACTGCTCAGTTTTGGTTGAAAATGCAGTATTTATAACTTGGACCCTTGGTGACAGTGTATCTGTTGAATATTACCTAATTTTCTCTCTAGTCAATGCATTATGATGTCATAAAATGTGTCATTTTCCCATATCCTGTAAATTCCCTTAAAAATGGCCAAAAGTTGAGGTATTTTTTCAATATTTCATAGAAAGCACAACCTCTGATCCAAAATATGCAATTACATAATGAAAGATCTGTTTCTGAAGATCACAAAACATGTTTTAATTTTTGGATCGTGGGCTGTGCTCATTTTTTAATTCTTTGCTGAAGGTAGTCAAATACACGTTTTCTGCAAAATCCAAGAACATTGCATTTTCTCAAAGCCTGTTTTCCAATACCTGGATTGTCAAATAGAAATTTTGTTATAGGAAATGAAAGCACTAAGTTTCTACTTTATTTTGATATATGAAATGGGACAGAGGGTGATAGTCAATTAATTGATGTAAGGACAGGGCCATTTTATGCATAAAGTGAACCTAGCTCTTTTGCAAGTACCTGAATACTAATATTTGTTCAAGAGACTTTTTTTAAAAAGCGAAGAGATTAAACATTGCTGCATTTGAACCCATTTAAGCAAATGATGTATTTCCATTGTTTAACTGTACACCACCTTATGTGCAGTGAGGCATGGATAAATATTACTTTTTAAATAAATAAAGTATAGTTACTTTATGTTTCTTTTTCTTTCAAATATTAGTAAAAAGTCTAATTTTCCTTTCAAATATAAGTAAAAAGTCAGATTTATAATTTAAAAATGCCAATTTACCTGTCCTCTTTTCAAACTGGTTTAATTAATCACTGTTTATACATTAATTATATGTTTATACAGTATTTATTTGTTTACACAAAAATTCCACCTATTCCCACATAAAATTTTACCTTTTCCTACCTGATTTTCAGGAAGTGGGAATAGGTAGAATAAACCCTTGGCATTGTGCTGAATTATTACCAATCAATTACAGGCACGGATCCAGGAATTTTTTCCGGGGGGGGGGGGGGGGGGGGGGTCCACCCCAGTGAAAAAAAATCCAACCCAGAATTTTCTTGACAAGCAAAAAAAAGAAAAAAAAAAGTGTAAACTCTTTCCAAAATGTGAAAAACCTATTCCTTTGGGGGGGGGGGGGGGGGGGGGGGGGTGTTAGCTGCTCCACTTCACTTCTTAAGCTTCATATGTAGTATGACTTTTCCTACCAACTTAACAGGGGTCCACGTTTTCTAGGGGGGTCTAAGGTCACTTTTACTTGCTTTACTATATACATTTAATACCTCTGCAAATTCTAGGGGGGTCCGGAACCCCCACCCCCTCTAGATCCGCGCATGAATTATCATGTAAACCAAAATTGGTCTTCTTTGTTACATCATTCAAAAAGTAACTGTTTGGTCACATATCAACTAGGGCTGCGTCAATATATCGATACATGTCAATATTCAAGAATGTATCATTATGTATCGGGCAGGCAGTTTTTCTCATAATTCTGTGAAAAAGTTGAAAATTTCAATCACCAAAGATTATATTTAACTGTATTGAATTAAAACTGGTCATTAATGTTATAAACATTAAGGAGATAGTACATCTAAAATAACTATTACAAAATACATAGACAAAGTTCTGTATCTTAACAAGTTGGTTTTACAGTTGTTAAAAGTTCAAATTTGATGTGTATTTTGTAATAACGGTGAGACAAGAACTTCAAAATGGTTATAAAACACTCATTTTTTTTTTAAATGTATGCAAAAAATGATTTACAAGACTTTTTTGATAGAATTGTTAAAGAATCCAATATATCGTATATCGCTTTATAAAATATTGTATCGTACCATATCAAATTTTTTTGTCAATACACAGCCCCAATATCAACTGTTATGTAGCCCCAAAACTTTTAGAACTTTGATTGCAATTGCTCTGAAACAGATAAATCTTGGAAAGCGATTTTTTTCATGCATTGTTTTCGGAACAGTTTAAATTTAACAAGAGGCCCATGGGACATATTGCTCACCTGAGTCACTAACGGCCATACTGTTTTTGAACAGATTTTTCCCCCGTATATATTCCTGTGTAAAACTTTGATCACCTATTGTGGCCCCACCCTACCCCAGGGAGTATTCTGAAACAAAATGACCATGGGCCACAATGCTCACCTGAGTATCTTTGGCCCTTTTGTTCTTCATCAGCATGAAGAGGTATGTACTAATCTTGGGCAAAGAGCAAAATCTGAACTTATCTCAGGCAAAGACCAAAATTTAAAAATTAGTGGGATTAAAAAACATTCCAATATTTATATATTGCAATGAATAAATCAAATTTGTTTGCATTTTATTTTCCATAAAAAACATTACAACATTTTTCTGATGTAATCTTAGAAAAGATTTTTAGCCAATCAAAATCCAAGAACATTCTGCCAGAGATTAGTACATACCACTTCATGGTGTGAGACAAATCTCATAGTTGGCGAGCAGGATTTTGATGCTGTTTATGGAGACAAAAGAAAATAAAAACAAGCATGCCATATATGGTTGTGTAGATAAATTATCATACAAGAGAATGGTAATAAACAGTTTGTCAGTGCACTTTTTCTGAAAGTGTAAATGACTGCAATTCTGAGGAGGGGGTACTCCATGTCATTCAGAGTTAGATATTATTAAATTATGGGATAAAAAATTATTACCCTGATTACAGCAACAAGTGCCTATGATCTGGCCACTAGCGATCGAACTCACCTGACCACTACATTCCTCCCTCCTTAAAGGTCTTTACCAGAGGATTCGAACCCAGGTCCCCTGAATCAATAGACAGTTGCTCTACCAACTCCGCTACCTGTCTGACCTCCATAATTAACCATATTTACCTGTTTTGTAAAATGAAGATCTCCTACAAACTTTCCACCAAGAGGAACAGGTTTTCTCGTTTCGAGACTTCCCTGAAGATCAATAATTGCCCATTCCGGACATTCTTTTTGACTGTCAGGCCTATCATAACAAAGATATTGTACTTTTAAAAAAAAAAATGTTTACAGTACATGAGTTTACAGATAGTGACTTTGAAAAATTGTATGCACTTGTTTTTGAGTCATTGCTTGATTTGAAATCATCTACTTACATTGAAATCAAAACTTGCACCATTACGATTGATTATTTACAAAATAGAAAACGTTTCCCGCTATTTTGTTGGAAATGTTGCATATCGATCCCGATTTTGAAATCATCCTTTTTCTGTGTGAGTTGGCGGACAAATCGCTATGGATATATTATAAATAATTGATATTTTATGAACACCAGTTTGAATATTTTTCAGATAATTTTTACGTTCAGCTTACGATTAGGATTAGGTGCAATGACGAACCATTCCGGATAAAGAATATTTATTAGGTTTCATTTTACAATTTAGTTGACGATATGCATTTCCGATGTGTACAAGTAAGTGAGTGTAAACTAGACTTTACTAAAGTTTGATAAAATTTATTGATATTTGAAAAAAAGGGAAGAAGTAGACAAAAGTAGGACTTCAGTAGGACCCATTTATGATTTTGTTCTGAAAGCAATTATAATATATTGACGGTGCGACCGTTAGGGCGAGCGCAGATACCTTTCAGTTTTCATTACTTAGGGCCGGTACACACGGTAAGCAGTCTAGTCGAACCCCCGAACGGGGGTATACCCCCAAACGAGGGTTTTCCGTCCCGTCATGCAATGCGCAAGAACAGTAACTCTTGCCGTATCCAATATAAACAAACTTGCCTATATATCATTTATCTAAGGAAAAAGATCGATAATAATGTTATTTCTGCTATGAAATTGGTAAAATTTCAACAGAAAAAAAATTAACAGGTTAAGTTTTCCATAGTTTGAATTTATACTGTAGGAATAACGAAATATTTTCCGTCATTTCATGAAATTATTTATTATTTTGTAGGACGTCTCAATTAAGATTGTGGAATTTAAAACACAAGGAAAAATATTCTAAGAATGAGGAAAATATTAATTTAGAACCTAGATTTAAATAAAATAAAATACAATCGTGTTTTCTCAAACAATCATATTTATTAATATAAAAAAACTACAATATGTTGCCAAACATTTTATTTAATTCTTATAAGATATAATAGACAATAAATACGATAGATTTCATTTGAATTTTATTTTTATATGTATTTTTGTTACACTTCCTGGGCATGATTATCGATAATAAAGACCGTTGATTGCTAGTCAGAGGAGACGCGGACTGAAACCCACGATCATAAACAATTCGATATTAGCACCATTTTTTCTTGCATTTTATTATGAAAATAAAAGATATAATGTAGAATAATACATTTTTTTTATATAATTTCAATTTAGTATTAGTTGCTTATGTCTGTTTATCGAATGTTTTATCTTAAATACCTGCATGTCAAGGAGCAAAAGATCGCCAACTTTGCCAGTGAATAAATCCCGATTTGTACAATAAAGTTGTATTTTTGTAAAATACAAACTCTAAAAACACCTTTAATCTATCATTTCCGAGTGGTTTTACATTTGCCAAATAATCCGTTACTTTGCACCGGCGATTTTTGTAAACCCCTACTTTTTGCGTGAAATACGCACATTTTTAAGCATCTGCGCATGCTCGTACCCCCGTTTGGGGGTATGGATTTCCCATTTCCGTTTACCCCCGTTCGGGGGTTCGACCAGACTGGTAAGGCTTGGCTTATAAGTCATGGAACTTAAGTTCTAGCCTTACCGTGTGTACACCCTTAATACACTTTTTTTCAAGCCTTGCAAGTCTGACTTACGAATAGAGCACTGCTCTATTTCTTAATACAAGACTTAACTGACATGTTCCTCTCAACCAATGAAATCCACTCACCCAAATTTCAATCTATTTTTATCAAACACATGGGTAGATTGAAGGGAACATAAGTATATTCGAATAAGATAATGAAAGTATCCACAAATGCTTTTGTTCAACCTCCTCTTTTTTCAGAAGTGTGAATGCACTGGTCTGTAAAATTATTTCAAAGTCCTAGCTAGTAATCTAAACTTCTATTTTAATGATATGCACTGTTTATGGCTCAAAAAAAAAAAGACTTGGGATTTATGGAAATGTTGTTTATAATCTTGTAAGTCTTGCCTTAGCGTGTGGACACCAGAGCCGTACGGCCTGCAAAACGTAAGGTTTTAGACTTACAGTAAACATCTTTTATAATGTATCTCAGGGGACTGTGATAAATCCTACGTTATAACCGGTGTACATTATAAACGGAGGCCGGAAGTACTCAGTTCACCTTTACCGTAAGCACTTTTCAAACCGCTAGTGTGTTATTAATATTTTAAAGTATGTATAGTATGTAAATAAATGATTTACAGGTATATTTATTTCATTTCTTATATTAAGAAAGATTAATATTCAGTAACATTTTATTGTCACAAAGTATAATTATTTCAAAATCACATAAGTGCTGTACAATCTTGATGATCGTCAGATCATATAAAAAGTCCGTAATTTACAAAAGTCTCCAGAGTTGCCAGAGTCCTGAAAACTTCGGACTAATGTCCTTTGATCGTCTGGGTAGATGGTATGCACGTGTCAGGCATGATCTCGTCGTCCTCGCTGTCGTCGCGGTCTACTGATATTGAATCAATGAATTTTTCTTTCACTAGTTTAAATATATCATTTTCGGTTATATTGCTATTTACTGACTCAAAGATGAATTTTTATTCAAACAATTACGAGTACATCTACTCGATGAACTTTATTCAAACAATTTATTATAAATACATCTACCTGAAACAACAAAGAAACCTTGTTAGAAAAACACCCATTACGGAGAAGCTATGAAATCAACAAACCGTGACTAATCCGCAGTCAATGCTCTGAAAAGGTGTGAAACCACGTGTCAGAATACGTTATAAGAGGTGTAATTATGTAACGGGACCAAATTTCTAATACTTTATAAGCGATACTACGTTATATACAAATACGTTGTAAGCGGTGTTTTTTTCGATGAAATATATAGATACGTTTCCGGGACTACGGAATGGCTACGTTATAAAAGAAGTTTACTGTATAAGGCAAGCCTTACTGTGTGTACCGGCCCTTAGATCGGGCTCGTCAAAGCGCACGTGACATTTGCTACTTTGCTACGTCTAGACTCTGACGTCATATGACGTCGTATGTATGTTGCATTAGCCTACCAAAACGAAGTGTGAACAGTGCTAATTTAACAGGTTGGACACAGTTCCTTTTTCGGGGAAGTATTACTATAAAACGGGATTATTCCTCTTTTCAGTAATAAAAAAATTACTGTATACGGGAATTTTCGTCATATCTTTAAAATAATGCCCTTAATCCGTTTATTAAATAAAAAGTGCATGAAATGTGTTTAAACTTTAATAAACCAACCTCGCTGACAAAAAAATTTGCTCCTTTAGTGCTGCAGATGGGAGTAAGATGAGATTTAATCGTACGACATCAGAGTATTCTTCAAACAGATGTGAATATTTCCCTTATAAGTTATATTATTATTTGTTCAAAAACAGAAAATTTCATATCTTGGTTTCGTGGAGGTGACATCTTTTGAACATGCATAGGAATGTGTACAGTGTGTAGTAAAACTGACAATTTTGTTCACTGTATAGCTTATTTGAAGGAAACCCCAAATTAAGCCACATGTATAACTATCATGTTTCTATTGATACTTAATATGATACATGTACGTGCTTAAAATGATCGACTACAATTTATGCTCGGATTATAGGTAAAGACAAGAGACTAACCTTAGCTTTTATGTTGCTTTTTGGCTTTATCCTAGTGGTATTTTGGTGCGTCTTTGCCTTCGATTAACTCAGTATACTAGTAGTGCATGTTCTGGATGTTACACTAGACTATATTTCAAGGTTTAAAGGGGCTGGGACACAGATTTGAAGCTCATATTTATTTCACTCGTGAGTCAGGATTTTTTTATATTTTCACTCATGCTTCGCACTCGTGAAAATATCAAAAAATCCTGTCCCACTCGTGAAATAAATTCCATATTCATCTACAAAACATTGAATATCCTCTATATATTTGTCTTGTATATTTACATTGATGTTTTAATGTTTCACCCAATCTCTTGTAACAAAAGGGAATTAATTAGTTCTAATTAATATTTTTATATCTTTTATCTGATCAATAGAAATTGAAGGATTGTGTTCATATTGTGCATACTAAGTATAAATGTACAGAATTTCATCTTCAGGTGATGAGTTCAGATGCCATATTGAGCCTCCTTCCTAGAAATAAGGAAGATTTACTGTCAGGGTTCAAGAACAAACAGATGTTAGATGATTCTTTACTTGAAATGCTGGATTACTGCTGCACCGCGTTTTACAACGGAGATTATGTGTCTGCGTCAGTATTATGTAAACCGGTGTTGGATTACACCTGGGAGAAACTAAATACTGGTTACTGGAAAGATGTTGACATCAATTGGAGGTATGTTTATACCATAGGATCAGCGGTATTAAGCATTTGTAAATATTTAACAAAAAGTGATGATCCGTGTGAGGATTTCTTCAAAGACCTAATGAAGACAGTCGATACAGGGATATTAATGGGAGCACCTGTTTTAGATAATGTCCTTGATAGATTAATGCATGCATTCAATGATATTTATAAAGAATTTACAAAGACAAAGCAACTTAGCAAAAGGAAATTATCTACTGAAAATAAAGGTGAGGATGAAAAAATTAAAAAGAACAAGTCTGAATGTAAGAATGAAAAATATCATGTGGACAGTGATAGAGAGATCAAAAGATGTTGTCCTTCTCTAGAAACTTTTCAAAGTCAGTATCTAACTAGCCATACCCCAGTGATATTAACTGGGTTAATGGAGCACTGGCCAGCCATGACTGGAGAAAGATCCTGGAATCTAGAGAGAATCCGTTCCCTGGCAGGACATCGGTTAGTCCCTATAGAGATAGGTTCTAAGTATACAGAAAATAACTGGACTCAAAGCCTGATGACAGTCGGCGAATTTATTGACAAGTTCATTGAAAATTTTTCTGAGGATTTTCCAACAGGATATCTGGCTCAACACCAGCTTTTTGACCAGGTACCAGAAATGAAAGAGGACATTATTATACCAGACTACTGCTACTTAGGTTCAGAGGAAGAAGTGGACATAAATGCTTGGTTTGGACCTCAGGGAACTGTGTCTCCACTTCATCAAGACCCAAAAGAAAACTTTTTATCCCAAGTGTTTGGAGAAAAGTATGTTCGTCTCTATTCTACAGAATTCACAAAATCTGTTTATCCCCATGATACAATGCTGTTGAAAAATACAAGCCAAGTTGACATTGAAAATCCTGACCATGTACAATTCCCATTGTTTAAAGCTGCCTGTTATTCTGAATGCATTCTTAAACCTGGAGAAATGTTGTATATACCCAAAGAATACTGGCATTTTGTCAAATCATTATCAATAAGTTTTTCTGTAAGCTTTTGGTGGCAATAGATGTTTAGCTAATTGATGTTTATCATCATAATAATCAAATGGCAATAAGTTGACAGACAGGTTAATTTTTTCAATTCATCTGATACATTTATGTTAAATATATATTGACACAATGTTTATGTGTGAATTATTTTAGAGAATGACAAACAACTTTTAATTTAGAGAGCAGACAATCACTGCAGGAGATGTTTGTTATTTCGAAGCATTTACATAACCTTGTTTAAGCCTCCATTGTTTTGAAAAATGACTTATTAATACAAGAACATTGAATGACATTGTTTTATTGTTTTTATGATTTTTATTTCCTGATAAAAGAACAACATTCTGAATACAGAGAGCAAGCATGAGTGCATACTAATGCATAGCTACTGCAATGTGAACAGGTGATAAAGATTTATAACAAAGCATTCATTAAGTAACTCTAAAACTATCTATCATGAAAGACTGTGCATTGTTCATACAACATTCAAGTAATACTAAATGCGTAAAATGGAAAGATTAAAAAAAGAAAAATTCAAAAAAAATGTTATCTATCTACAACACATTAAATCTCCTTAAAAATAGCAAAAAAAAAAAAAAAAAATCAAAAAAAAAAATCACTTCACTTCAAAACAGTCACTGCACAATACTGTTTTTCTTTATATATGACTTAGTTGGTAAAAAAAAAAAAATGAGTTCTATTTTTAATATCTCTTAATGGGTACATACATGCATACCTAATACTCAAATGAGCAGTATACAATATTTGCTGACATTACATATATATAATATATTTTGTGCCCTTACACAATCACCATAGTCCATACAATTTATTATAAGGAGTATTCTGATAGAACATTACTGATATTCACCAATCTCCTGTTTAGTAGTTAGAAAAAAAATCCTGAAGATTCTGACATAAAGAAAAATAAAAACATTTCACTTTAGCACACATAAAATGCACCAGAGGCAATTCTGTCATAAATAATACTGGTTTCATACTTATGAGCAAGTTTCTCATGATTAGTTAAGAAACTGAGAAATTAATTTTCACATAATGCCTTCCATAGGCCAATTTAACTGTTTGACTAGCCCTCCTTTGGGTTTTGCATATTTTCCATATTTTTCTAACTGAAGGGTCTTTTCAGCAGATCTCCACCCTATGGCTTGAGCGGTGGTTTTGGGGACAGGCTTTGGGGAGGGATCCACCTGAATATATTCTTCAATGGGTGTGACTGGTTTAACTTGCATTAGGCTCTTTAAATCGGCCTTCTCAGATGCATCTTTCTTTGGAAAGTCATCTTTTACTAGCTGAAATTGTTAAAAGGAAAATGGTGTCATAAGGTTTTAAAAGTTAATCAAATATTTGAATATTTACTTTGCAATATCTATGTAAATAGGCAAATATTGAAAGTTTACTAGGTATACATGAAGAGGTATGTAATTATCATTGCATGGGGCTGTCTACCAGGTACATTTTAACGTGGGCTAGATGTTATTTTCAGTGAAAGAAACATTTTACTATAGGAAACATTTGTAATTTGCTGTTGATATTTTGGCCCAATATTTCAGTCCCATTATATCCATTGATTTTACTTTGAATTGTATCTTTTTATCGTTAAAGAGGGAGTCTGTGGAATTTATTTTAGATTTTATTTCCCTGCATAGACCAGCTGTAGATTGTGGGCATAAAGTATACAACCACATGAACAGGACCAGGAAATTACAGGCTCTTGAGCTACAATGCATACCTGAATAAATTTTTCATAACAACATAAAAAATATTTTGACTAACTTAGAAAGCCATACAATGGTTAGTTGAAGAATTGTTTAAATTTAATATTGATTTTATTGATATTAATTAATGATTGTAGCAAGATGAATTTCATGCTTCTGTTGTGAACCACACAGTGTAGAGAAAATTAATAAAACTGTAATGTCTGTTATCCATGTACACCTTTTTTAAACATTTCTCTTTATTCCTTATATTATGGAAAATAAAAAATTCACATTAAAGTCACTCAACAGATATAAACATAAAATTTATAACTACCAGTAATATACACATGTAGTAAGAAATTTATTGTGCCACTTATACTGAAAAGAAGTGCAACACTAAAATTCTGTTAGATGCGTAAACTTTTCTGTCTTGAAGAAAAAGATGGCAGTCTGGTTCATGCACGGATTTTGGGGGAGGGGGGTCTGGAACCCCCCACCCCCACCCCAGCGTTCATGCACAGATTGGGGGTTCTGGAACCCCCCCCCCCCCCCCCCCGGAATTTGCAAAGTAATTGAAAGTATATACAGAAGCAAATAAAAAATGACTTTGGACACCGCCCCCCCCCCCCCCCCCCTAGAAAACGTGGACCCCACCATCACTACCACAGAATAGGCGTTTTTTACGTTTGGAAAATGGATTTTAGGTGTTTTTTTTAAATTTTTAATTTTTTTTTTATTATTGTCTATTTTTTTAATTTTAATTTTATTTTATTAATATTATTATTATTATTATTATTTTTTGCTTGTCAAGAAATTTTCTGGGTTTATTATGTTTGGAAAAAAAATCCTGGACCCGCGCCTGTGGTTAGTGCATTCTGGGAAACCCATCTTTACACTGAGTAGCAGACATACATTGTAATAAAATGTATAAGCCATGGGAATTCGACGATAAGTTTGTATTGGAAATTTATATTATCTGGTTCTTCTGAGAAACTTGACAGTTTCCAATGTCGAAAATAACTAGTCTTTTGGGATGTAATCATACTAATATCAATCAAATAAAAAACAATTCAAGGCATACTTACGTCTTCGTATTTAGTGGTTAGAAATCCCCACTGGTTTGGCCAAGATTTGGACGCAACTTCTTCATGATTAACGTGGTCTTTCCTATCAATGTAAAAACCTCATTTAATATCAGAAATAAAATAAAACATAATGTAGTTTTATTTAAATAGTAAATCGGTTCAGATTGTAACCAATGATCTTTGTAACATTTTTTTTTATTTTGAGTTGGGGGGGGGGGGGGGTGTCACATGTTACATAGAAAATTAAAAAAAAAACTTTGACAAGGAAAAACAAATAGTTTCTCATTTTTAGTTATATCGACCTTGGAGGACTCGATCATACTGCAATAAAAAAAGAGGACGGCCTTTGTATTAAAATTTCCAAACAAAATTAACAGAAAAAGACTTTTTATTACAAATACGTCCAGCTGCACTACGGGAATATTTGTTAAAATGTTACATGTTTATTTTCTCGTGAGCATAGTGGGGAAATAGTGCAGCATTACACGCAAAATTTAGTTCTTATTTTCTTATTTTACCAACATGAAGTACATAAAAACAGGCCCTAGAACACGGGAAGCGGGGGGGGGGGGGGGGACTCCCCCCCCCCATTTTTTCTGAGTATAGTATTTTGCTATAGTAAATTTTCCTTTAGATGCTGGTTGCTCCCTCCCTCCCCCCCAAACTTTTTGATGTTGTAAGGTTGAGCACTGGCAAATTCCAGGATTTGGATAGTAAATTAGCTTTTTTTTTTTTGCTTGTCAGATTTTTTGGGGAAATTGTCCCCCCTCCCCCCCCCACTTTTGAAACCGTTGCTACGGGCCTGGAAAAGGCTCAAAATGATATTATTGATTCATCTAATCCTCTAACCCATTAAAAAAGTAAAGGACTACAAGGACATTGTAAGTTAACCAAAATTATGTCGGAAACACATGCTCACACATACCACATGTAAACCAGTATCTCACTATTATTGTTTCTATTATTATACAATAGAACACATTACTAATAGAACAGTTTCTTTCTACTACCTTTACCAAATTTGAGAGAAATCGGTTTGGGCGTGAGTAATGCGACTAAAATGATTATTATATTGGGGTGGGGGTGGGTGGGTGGGTCTATATTTGTGATCGTACCTATGTTGTTTTCACATACAAAATGCAATCTTTTGAATTATAGTTTATAAAATATAAAAACAAGAGGCCCATGGACCACATCGCTCACCTGAGCACATTGGCTACGAAATAAGCACAAATCGGTTCAATATTGAAAAGTTTACATGGGAGATTGAATTTAAACTACCTGAGGATGCTTCCATATCAGAATAACAAATGACTTTGCTGTTGGTGAGAAGAAGATTATAAAAGATTTTTCCCTGTACATTCCTTTGTAAAAATTTGATCCCCCATTGTGGCCCCACCCTATCCCAAGGGTCATCATTTGAACAAACTTGAATCTACACTATGTAAAGAAGGTTTTCTAAAAGTTTCAACTTTTTTGGCCAAGTGGTTCTTGAGAAGAAGATTTTTAAATCATGCCACCAAATTTTCACTTCTTCTGAATTATTTCCCCTTGAAAGAGGGCATGGCCCTTCATTTAAATAAACTTTAATCCCCTTCACCCAAAGAGGCTTTGTGGCAAGTTTGGTTAAAATTGGCCCAGTGGTTTTGGAGAAGAAGTCGAAAATGTGAAATGTTTACAGACGGACGGACAGACAGACGGACTACAGACAAAATGTGATTAGAAAAGCTCATTTGAGTTTTCAGCTCAGATGAGCTAAAAATCATCAAAGCTGCACGTGCACATTTAATTTGTTTATCGTAGACGATAATTAATTTTAAGCAAAATACAGATTGTAAATATAAAGTTTTAAAACTACTCGCACTTCAGGACTCTCCCGATGAATGTTCTAGTTTTCTAGTTTTGGTTAAGCCATTTTCATGTTATTTGTCTCATTTCCCCTCAAGATTAATGCACATATAAGTGCTTTTGATTTGGTGTATACCTTTGATATCTAGTGGTTTGCAGTTTGCATTCGATAATGCAATTAACTAAATATTTGACCATACCTAGTATTTTTATTTCTTAAGAAAGAATGAAAAAAAATCAGGACGTAAGCATGTATAGCTGCAGATCTGTAGCTCACGACCTTGGTCTTCCATCCTCAATTTTTTCCGACTAGTGAGCTACGGATCTGCACTGCACTGTATCCATTCAATCTGCGTGTGCGAATACTTATCGTTACAATGAGTCGAAATGTAGCAAATATACGTCTTCGAATTACTGACTTAAGGTTGTAAATGTGTAAATGTCATATCCCCAGTCCCTTGCAATTGAATAATGGAAGTTTTTGTAATAATGTAGATTTATTAATAACAAGCTCTATATAAAAGACCGTAAATTACGTCTGGATCTAAGACAGAGGAAAAATCGAACATCTTTCATTATTCAGAGACAAAATATTACTTCGTCAATAATATACATTGGTTGATTAGCAACGATATCGTAAAAAGTAATCAAGCTTGTGAATTCAAAAATTAAACATACCTTCTGTAGGTAAAAAGAGAAAAGCATTAAGTGATGCATTCAACGTTTCAAAATTACAGTTCAGGATTGGAAGTTAATTTTTTTTCCTGGCTTAAGTTATTATTTAAATGGCATTTCGTGTACTTTGTTGCCATCAATTACTCAATTCGCCTTTAAGGTGTTTAAACCAATTTTTGAAAAGATCAGACATCAATGTGTCAAGTAAATCTCTTTGAATATCTGTTTAAAATCCAAACAACTTGAATCGATGCTCAAATTAAATGGATTCCGCAATTCAACATGAAATCGTATTATTTAATAAATACAGTTATATAAACGTATAGCTAAACAGATAAAATCTATATACGGATCTGAGTTTAAATAACCAATTACAGTGTTGTACATCTTAAACTTAAAGATAATTAAAACACAAATTTATTTTGATTAGAAATGATACTACATGTAATATAAATGATTTTTTTTAAACTAAAAGAACTAATGCGAGAAAACTCACCAAATTTGATCCTGAGCCACGAAATTACACCCGGCGAGCGCTCGTCCCGAGGGCGCGGGTTTTGCTGCCGCCATCGTTATACCCTAAGAAGATTGATCTCCCATATGATAGTCCAACACCCCGAAACTGTCAATACACACCAGTCCACTTCCGTTACACGCTGTGTTTATCGTGTCCCTGGTGACCGCTATTGTAATGCACACCTCCCAATCTGGCACACAACTAAACACCATAAACTCAAATTAAAGGTACATACATGGGATAGATTAGAAAAACTGTTTTATCGCTCTTACTTTTAAACGCTTTATCGGGGAAAATCTGCTCAGTAAATAGAAAACCACATCGATTTAGACGGGGCGCTGGCAGGTATATGTCAATGGCCAACAATGCATGTTCACTGTATTATTCAAGCACATTATTGAACTTACGACAAAGGTTCATTAAATTGTTGGATAGATTGCGTTTTGTGAAAGAACATAATACTATTTTTTAATTATATTTCTGTACAGAGTTGGTGGGATTTAAAAATCTCACAGCTCTCTTCCAGCAGATACATATAAACTAAAAGCAGACATTTTCTGTCTAAAAGTCATATTTACTCCCCAGCCTAGCTCTTCATCATCCCCTTTCCTCTGACAAAAGTTTACTCAATCATTTATACTCTGTCTGTGCTTTAGCCCCCCCCCCCCCCTCAACCCCCTCTCCGAAGCATGCAGCGGCAAATGTAACATTTGTTAAGTAAATTAAAGGTGATATTTGAAGTCAATAAGTATTTATGTTTCGTGAAATTGTAGAAGGTGGACCACTCAAATTGTCATGGAGTTTCTTTTGTTCCCTAAGGGCTCGAAGATGATTGATCTTGAGGATCAAAAATCACGTCGAGGTTGTGTATAGTGATTGGGTTTCTCCACGTCATAAGAGATGAAATCTTGAATCCCAATCTAGGAAAACACTACTTATCCTTTCTTATTACTATTTATACCCGCACCCAAAGAAAGGTCCGTCTGCATGCCACGCTATTTTCTTCCTCAAAATCCTCTTACATTTTCAGCGGTACCCCATTCATCTTTTGAATATGATTGATAGTGTCCTGCAGATGTGCAATTAGGTTTCAAAATGTTCATTTTCACCCTAAGAGCCGTTTTTCTTCAAAAAATCTAGTTCCCGGGACTCCTCTTACATTTTATACAGTTCATATGTAGTTAAATCATCTTTTGGAATATGAGAAAAGTGTAGATGTGCAATAAGGTAATTTTGTCATTTTCACCCTAGGACCAATTGGGTGTCAGAAAAACAACGTTTTTCTACAGAAATCTGGTTCCCAGAGCTACGCTTACATTTTACGGAGTAGCCAACTCATTTGGAATATAATTGGTAATGTCCGGTAGATGTGCAATATTTTGGAATTTTGATTTTCATTGTGGGAGTCGGGAAAAAAAACAACAACATTTTTCTTGAAAAATTTTGGTCCCAGAACTCTTACAGTTTGCTCTATTTAAATCGTCTTGAAAATAGGAGGTTGGATTTATTATACCTGCACTTTCTATACAAAGTTAGGACTGTAAATTGTTGTTATTCCTGTCTGTCGTTTTGTCTGTCTGTCACTCTCTCTTCTTCCCCCAAATCCTCACATTTCATTTTTCAATGTAGATAATTTATCATTTGAAATATGAATGTCCTTTAGATTACAAAAACTTTTTGGAGTTTTCATGTTCATCACTAAGGGTATTTGGGAGCCGAAAAGCGACTTTTTTTTGTTAGAAAAACCTGAACTCCTAGATCTTACCGTATATTTTACTCAGTAATCAAATTACCTTTTGAATTATGATTTGTGGTATTCTATAGATATTGCAGTAAAGTTTCGGAATTTTCATTTTCATCCGATGAGGAGGCAATTGAGGATTAAAAAAAATAATGTTTCTTTACGAAAACCTTGTTCACATAACTCTTCTCACTTAAAAAGGTGAAGATAACGAACAGTGATCGATCTAAAAAAAAAACTTGAAACAATACAAATCTGTGAATAAAGCAGAAAACACGGACCCTTGGAAATTCCAGAGGTGGGAACAGGTGCCTAAGAGGAGTAAGTATTCCCTGTCGACTGGCATGCTCTGGAGTATCAAATAAGTTGGTAGACATAAACGCCACATGCAGGTGATAGCGGAAATAAGGAAAGAGCTGAAGTTATCTCATTTGTCATACAGTTTAGTTGTAAGTTGGCCCTTATCATCTTTAGTAAGTAAAACATTCTAATATGAAACAGATGTGGCAGACTCCATCTGTAGTGTCTATTATTTCGAGCTCACGGGGATATATCGAGTCGACATATGAATAGAATGGATAAAACGTCGTCGGTATAGCTGAATGTCGAGTTGAAGGTCACAGCAAGTGCTTTATTCTTCTAATGTAGAAGTTTTTAAATAAATTCTTTTTCATAGAAATATTAAAAAGGTTCTCTAATCTAATAAATGCGCACAATAAGTTTCCACCGGTATTCCAACAGTTTGTTGGAAGGCCTGGTTTCCAAAGACTACATAGATGCTATCAATGAGGAACTCCAGCATCCTTTTAATATCAGCTTCAGGGTACTTGTGTGTAGAATCACGGCCGCGACTGACCTAAGTCGATAAAAAAATAGGTAACAACTGTTCCTTCGCCAAGCGCTCGGCACTTTGAAGTGAAAGTTGCGGGTCCTTCGGATGAGACCTTAAAAATCGAGGCCCGTGTCACGGTAGGCGTTGGCAGGATAAAGATCCCTCACTGCTCAATGGCCCTGAATGCCGAGTAAAGGTCTAAATTTGAAGCCCTTACCGGTATATGGTGACATCTCAATAATGAGTGAAAAAATCTCGAACCGGACGTTAAACAATATACAATCAATCAATCAAAGGACGATATCACAAAACATTGATATTGCCAAGATGAGGAAGAACATGAACACTTGAGGGGACTTTGTTTTGGATGTTCAATATCTAGGCTCGCCGAAATATGGCTGAAATATTGCCGACTCGGCGTTAAACAATAATAATCAATCAATCAATATCTAGGCACTGCAAGGTTTGTTTATGATTAAAAAGTTCGGAAGCAACAGTTTAGGAATATCTGTAGAAAATACAGGGTGTAGACTTCAACTTGAAATAACTGACATTTTTAATGCTATTAAGAATGTAACTAGTGTTTACAGCATCTCTTCAAATACTCATTCAAAATCACTTTTTATTCGCGAGAACTTTATTGAAGCCTAATTACGTGAGACCCTCTGATCGCAAAAAAGTTATTTCTTGCGTTTAATTCTACTTTTAAACCAAACAACAATCCCGCGAAAATAAAGTGTCGCAAAATTTTTATGATCAATAGTCCATTAAAAAAATTCAAGGAAACCGAGTACGCAATAGCCAAATATCTTATGAGACACAATTTATCATGTCCCATGGAAGTGCGGTAAAGTGTTTGAATTTTCATTTTTTATAGTACATGTACATTGTTTTGAGCTTATCTTTGACCTATTTATGAAAGTACGAAGCAATATCTGATTTTTGAATATCCATCCGTTTTGCTGTCGCGATCAGTTCTGTTAGGGATACCCTATAATAATATGAGCTTCAAACTTCAACTCTATGCATATCAGGATATAAAATCCTATCATAGTTGACTTTGACGTGTGCCTTGCCATAAATAATGGTTTGTGGGTTTTTTTTGTTTGTGTTTTTCCCCCTTTTTTTGTTTTTGTTTTTTAAAAAGATTTTTCGAAGCTGATCTTGATGTGTGCCTTAACATACTTTTTTTAAAAAGACTTCCTAATCAAAGTATGATTATGACGTCACGTAGGTAATATTTTTTAAATTATCGAGGCAATATTTTTAATGTCATTATTAGGATAAAATATGTGGAGATAACGAACAGTATTCGAGCTCGAAAGTCCATTAAACATTACAAAATAGATGCAGAGCAAACACGGACCTCTAAAACATCAGAGGTGGGATCAGGTGCCATGGAGAAGGGAGCATCCCCTGCCGACCGGTTACACCCGCTGTGTGCTCCTTGTCATGATCGGGAAATAACGGAAAAATCCGTCGACAATTCAGTGTGTAAATAAACAATTTGTATGAAAAAAGTCAGTCAGCAGTTGACTTAATGATAGATTGTATTTGCTGACAAGGTCATTATATCGACCATAGAACTTACGAAATGATGACTTTAAGCAAGACTGCTGTTATTCTTTTTTATCAACTTGTTTGTCACTAACTTACCTCGTTTTAGAAATTGTTCATACGTAGAAATTGCTCTGGCGTTTCGAATCAACTGAGAGATATAAACCATGTATGCAGGTGATAAGGGTATATTGCTGCATCAGTAAGGGAAGTTGACGATTGAAAAGTTAAAGTCATCACGTTTATCACAAAGCTTTGTTGTTAGATTACAATTAACGCCTTTTTCTAATAAAATATCCAAATATGAAACAGATGTGTCAGACTCTGTGGTATCTTTTATCTCAAGCTCACCGGGATTTATCGTGTTGACATAAGAATGGAAATAACCATTGTTAATTGACAATACGTCGTCGATATATCTAAATGTCGAGTTGAAGGCCACAGCAACTGTTTTCTCTTTTCACGTAAAAGAAAAAAATTGAACAAATTTGCTTCATATGAATACAAAAATAGGTCTGCTAATAACGGGGCGCAATTGGTACCCATGGGAATTCCAATAGATTGTTGGAAGACCTGGTCTCCAAAACCGCATAGATATTGTCAATCAGAAACTCGAGCATCTTTTTAATGTCAACTTCAGAGAACTTGTGTGTACAATCAGATTGTTTTTTAACAAAATAATTTTGCAAATGACCAATGACAAGGTAAGTAAATTTACGAGTTCCATTTTTATTGAAAAAAAAACCCAGCTGTCAACGATGTCAGAAAGTCTGAGGACCGACGTTGACTCGAAGTTGTTAAATGAAAAAATATATATTTGTTTACTCTTCTCATTATGTATGTAGAAGACAAAAAGATGAGTAGACTTAACACTAGTAGTATGAATTCTTGATTTAAGCTCTCCTCCTGCGAGGAGCATACACCCCATTCAGGTAAATTGTAAGTAAGTGGAAATATTAACATGTCAATGCGTGACAATGTTATTTTTTAAAAAAAATGAAATTTCGAATTCAGCGAGGAATTTTTTGTGAAATTTAAAAAAAAAATTCTTTATTTATAGATGTCTTCAGTAAATAAGAATTGAGGGTAGCTTATATGATCAATATTTACTGGTTCTGACAAAGTATG